TTCCTGTTGCCAGAAACGCCATGTTAGTTGGTATAAATGGCTTGTATCAACCATTGATCATATAGGCATGGGATGATGAAAGCAACACACAAACACAAACAACATTGCCCTTTTTGTTAAAAAAAGGCCAGTTTGGTATACCATTCAGTATCATTTACCTAGTCGTTGTTGACTTGGGGGGACCATTCCATTAAACAACCAATACGAACATCATCAAACATCCAAACAAAGACTCATCCACTCCATGATCTCCATGATACCAGCGGTCTACAACCTGTCCCGGCCACCCCGCGCTACACGCTGCGCTCGCTGCGCCACGCACCATCCCCCAACGCAAGGGCGCTGGAGCTGGTGCCTTTGGAGCCAAGCCGGGAGCCGGGAGATGGTTCGACGTTGAGATATGATGGACAAAAATGGACAAAATGCGACAGTAAAACGTGGGAACAGTTTTCGGATCTTTCCGATTTTGGAAAATTAAGGGAACCACAAGGGGGCCATTGCTCTTTGCATATTGAAATCATAATGGATGATCATCACAAATTGTAAAACCTTCATCCGATCATCCGATCATCCATTGAAATCACATGTAGAACATCTTGGATGATGGGATCGGGAAAGCTGTTGCTCTTCCCAGGTCACCCCAGGACACAGGATGGTCATTTTGCCCATGGTTTTTTTTTAGTCGCACACTCCAACCATGCTCTGCGTGGATGGAATTGGTATCCAAAATATGGGAATATATTTGGGAAATTTGGGAATAATTATATTATGGGATCTGAATATGGGAATATATATGGGATCTGTGACATGGCTGTGTCAACGACGTGTTGCACATCTTGCGGTGATTTGGGGGTGAGACCCATCTGGCCCCCCTTCTGCACATGCTAATGACAGGCTTCCAAAAAATATAACCACAGGAAAACACAAATCAATCAACGTACTCAAAATAGATAACGGGAAGTAGCTGAAAGTTTGAAGATCACAAGTAAAACAAAACATTATATATATATGTATATATTATTATTATTATATTATATTATATTATATTATATTATAGTATGTTAAATCATATTATTTAATTTATTATATTATATTATATTATATTGTATTATTATATTGTATTATATAATATGTTATATAATATTATATATATATATATATGTGCGTTAAAAAAAAAAACAATGTCCAAGAAAATTGAGAAAGGCCACCCCATTGCTGGTATTCTTTTTGTGTTCATCAGCAACAAATCAAATGGACTTGTGATATCAACATTGGAGACATCTATAGTTATAAGGCAATCCAACTATACCGTCCTGACAGTCCTTTCATAAACCCTCTTCAAATAAGATGAGACACTTCAGGGGTCTGTTGGATTTCTCTTAGAGGACACATCTGGCCCACAGGGCTTCCGAACCATGATCTCCCAAAAGACCCGCCGGCCCCATACCGAAACAGCGCACAGCTTCGGTGCGCTGACGCCCACTTTGGCGGCTACTGTTCTGTTTTGTTATTTTTCGCTGCTTTTCATGTCGCGGTCGGAGTCAGCTAAGCGCTGCAACAAGAGAGGAACATGACCGGTTCAAAAAATTGAACTTGTGGTTCAAATTTGGAGGCTTTCCCAGATTCTCTGGTTGGTGGTATACCTACCTCTCTGAAAAATATGAGTCATTTGGGATTATGAAATTCCCAATACATAAAAAAATAAAATTCATGTTCCAAACCACCAACCAGATATTGTATGACTTTTTGGCGGTTTCACTTCAATCGACTGATGGGAAAAAAGATGAAAAAAGGCAGTGTCATCTCGGACAATGAAAAGTTGAAGTGCGGCCAAATGCTTCAGGTTTAAACTGGTAAAAACTTTGAGATATCTTGAGATTGTTTGACTGGGACAATGCCAAAGGTTCACATTTCAAACAGAAAATCAATGAAAATCATAGAAAATACACAGCGCAACTAGTGGTTTGAGTGGGTGCTGCCCCCCGAGAAAAAATAGTAATCAACAAGCAGTCTCTCTGGCAGCCGGGAAGAGAAAGCTCCCTCGCTGTCTCCATTCTCGAGAATTGCATGGCCGACCAGGCTTGCGACTAACTGCAAAGCGACTAAGTTGACAACATTCAACTCCTGCTTGCCATTGGACATATCCTCTGGTAATTTAACATTGCTATCAAACATCACCATTTTTAATAGGTAAACCATAGCTATAAATGGGTCATCTATACCAGTTCGCAGTCCCTGGGGCAAATCACTGGATCAAATCTCAGGCCCTCCGGGTATTGTTGTTGCCGTGGCAACAACTGCCAACCTCACCATGAAAACATATGAAAACCACGTTTTAATTCTGAACACCATTTTTTTCCAACATCAAATTAAACTCAACAAACATCAACAACAAACGCTTCATCAAGGCGAAATCGCAGATTCCTGAGCAATCGCATTACCTGGCCATTCGCCTGTCCCGCGCGCATGTCCGCGCGCTCTGCGCGAAAAAGTCGCGCGTCGTCCTGCCAAGGTTGACTATGACGAGCCATTGTTGTCCAACGGACCCAAACACAACGACCATCGGAACATCATGGGTACACAACATGTTTAAATAATTGGTATACCAAAAATATGAAAAAGGGATCAGCTTTGTTTTTTTTGGTTCTTCATGTTTCGATGTTTGCCGATCACACCCCAAGGTAACAGCTCCACCCTGACAATCACATAGTCTTCTAGTCTTCCAGACCTATGGGTCGATGAAAATAATCCACATGTATCATCCCCATTTGTAATCGTTGTGAATCCCCATGAAAATCTGGTTGGTGGTTTCAACCCCTCTGAAAAATCTTAGTCACTTGGGATGATTATTCCCAATATATGGGAAAATAAAAAATGTTCCAAACCACCAACCAGTCATATTCCCCAAACCAAATTAGTTCGGCCATTTTGGGTGAGACCAGGGCGGGGTCACAGCGATGAGAAATCCCCAGTATGCACTCCCATTTCATGATAGTAAGCACCACTGACTGAACAAGGCCTACTTAGATCTCCATGTATAATCCTCATCTCAAGATAGTAATTCCATGTCATTCCCACTTAGATCCCATTTCAAAATATTTCAAGATAGTAATTCCTCGATTAATCAATGGTGCTTGAATCCTGGTAACGCCCATGGCTACGATAGCCAGCAGAAAAAATGGGTGGCTTCACGCCTGCTGGACAGAGGGGTAAGCCGCAACCGCGCGACGTTTCACACCGTGGCTTTGGATGAATTTGGGTCTCCAGGCAGTCCAGAATGATGTTTTTGGGTCGTAGCCAGCTACTTTGCGAAATGAAAGTCACATCGAGGCCCAGGCGGCTCAGGTAAGCAATCTGGCCACATTTTGGGCAAAAAAAACATCAGCCTGAAGATCTCCATCACTCCATCAGGTGAATTTCACGCGGCCAACTTCAAATCACAAAAATCATGCGGCTAATCGGCAGATGTCATCTGCTTACCAACTTCTCAGGAGAGACATGAGACGTACGTTGAGAAAAGACGGGCATGATGATGAGAATGACTTTACTGGATATCCCAACAAACATATGTTCATATATGTTCAACTTGTTGCAACTTGATCATGTTTTCCAATTGATTTAATATAACATGTTATGTGGTTTGACCCTGCTGCAGCCAATTGCCGGGTTTACAAATCAGGGCTACTGTGGCGAACTTCGCTGTCTGCAGTCTCTGTCTGTCTGAAAGTGGTCGATCTGATCGCCAGTGGTTGTGGTATGCCCTCCAACGCGGCTGCAAGCTTTGGGGGCCATGAAAGTCTGGGGTTGATTTGATCCCGTCCTAATCTTCAATACCTCTAGATATGAAGTGAAACCCACAAAATGAACTGATCCAATATTAAAACAGAGATTTCCGGGGGGCAGGTTTAATCTGTTTTATCTGTTTAAAACGGTGCACTCATGAGATGGGGAAGTTTCCAGTTGCTGTTGGTGTTTGGAAAATCCTTGATAATCCTTGAAATGACATGGAAAACTAGCATCTGAAACACTTTCATCTCCTCTTCAAAACAGCGCGGGCACACACATGTATGTATGTATACTGTATATATGATAATGAATAAATATATATATATATACATATATATATATAACTAACATTATATAACTTATCATACAAATCACAGAAGTGTGACTAGATGAATTCACACATGGTCACACCAGATTTTCCACCCCCAAAAAAAATATGGGCTCCACATCCACCATTTCTCAGGACGGCATTTGTACAAGGTCCTGACAGGTCGGGACAGGTTTCTGTATGGTTTCTCCATGACTTTCAAGTCGAACACCCGCAATTGGAATGATGGAGGAGTAGAATCCACTCCAAAAAATAGTGATGTTTTATGTACTGTTCTATCTTTTCAGGGCTTACCATAGTGTTTTTTTTTCTGGGGGATATCATTGAAGCTAATGGGATGTAACCAACAAACATGGGGACAAAATGGGACAAGTAAATCATGGTAAATGAGAATGTGCTACTCAAACCAATCGATTTTTTACTACCATCTGGTTATTTAACATAGCCATGGAAAATCACCATTTTTAATAGGTAAACCATTTATAAATGGGCCATGTTCCATGGCTATGTTAAATAACCAGAGGGTAGATGTTTTACTAGGCGAAGTGTATCAAACATGTGGTTGACATGATTCCAAGATGTTTGATGCCCCAAGATGATGATAGTCCCAAGTAATCCCTTTCCCCTAGTGTTAAACACCACAAAATAAGCAACCCTGGTGGGGAATGCTTGGGATCCGTTGATGAATTGTGGCCCGTATCAGGGGGGTATTTCACATATTTTAACATTAAAGGAATGGTATGTGAACGGATGTTTTTCCATGATTCATTTACAAAAGAAAACCACTATCTACGATTAATTCATCAAGATGAATATCAAATATGATCCAAGTAAGACCACTTTTTACAGCCAACTTCGAAAACAGTACCTCCACATGTAGTCCCGCCTAAACGACCAAGGTGAACACACAGGCGGCCAAACCTGGGTTTTTTGGAAGACTTCCGGCCATCTACAGAAGATGTTTGGCAGTTGAAATAAACATAAATAAACAATATACGTTGCACAACAGCAAACGCTATGTTATAATACGTACAGTAGTAGATGCGATGTAAAAATAACATATGAATTTAGATAAGATATATGAAAATAACAAATATGGTTGAAAATGCATGGTTTTACCAGAAACTCCACGGTTGCATGGCAAGTGAAGCGCGGTCCAACGGCAACTGGGTCTTTCAACCTACCCAATGGGGCTGTTACTCCTAGGATTTCTTCACCCAGTGACAGGAATCAGATGGGCCGGGCGTGCTCTCTACAACTTCAGGAAAAGACCAGCAACCGTGGTTGCCATGAAGCGGTTGCCATGAGAGATTTCTGAGATTGGTGGTTCCAACTGGGCGCATTAGACATTCCAAAGTTCCAAAGTATAGTGGATTATCTATCTATCTATCTATCTATCTTTCCAGGGATCTTTCCAGGTCTTGGGATGTCTTGGGCATCCCGGCAACCGATCTTCCAAGTTGAATGGTTTTCCATGCTCGTTACAGCAAGACCTGGGATGCTGGGATGGGGTGTCACGGTGGAAGCACGAAATTTTTGGGGGTTTCATATGCCACTTGGGAAACCCCCAAACTTGGAGAAATGTCGAGTTTGAATGATTTTGGTGCAGCAAGTGACTGCATCTGTGGATCATTAAAGGCGATTGGGATGCTCCACCATGTAACGTGAAAAGAATTCAACGGCAACTCTCCGGAATGCATCGGAATGCGATGGGCCCGTTGTACCCTTATTTCATCGTCAAACAACATACAAATCATACAGTAAGTGATGGCCAAAAACTCCGGCAGCTTGCAAACCACCAATCATTCTCCAAAATGATTGTTGCTCGGCTCAAAAGTCCTCCCCAAATCCCGACGAACACGATGGACATCGTGGAAAACCTTCATACATCTCCTTTTTTTCATCAGAAAATCGTTCTGCAAATCTCCAAAGTGTACTTTATCATGCCTTAAATGTATCTTTATCCATTTATGCATTTATCCATTTATCCATTTATCCATCCATTTATCTATCCATTTATCTATCTATCCATGGTTCTATCTATCTATTTATGTAATCTAATCATATCTAATCCATCTTTCCCACAATTTCTTGGATACCGCCATTCCTGGGCGTCCCCACTGCCCAACCACGCTGCGGCGATGCATGCGATGAGCCAATGCACGGGCGCACCCAGGACCTACATCGCTGGACGGTTTTAATGTGGAATTTCCCACGACTAAACCATGGTTTCGTTTACAGTAGGGGATGTTTAATATTGGGGGGAAGGGATGATATTTATTAGATGGTGATGTTGTTCAAACATCTGGGCAAGTTATAATAACTCACTAGCCTGAATAGTTCGGCCATTTGGGGATGATTCCTCTTATTAACCATTATTCCAGCGAGGTCGCAGTGAGGTGTTATAATTTGCCCAGATTAGATGGTGATGTTGCTGTTCAAAAATATATTATTGCAATCGTCTATTGCATATAAAACAATAATATGGTGATGTAACAATAAAATAAGCACCAATTCTATCCGATGATTTGTTTATATATATTACAATATATATATATATCTATTAGATAGGATGTGCAAATAAAATATTGTGTCGGATGGTTGAAACAATGCTATTATTTGGTTTATTACTATGTTTTTTTCAAAAAAATACATCTATTATGTGTTCATTAGATTAGATGTATTAACTTCATTATAAGCCCAACCCAAGTACAGCAACACCAACAAAAAAATAGAAAAGTTTCAAACCATCATTATTTTTGGAGTGGATGTTGCTGTTCGATCTTTTTGAGGATTACTGTTTATAAGTGTATTTATACTCGTTTGTTAGTTACCATCTGGCTATTTAACATAGCCATGGAAAATCATCATTTTCAAGTTCGGTAAACCATCTATTTCTATGGGCCATCGAAAAACCATGGCTATGTTTGTCATAGCAGAGGGTAATTCCCATATCATCCCATTATTCACCATTGTTAACCCATTGTTAAACCACTAAATCACCATTAAATCACCATTTATAGTGGTTAAATCACAATTTTCCAAAACGGTTTTATAGTAGAATCACCATGAAAAATCACCATCAAATAGTGTAGCCTCATGTCATTCAAATGCTACTTCTTCATGATTCGAGGTTCTGGATTTTAGGGCCCGAAAAAAGGAAGCACGCTCTTGAAGCCATGGAAGCTGCGACAAAAATCCACATACCCGGCCTGGTAAACGTCTATAGATCACTATGGAAAGATCCACCGTTTTTAAGAAGTAAATCAACTATTTCGACTGGGCCATTTTCAATAGCTTTTTCTATGTTTACCAGGGGGTAAGTTTGTACCCCAATCACTGGACCACAGCCCGCTTTTCCTTCTTAGCCACTTCTCAGCTGCGACAAGCAGCCTGGTCCTCTCTGTACAACTTTACGCCAAGGCCGGGACGGCAGCGATATCATCTGGATATCATCTGGTTGGTGGTTTCATTCAAGTTTTCACATAGGATATGACCGGATATTTTCCAGGATGGATATCATGATGGAACACAACCTGTTCGCGTTCCCTGTTGAACAGCGGCGCACTGACAGTGACTGACCCCACCAATTCGATTAAATCAACGGAAAACATGGCTGCCATTCTCTAATGGCACCCAAAATGGCTGGGCATTTTCCAGGAGCTGCCCAAGTTTCCCTTGTTTCTAGATTGCAAATTTTGGGACAACGGTAACTGCAACCTGGCCTCATATAATGAAGTCCTTCAGAGCAATTCTTGAGGATGTGAGGGAAAACAACAAATTTTTGTTGGTTCATCATGTTCATCATCCATGGCCGGCAGGCCAGTAGCGAATGATTTGTTGATGACAGGCACATCCATGCCGTCTTCTGCAGGCATTCGGATGCTACGCATTGCGCTGGTCAGTGCTGGTCAGTATTGCAACCTCAGCACCCATGAAACAAGGAAAACAGATCAAATGAGGCCTCAACACCGATGTGAAGCAGAGTGAAGCAAACCTTTGGAAATGCAAAAGCTGTTTTGTTTCATTGCAATTCGTCGAGAACACGGTTCTTTTTCAGAGTTCATCTCAAATTTCGGGTGTTTGAAGCGTGTACATCACATGAGCCAAAGGTTCTAGTTTTGTACAGGTAGCATGAACAAAAACGAAGCAATGAGATTTTATCATGATTTCCTCTCGATAATCCCCAAAAGACAACCATTATATATATATATATATAAATCTCATTAAATCACAAGTTGTGATGGCAAAAACATCAGTTGTTTATGGTAAAAACATCAGTTTTGATGGAAAAATCACTATCTTTCATTGGAACATCACCATTTTTCTTGGGAAAATTCATGAAAATTACCCTCTGGTAAATTAACATAGACCCTGGCAAATAGGACTTGGTTCAGATTAGTTTCCATTAAAAATTGGTTATTTTCAGGGTCTATGTTTATTTACCAGAGGGTACAAGTTTCATGGGAAAAAACACAAAAAAACGAACTGCTTCGACACAAGAAACCGGCCGCGTGGCTCAGCCGCCGCGTTGGGCCACGCTGAGCTCGGTCTCCGACTCGCAGCTCGCAGCGTAGACCACGGTTGGAAGACCCAAGAAACGCGCCTGGTGAGCTGGAGAATGTTGGGATAAACATGGATAAAGATGGGGTAGGAATTGTCATAGTAATATATCATGATATATTATGTAATAAATCATGGGATCATAACATGGGGTAAGAATTGTAATTGTCATAGTATAATATATATATATATTGCATAATTGTATATAAAGAATCATGGGTAGTAATAGGATGTAATAGAGATTTGATTACCAGAAGGTGCGTGAATCTTCAAGTCAATCAAATCAGGAAAAAATGAAATAGTCACCAAATATGAGAATAAATTAGCTTAAATTCAATGGAACTGCCACCAACCACAATTAGGATTTACAGTAACCAGCTTGAATTGGACATCTAGAGTATATATATATATATAGTAACAGAGTTTGGATTTAACCAGCTTAAATTTGAAATTTTAACATACTTTACCAAGAAAACTAAAACAGTCGAGACATTGGAAAATTGATGTTGATCTTGCTGGTTTGTCCAAGTTTTCAATGGCTAAGCATCTGCAAATGAAACAGGGTGAGCATCCACTGTTTTTTTTGCCAATTCCATTGAACGTTTCTAGAAAGCCAGTAGTCCTATGAGCATTTCGATCCAAATTATTGCATCCTGCACATGTTCCCTTGGAATTCCAGGGTTCTTAAGCCAAAAAAAAATGGAATGTGTGGTGGAAATGTTGCCAACTTCCAAAAATTCCCACCATTTCCCACCCAAATTTGTTTGTCTGACAGTCTGACTATTCCTGGCGAAAGCCTCACTGCTAGAGCTTCCGTGGGGCCCAATCCAGCCATGCCCCGACTTCCCCAGCCACAGCTAGATTACTTGGAGGATCACCGTAGCCCCTGCTGGAGGACTTACGTTCCAGGGCAAAGCCACTTACGACCCAAGTACGACCCAAGGATGATCCCCCAAGTGTTATGATAACTATAGTCCAATAATCTCCATATAATCAATCCGTATATAGATATATAAATATATATATATCATAATATATATATTGTACAGTATGCATATATATATATTATATATATATATATATATTTTTTGACAACTATCAAAGACATATTCGTTAATGGTGATAAACACAGTCTATATTTATTTATGTCTGTGTTCCATGGCGGCCATTTGAAGGTCCTGAAGTTGCAAGGCAAGGTATTTGGAGTAGTTCCCTCAGCGCGTGGCATCATCCGTGGGCGCGATCGAAATTCTGTAGCCACTGTCCCCAGAAACTCTTGGTACTGGAGCACTCCATCTTCTGGTTGGTGGTTGAGCCACCCCTCTGAAAAATATGAGTCAGTTGGGGTTATGAAATTCCCAATATGTGGAAAAAGAAAATTCATGTTCCAAACCACCAACCAGTTTTTCGTTTTCTTGTGTTCTTCAGTTCTGCCATGCCATGATCAGCGGGTTTGTCAGTAAGCACCATCCTTTCTTTTAAACATACTGCTGGTCAATTTCCAACAGCGATCTCAAATAACAAACAAAAAGTATGAAAAAGTAAGACCTCGCACCACCTATCCCAGCGTCCTGTCTCAAACCGGTCAATTGACATCAAATATGGCGCATGTTTTTTCTGATGATTTTTGAGTCCCACAGAATGTTTGGAAACACCACGGAGTTCCATGGTTTTCCTCAGATCGCCGGGGCGCGAGACAGTCCCAAGTTGCCGCCCTGCACCTGAGCGGTGGCTTCCCCCACCGAACCCCGTTGACGGCTGTTGAATTGGAAAGCTACCATTTGAAGTATCAAATCATGACTGTTGGGGGAATATAGCCCTAAACTTCCTAAACAAACCATGGGTTTATTCATCCCCAAGACCCCAATGTACCCCCAAGACCCCCATGGGTTGATCCGAGGCGCCCAAAGCCCTTCCTGCGCTGTGGGTTTCCACATGTTCCGCAGCTCGCCTTGCCAGGGCCCTGGGTCGTTGGGTCCGATGTTGGAGCCCAACCCCCAGACGCGGCCCAGCTTCGCGGAGACCTCTTTGCCCAAAAACCTGGGAGAAAAGCCATAGGGAAACACAGGGGAAACACGGTGAATTTGGAGGGATGATGGGGGTTGATATCTGAGGATATGATGTTAGTATACAGTATACAGTATACATATGTATACATGATAAAGGTTGCTTAATATTGATGAGTGATATCCTAATATCCCAGCTTCAGGTTTAGATGATACATCCCAACTATTTCCAATCAGAAAGCCAGGCGTTGATCCCCAAAAAAAGGCACCGCACAAGTACCTTCACAACCACATCAAAGGCTGGCCTGTTTCTCAATATCAGTTTTTAATTTTTGACACATCCCTATAATTCAACACCTTCATACTGATTGCCACAAACCACTTTTTTGATGAATCATCGTTTTTTGATGAATCATTTTACAAACTTGATGAAACTTTCGAACCACTTCTTTGTACAAGTCAAACTTTCATTTTTCCAGCGGTAAGCGGCGCTTACAGGGCCCCATATTTCTTGATGATTCAATCCCATGTTTTCACGGGCAAAAAAAGCATCATTTTTTCCAAAGCCACCCCAAGTTGCTCTCCCAAACAAAATTATCCAATTACTATTGCTTACCTAAGATAAAGATAGATAAAGTCTGAGTTGAACCGTGTTAAACCATATTCAACCATCTTTTACTGGCTTCAAACCCATTCCTTGTCCCCCAGAGAAACAGAGACATCACCAGAAATCACCACTGTATTTATCAAATGATGTTAAATTGATCATAGCTTGAACATTAAAAATGCTGAAGCAAAAAAACAGGGTTTTACCTCCATACCTCCCAAGAACCGCGTCCAAAATCGCTGCAAGACACTTCTCCACCGCCTCGTTCAGCGGTCGATACCCCGTCGCCATCACCACCAGCTCCGCGTCGAGCGTCTGGCCGTCCGAGAGCACACAGCCGGAGCCCGAGAGGCCTAGGGACAGGACTTGAAGGTGGTTTTATTGGGGGTTTTGACGGGGTTTTTGATGGGGTTTGAAGATAATTTAAGGTTTCAGGACTAAACTAAAACTTGGGATCTATGGGGGATTCGAAGTGAGAAAAAGTGGGAGTTGGATAACACCAATTGAGATTTAAACGTGATTGCAGCAGGAAACTCTTGGATTTGAAGTGGAAAACATGGGATTTAAGTGGAACGCTTGGTAAACAAACATCAGCAGTTGCAGATCTATCAATTTTCTCGCCGTCTTTGCAAAGTGGACGTAGAGGAGCTGCAAGGAATGGATCTCCCATAACTTGAGCTTTGCAGCTCCAATCAACAGAGAATACCATACCGCACACCATGACACCATGAGTGCACCTGTGTGATCTATATAAAATCTTAAATATTTCTTTTAATAGATCTTTTAACTTTATGTGCAATAAGCTTATGTTCAATATGTTTAGGTGCAACAAATCCCAAACAATCCCAAACATTCCTCTCAAACACAGTCCCCAATTTCACTGCCAACCTACATTCTAAGCGCACATCCCCACTCAATCGGATGCTCCACACTGAACCATAGGAACCATGGCACCGGTCACTGAGCCGTGCTTCAATTGCACCTCTCGTTTGATGATCAAATCAGAAGCGCCCGTGTCGAAATAGTACCTTCCAGCGGGCTGTCAGAACAATGGTGGTTTGTGTGCGTTTTTTTTGGGGGGGAAGATGATTTACAATATCCTGACATCGGTACATCAGAACTGCAGCCTCGGATATTCCAGCATCATTCCACCATCAACCATCGCCCTTTGGGCCGCCATGGCCATCCCTGGCCCCCTTTGGATCCAACGAGGTACCCGCAGCCACGGCGGAGGAACATCATGATGTTGGCGCTCTCGTCTTCGCCTTGGGATTGCCATGGGCGACGACTAGACTAAGGGACTCTCTCGGGCAGCTGCCCGGGCATCTGCCTGGACCAAGTGACCGAAATCCAGGCGAAAACCGGCATCTTCCAGTTGTTTGTAGTACTCCGCATCCTTCCTGGGCGAGAAAAATCATGACACAATGACACGTGACAGACTATACAAGCTACAAGGTCGACCTTGCCAGTTGAAGTGTGGATTTATCAGCAGCTTTGTCAACTCAATCAACTCCTAAGCTTTCTCAATCTCAGCCGCTAGATCATACTAAATCTGAGGTGCTAGATCATACTACCAATACTTATCAATGAGTCAATGAGCGGAGTTGTTGTGCCCATCTTCATTTATCTCCTATATTTTGCTATAACACCATTCAGGAAATTATGTTGAAGTAAACCTCGCTCCCTTTCTTGCAGAAGCCACTCTCCTAGGACTACCTGGAACGCTTTGTCCCAGCTTTGGAAGGTAAATATTGCAATAGCTCTCAAACCTGACCTAAGGCTATTTTGGGTTCATTCCCATGATTTGCTAAACAGCTATTGAAAAGCAGCATTGAATACCATGGAGAATTGATAGCCAAATCATGCCAAATCATGGTAAATCAAAACATGAATACCATGAATAATTGCTATTGATTAAATCATGGTAAATCAAAACTTCGAAGGTGCCACCGGTGTCATTGGCAAACCGGTGACACAAAAACCCAACGGCAACGTCACCGAGCGTCTCCTTGATCTCTTTGCAACGCTTCTTCTGGAGCTCCGTGACGATGCGGTAGGGCATCCTTGGGATTCACAAACGGGGAAGTGACGAATGCAATGCCTTGGGCCTTGGGAATGAACCGGATGGAATTGGTTGATGATGATTGTACCACAGATTTGATGATGATGATGATGATGATGATGATGATGATGGTAAATGAACGCTTACTGTTGGATGGGATGCCATTGTCACCATTGTCCTATGTTCACTGCATGCCATCCCCGGCGGCCACGGCACGTGGTGCTCTTCAAATCCGCTTCCTCAGTGGTGATGCCTTTCGCCTGGGCGGCGTCGTTGTAGAGATCGAAGACCGTCTCCAGCTGGGTGTCGATGTGGATCACCATGGTGGCGCTACCTGGGAATTTCTCAGGGTTGGTACCCTCTGGTAATGACTAACATATGGCAAATTGGTGATTTTATGGTGGTTTAATGGTGATCTAATGGGATTTACCTGGTAATTTAACATAGCTATTGAAAATGGCCATAGAAATAGTTGAATTACCCATAAATAGCATGGTGATTTTCCATAGCTATGTAAACGTTTACCAGAGGGTAAGCCATGCTTAAGCCATGCTTAAAGCCATGACAATAGGAGCAAAAATGAGAAGACAAATTGACAATCCGTGACAAATGATGCACATCCCAAAGTCATTCGAAAGTCAGTTCTGGGATCATCATTCCATGTTTACATGTATGTTTTTAGAGTTTTCATAGCCATGTCTGTTCTACCCCCCCAACAAAAAAACGCTGTGCACCATTCCGATTATTTTTGCCCTCAAGTGACGTTGCACCATCGTCACTTCAGCGCCGCATTCCCAAAGGTCTTCGGCAATGTCCTTAGCTGGATGGTTTATTTCATGGAAAATCGTATTCAAAATGGATGATTTGGGGCTGCACTCATTTCAGGAAACCGGGAAAATGGTGCGAAAATGGTGCAAGAGAATGACTCCAACATGTTCAAACCGTTTCAAAGCCATTCAGGGAATATGTGAAGCAATGTGAAGCACTATTTTCTTTGGGAGATATCTTCATTGAACCTCTGCATTTTGTTCAACCCTGAATTTTGAAGCTCAACTATACTTCAAACAAGAACTCAATGCCCACAGCTAATACAGCATAACAGCATAACAGATAAGGTTTCACACACATTTCCCGTTTCATCCGTGTGTTCCAAAGCCCCACCTATCCCACCTTTGGCAAGGCGCGTGTGCAGAGGTATTGGAACCCACCACCACTGCCTTCTTGCCTATGGAAAAAAGGCCATCATGCTGGACAAACCAATCGTCTCCAGAATTTCCTGACGTTACTCATCTTCAATGATCAGACTCAGCATTGTGGAAATTCGTCATCATTGTTCTACTTTCCAACCATGAGAATCCATGAGATATAGTTTTTTTTCCTGCTTTTGCTGGTCAAAATTCGTTATTTCCGCAACATTTGGTTAGTATCGTCTCCGCATTGTGTAGCTGTCTCCCCCAACCATTGTTGGATATGTAAATGTCGCCATCATTTTGTTGGATGTCTAGGTGCATCTTTTTTTGCTCTCACCTGGTTTGCCTGAAAATCCCGAACATACATCCATTATCATCCGTTCGGAAATGATTATCCCATCACAAATTTAGATTCCCCTGCCATGTTTGACTACCAAAGGGTACATGCCATGTTTCCTCATCAATCTCCCCGTGAAGTATGGCTTATATGGCTTTAAATTTAACCGTTTTTGCCACATCCACAACCTCCCGGCCCAGCTGTTCCCGGGTCGACCTTGGTAGCTCTTCCCATTTTTGTAGGCGGAGGAATGCATCACCTCGCCCTTGAAGCTCTCGCGATTTTGCAGCTCGGGCATCATGGGGCTGCCATACCTGAGACCGCCATGACATCCATGACCGCGGTGACCGCACATCCACGTCCATCGTTATCCCATTCCGCGACAAAATTAACCCCCCTTCTATGGTCATATGCCTCAATCCCATCCCTCAAACCAACCTATACTGGTTGGTGGTATACCTACCCCTCTGAAAAATATGAAAGTCAATTGGGATTATTGTTCCCAATATATGGAAAAATAAAATCCTGTTCCAAACCACCAAACAGTATAGTTTCTGAGGGGTGTTGAAACAATAAGCTGGGGCAAGGGGTTACGCATTCGTTCTTAGTGATCTTCTTCCTGAATAATGTCAACCCTGGATTGATGTCCACCCCGTCCAAACGGCTGTTGAATTGGGAGGGTACCATTTTAAGTATCAAATCATGACTAGTGGGGGAATATCCCCCTAAATAAACCATGGTTTATTAATCCCCAAGGCCCCAAGACCCCCAAAACCATGCGTTTAAGTATCAGACAAAATGACTATTGGAGAAGTTCCCCCCCTAAAATTCATAAACCATGGTTTAGCAATTTATCCGGGCTTGACATTACAGTAAAAACATCTATAGAAACCCTGAAGATCAACGCACCAGCTGCCCATCATCCCATCATCCCATCATCCCAAGCTGCAAACCCGTGGCCAGCACCAGGTGTTTCGGTCTCAATGTCACCTCTGATCCCTCGCGAGAGACCTTCACCTGCAGGGGTTGGGGGGTGAACGTTGGAGGATTGATGTTTGACATGACCTTCAAATATGTATATGTATATTATATTATTTATATATATACACAGTAGTAACAAAATATTTGTGAGAATAACCTGGGTCTCAAAACATTATACATATGTATTTCTTTCTCTCTCCCTCTCCCTCTCTCTCTCTCTCTATGTCTCTCTCTCTCTCTCTGTGTCTCTCTCTCTCTCTCTCTCTCTCCATCGCCATCAAGTCTCCATGCCCCAATTATCTACGCTGATCTAATCGTATTTATTTGTTATTTATTGTTAATTTTGTTGCATACAATTGTATCCCAACCTCACCGCAAGTTGGCAGGTCGCTTCACAACACCAAGTGACCAGCCATTGCTTCTGCGTTGCGTCCCAACTGGCGGAGGAACAAGTGGAACTGCCCCAGAAGTTCACTTCCATGGCCGAAGCATAGACATCCTCACATGGCTGGGGACAGCAGTGTAGCCTGCTGGATGGGGATAGAAATACCGCTAAAAAAGGGGATAGTGGAAGTCTAAGAGTCTCAAGCTGTGCCACTTTTGCCGTTTCTGTATCACTGTATGATGTATCTCAGAGATGTGCCTTTCTGTTTGAGATGGCGATTCATTTTGCAAACGCAGAGCAGTCGATGTTCCCAGCGACCTAAACCTCCATTTATAGAGGGACTTCCCATCTTTTCCGATGAGTTGCCCATTCTTTATAGGGGATATCCATGAATTGATGGGGGATTTCCGGATTTCCCAAGCTCCATGAACCCAAAAAAGGTGAGGCTTCCGAGTCAGTGAGCATAAGGGGAACACAACCACCTGAAACAAAAGTAAAACACAAGCCATGAATACGGAATAACATAGGGATTATTTACTTACTCAGTGAGTTTTTGTGCAACAAAAAGGTAAACCTTTTTTTTGGTTAGGTTCGCGCGCGATTTTGGGGTATAAAATGGAGCCCCCCCCTTGCGTGCGCGAACCTAACCCAAAAAAAAGTTCAAAGTTTAGACACTTGCTGAGTTAGTTTATGCTGGATTCTGACATGTTTTTCTTTGCCTAACTCCGTTTTCCCACCTCAGAAGCTTTCCCGTCGTCTGTCGAGCATCCAACCAATGGGCCATCTGATCCTTGTGCATCCACAGTGGCCAGTGGTCCGGCAGCGGCAGGTGCGGCAGATGATTGGCGAAGATGGGATCGTGCAGGTGGAGGCAGTCGTAGCCTGAGAGCTCTGGAGCTCGAAACGGTCAACGGTCGCTATGGTGATGGGTGACTAATGCGACTAATGTGTCTAATGTTGAGGGAAAAAATCGAAAAAGTCCTCCATCCTATAAATTCACATGTTCATGTAACATGCTTCTTTACCAGGTGATTGATGACCATGTTTTTTTGAGCAAATTATCCAAGTTTTGGCCAAAAGGGCCGACTGCCATCAAGACTGAACACCATCTAAACAAAAACGAAGCGCCAATGACCCATGCAAACCATGGCAACAATACATCATAATATATCCAATTGCAACAAACATATACAAATAATATCAAATATATAATATGACTATCTCCAAGCATCCTTGGTACGGGAAAGTCTGTCTCTCCCCAGTCCCAAAGGGGTTGGTGATCCCAACGAAATATGAGTCAGTGAGAATTGCCATCCCATTTCCCTTGCCAAACATGAGACAACTGAATACAACTCATCAATGCTAATCATTCATCAATAACATCTCCCCCAATACTAAACCCGACCATTTTAATCATTCTATATGGTCCAAAGATGTGGTTTTCATCCACTAAAATCATGGTTTCAGGGGACTGTTTGATATTAGGAAGGGTTTTTTACAAATGACTTTAATACTCAAAATGACATCTTTTCAAACCTCCTGCTCATAAGGCATCACCATCCCATCTGGCTACAATCATTCACCAAGCTCCAAAAATCGCTTGGGTCAAGACCCCAACTGTTCAAATCCATCACCATCCGACCAAATTCCTACAATGTGAGGCCCCCAAGATAGCTAAGTTGGTTTATAACTCCAATAACTATGGTTTATGGTACTTATAACTATAGTTACTGGGGCTTTTCTTAACCAACTTATAACTGGGGGGCCTCACATTGTACAATTTGCCTATTTTCAACGGGTGAAATTCACCAGAAAATGCAGAAATCCATCGCCCCACGGGACCGCATCGTCGAAGCCACGGTTGCGCCAGCTGTCCCCGGGCCGCGGATTTTGGTCCAGCACCACGTAGGGCACCGACATCCGCTGCAGCCGTGTGGCCAGAGCCAGGCCGCATTGGCCACCGCCAACGATGACCACCTGGGGATGGGGATGGCTGGGGGAAGGGGCATGGGGATGAAGCTGAAAATCTAGGAAAACCCTTGGAAAACCCTTGGAAAACCCCTGGAAAACCCTGTGACAAAACCTATGACCTATGAATCTGTGAGAACCCTAGCAGAAAACAAAAACTATGAAACCTTAGGAAAAGCTATGGCAACCTGATGACATCCTGCAGTGTGGATGGGAAAAGACCGGCAAACTTTCGACTTTATTCAATTTTCCATGTTTTCTTGAACTAGATGGGTGTCCTTCATTCAGCCATTGAACATGGACATATATGGGTAGTTGTGCCATATGGTGTATCATGCAGGTGAAGCACAACCCCATGTGCCAGACATGCCTGCGAAAAGCAACATGGACAATAACATTGCAATTGTTGATAGAAAAGAAACCTCATTCATCCACTTGCAAAAGCCATGAAAATTCCAGGCACTAAAATATGCGATGATCCTGAGAAGTCACGAATGGGCCAATCATATTAGACAGTACTAGACCCGGTGCTAGCTCGAACAACTCCATCACACATTTTTTTGTGAAAAGTTTGAAGACCCTCCGCGCAAAATGGTGCATTCAGCATCCACACATCCATCCCTTAGCAGCTACCTTTGGGCTGGCAATGGAAACCCATAATTACCGTAGATACGCTCTGGTAATTCAACATGGCTATTGATTTCATGGCCCATAGAAATAGTTGATTTCCCTATTACAAATGGTTGTTTTCCAGTTCGCAAACTGTAAACGTTTACCGGAGGGTATTCCGTAGATGTTGATGGAACCCATCATGATTTCTACAAATTTTCCCAGCGGCAAAAGGTTCTTCATCAACTCCAAGGGCTGCTCTCTTCTCTTCCGCTTGCCTTAGACCGCAGGGCGCACTGGCCGGAGCCGGCACGACCTGTGGGACCAAGCTATTCTTCAAAGTTGGGGGCTCAGTGGCAAAAACCCATGTTTCCTGAAACAGTTGGCAGGTTCATTTTGTGTTATTCCCATATTATATAACCATTTTAACCATGTGAGATCCATGCAATATCGATCTGTTCCAGGGCGCGTGGTGATTGGCACACGACCTCGTATGGAACCTTGGAAGCGATGCGCTCTGCGCTAAGGTCGTTGGGTGAACAACATGGGGAGGTTGGCCATTGGATCTGGGTAAATCACATGATTTATATCTGGTTGGTGGTTTCAACCCCTCTGAAAAATATGAGTTCGTCAGTTGGGAGTATTATTCCCAATATATGGAAAAATAAAATATGTTCCAAACCACCAACCAGTATATATATATATATATAGGGAAACACCCCCATATTATCCCAATGATTCAAACAATATCCCTAGGGTAAACTAGAATATTGAATGAAATAACCTGTAATAAGGCTAATATTGGGATGATATTCATCTGGCTAACCTTAAATAAGAATGATTCCCCATCTATAAATCATGATTCCACTGAGGTCACGACGTGAGGTCACTATACTGTACCCAGATTGGATTCACGACATGAATTCCACATCTGGTAAAATTGGGGCATGGCTTAGATTCATAGCCTTTTCGATCTGTTTGTTTCTGCTGGAGTTGGGGGCGGGGTCGTGGGTCCCAACCAGTCATGCCAGGGCACCATAGGGCCTTCCCTCAGAGCGGTTAGGCCCTGACGGATCCGGAGCAGCTTTCCTCAAGCAGAATGACTGCCCCAAATGGCTACCCTCTGGTATACATACAAAAAGCTATTGAAAATGACCATAGAAATAGTTGATTTACCCATCGAAAATGGTGGATCTTTCCAGAGTTATGTTAGTTTACCAGAGGGTATTCATCCTGGAATGGCCGGCGATCATCCTGCCACATAAGCATTCATAAGCGGTGCCTTGCGTTCCATATGCGATATTTGGGTGTATCCAAAAGTGAGGGTTACCTTCATGTGTGAGAAAATGATGATGATACATAGATCCTGAATATTCCTGAGTTACCCTAGATTTTGGGGTACCCTATCTTCAATCAAACCCGTACTATAGGATATATTATTAGGCCTATTGCCAACAAACAGGCTCAAGACTCAATGGAAACCCGAATCAATGGAAACCCAATTCCAACCCTCAGAAACACCCAACGGTAAATTGAACCCAATGACCTTGCCGTCAACACGCCCAAACCACACACTTGGATGGAATAGAAAAATGATAGAAATAACTCCTTGCACTACACCTCACCAATGTATCTCTAATTTCTTTTCAATGGGCAGTCACCGACTATTTCTTGAATGCAAGAATTGTATCTCTAATTTCGATAATCTGTTGGTCCAACCCCAAATTTCAACGCTTAAACATCCTAAAACAAGATTTACCTAGAATTTATTCATCAACCTAATGACATCATGTCCAATCCCCAGTCATAAACCATTGATGAAGTATATACACTGGATAGTCCAAGTTTGGGGTAATGAAACATCTTTACAAACAAAAGTTTCACCCTATTGAATGATGTATATTTAAGCATGATGGTCAACCCTAATCAATCATTAATTCCATCACATTAGTTGATATCAACCATCCATATGGATGGTATTCACCCGAATCTGCCAGTCATTGGATTGGTTTGAAGGGGAAATCAACAGGAAACCACATACTTCCATTATCCCTTTTGAAATCAATGTCGCATTTTTTTCTGTGAAAAACTCCGAAACCGTGCGTTTTCCCATGATTTTTATGGGGCTCATCCCTGGAGCCAGGCTTTCGTCACTGCTCCACACCACCAAGGCTCAGCTGATCTGCTGCGGTCATCAGGGTCCAACATGTGCCATCCGCATTCAGCCGCACATGACCCACCCCATGGAGCAGCTCCGTTTCCTGAAGCCATGGGCGATCTGCAGGGTGCCCCAGTCGTTGGCTAAGTTGGTGTATAAGTCCAGCAAGTAGGATTAAGTTGGGGGTTATATCAGTTATATCTATATGGTTAATGAATAAAATCCCATGCTTTAAAAAAAAAATCCACGAAGAAATAAGAGAAACGAGCGCGCTTCGTTCGTTGTGCCAAGGGTCGAAAGTGAGCCATGCTTCCACGCGACCCTCGCCGGCGTCTTGCGCATCACCTGGCAGGCTCGTTGGGGTTTCATGGGAATTCATAAGAAAAACAGTGGGATATAACCAGAAATACTGGGTGTATATGGAAAACATGGGGATATAACCAGCAATAGTGGGATATCATGAGGATATCATGAGGAATGAGGGATTTACTGTTAATTGTTAGGGCTTTCTATGGGATTTGAAATGGGGGCATCATGGAATTTATGCGGATATGATAGGGACACACGTATAACCAACAATAGTTGGATATCCATGGATATACAGTGATATGATGATGATTTCGTAACTTCATGAGATTAGAGGCATGATCGTAGGCTCAAGCAGCTACAAGCTCAATCAAACATGGCTGGCCGGAAAAACTTGGCTATTGAGCTCGTTGATTTTCCCAGCGAACTGAACCTCCATTTAGTAAAAGGGAATTCCAGCCACGTTTTGCTTACTGAATCATCATTCTATCCATTTATATCCCACTATTGTTGGTTGTATATTCCTAGTTTTCCCACATCAATATCATCAATTCCCATGAAACCCTGTATTTTCCTATGATTTTCCCATGATTTTCCCATATTTTCCCATGGTTTTCTCATATTTCCCATGATTCTCCCATGGTTTTGTGATGTTTTGCGGATTCCCTACTTGCGAACTCCGCTTATGCGGCGCCTTTGATGGCCCAGGTGGCTTTGGGCTTCACGGTCTTCACCATCTCTTCGATTGCCTCCTGGCCCTCCATGGTTTTCAGATTCCTAGGAGCCACATGGTGGCGCCAGGTGTGATGGAAAAAGCTTCATCTATAGTTGGAAAATCTATAGTTAAGACTCTATAGCGATACCTCAATTAATTTGGAAATTTGGAAATAGCGATTAATTGCAACATCTTCTATAGATTAGTTGAAAAATCTATGTACCTAAATTAATTTGGAAATCATCTGTAGTTAGGAATTTATACCTAACTAATTTGGAAATAGTGATGAATTAGAAAACCTCCATAGGGCCATTGAATGCCATTGATCTGCAAGAAGTTTATTGATTATCGCTAGAAAAACCTCGATCGGTTTCCAATGGCCATGTTTGATTACCAAAGGGTACCATGGGGTCATTCTGCTTTTTCACATTTCAAACCTTCCCCAGGCCCTTTTGCATCCAGATTCCAGGTGAAGGCTACCAGATCCCTCCAGTAGCATTCGGCAGCAAAGATGCCATTGCTCACTGCCCCCTGCTCCAGGGCGGCAGTGAAGCGACTCAGCCAACCTGTCACCAGGTCCTGCATGGTGGCGGGTAAAGTTCGGCAGGTCGAAACCCGACAGCTGAGCCAAAAGGGATGGCGCCAAGCGCGGAAGCAACCTCCAGCAAGATTTCCTGCAAACATGGGCATGGACAGTCTCAATTGTCATTAGGATTCATTAGGGACATCGTGGATTCGAATGGATTCGATGAAAAGAGCAGGTTTCCCATCATGCTTGTCTACAATGAGGGTACTATTTCTCTAGACCCCTAGAAATATCCTTAGCGAATTATCAAGTGGACCATGTCAAATCACAACATCCGATTTGCAGCCGGCCAGACCTGCATGATTGTAGAGTCGATGTTTACCGGTGTGCCCAACCTGGGACATCACTGAGTTGATGTGGGATTCACCTGCCATAGTCACCATCCTATGCCAACCATGGCTGGGGGTCATACCAACCATGATCCCAAAAGCTAATTTGATAAACCTCTGTTGGGGTTGGCTTATTGGTTACCATGAGGGAAAATCACTATGAGGCAATGCTGGGATATTTTTCCGAAGATGGATGGGAAATAAGAGCCACCAAAGAAGAAAGAGCGACATAAACTCGTCAGCGGTACTCCCCCGGTGTCAGCTGAACTCCAAGTGAAACTTATGGCCCGAATCACTCGCAAACAAATGCCGCTCGCTCCTATCCCCACGGTGCAAATGCAGTGTGGTTGCACCCCCTCAATCAAGTAGGCAGTTTCTTCCGAAATACGGGTTCATCATTGGTCAGAAACTACGTCACTACGTAGACACCCTGATGTCTGCTGTTCAATGATATTCCCATGATATCCCCATCATTTGTTGCTTAACTCTCCATAACTAGGTTAAATCATGTGAAATCCCAACTTGTTTGGGTGTAATCCCCGTCCCAATCCGTCCCAGCTGCTTCGCGGAGAGGAAGCCGCAGAGGAAGGCCGCAACGCGGCCCAGCAGCCATCCCAGCAACAGCCCCATTTTGCCTCGGTGGTTGAGGCTTTCAGGCTTTCACCTGCTGTGATCTGATTTGGGGCTATGTCATTGGAACAAAAGTCAAAACAAGGTGGTTGACTGGTGTTAGACATTGCCACTTGTGTCTGCATTTGATTAGAAAAACTGTGAATTTTAGATGATTTGAGTTGAAATAACGTGAAGATTTACTATGGAAAAATGAAGATCAAACCAAGGAAGTGGATTAATTAATGGGCAGAACCTTACAGACATATTTCGATTGGTCAGTGCAATCGCCACCATTAGCAAGTCGAATATTTTTTTCTGCGCACTTGCAATGCAGCCAGAAGGGCATGCCATCAACACAGTCTGCATCCGGCCTTTTTTTTCAAATCTAAAAGCAGCCGCTTTGGGCTTTAGATGGCTTTGTGGATGATTTTTCCACAAACCACCTCTAAGGCTCTAAGGTCCATTGAGGTCGGTTTTTTCTCTCACCCGACCTTTACCTGGGTTTGTTCCAAAATGGGGGATGCTCCAGAACGTGCAATTTTAGAAAAATGGATGGATCATCATGGATCCACCATGAAATGTTGGCATTTCATGGGAATTTCCAACAGTTTTCCAACCAAAAACCATCAAAAACCCACCTCATTCGCTCCGTTTCCACAGCAACACGTTGGTTTCCTCTCGCACTTGGACCCCGTGGCATTTCCCACAACGGGTCTCGATCACCGCCCCATGGCAGGACAAGCTGGTGCCAGCGATGGCAGCTAAACGACGCATGAAGATGTCCTGAGTTCGGTGCCGGGCAGGGCCCTGTCGGTCCCATCCAATGTCCCATGGCGGTGAAAAACTGGGGATTTACCATCTGGTTATTTAACATAGCAATGGAAAATCACAATTTTTAATAGGTAAACCGTTTACCAACCATCTATTTCTATGGGCAATTTTCCATGGCTATGTTAAATAGCCAGGGGGTAACCAAGAAAAATATCGAAAAAATGGGATTTGAATGGATTTGATTTGACCTACAAGAAGGTGGATTTCACCAACAAAAATGGGGATTCGACCTGAAAAAAACATGTGGATTTCACCAACAGAAATGCGGATCTGCGATCAGGATCATTCCTGGACAAGCCGCATTCTCACAACCCATCAAGGGAAAACGAAACATGATCTACAAGGTGAGGCACCCCCAAGTTATGTTTGTTGGTTGAGTTCCAGCCATGAAACATCATGAAACACGAGTGGTGCCCAGCCACGTTGGACGGTCTCAGCGCAGCGCCGTAGACCCAAATCCAGTCATGATCCACCACGGCTGGCACCACCGCCTCCAGAAGCGCCTGCTGCGCAGCTCTGACAGGTAGCATTGGTGGCTGTGGGGGTTAGCTTCCCAAATTGGGGAAGATATCAAACATGGCATGGCAACTGGAAATTCCCTATAAATGAGAGGGTTATATTAGGAAATCATCCACAAATGGTGGATTTTCCATTGCCATGTTTGATTACCAAAAGGAATCTAGAAGGTACATACACAAAATGAAACTGTCAATATCTCAGTTTGACCTCCAAAACACTTGGCGTTCCCAGACTTGGGGGTAAAACCATGATAGAAATAGTATGCAGAGCCATTCGGATGATGGGGGTGGAATTCACAACTCCGTTGGGATATAGCATGACATACCCACACAAATTTGATATGGAACCCAACAGGTAATCTACCCCTTGTAAATTGTGGCACCTTGGTTCCAGTCTTTAAGTTTTGTGCGTGCCTGTTGATAGACCACTTTGAAGCATTTTCCTCATCCTCTATCTTGTTTGGATATGCCAACCACCAAAGGAACTGAGATACACTATACTACCCTATACTCACATATTTTCCAAAGACCCACAGATATATGAAAACGACAATAGCATTAGAAATAATAACAACATAGTCATCACCAGGAACCTAATCTTTTACTGCGTCTTTGAATAACTGCAACAATAATAATAATCTTACCTTGCAGCAAACCAGCGTACAGTACATCTGGCAAAGCCATGATTTTTGGATCCTTTCAACCATAGGTCTTGCAGACCCTAGTTTATCCCACAATCTTGGGACAGTTTCCATAGAAATGTTACATTGCCGAGACGGCTAAGAATCTTAAAACCCATGTAATTCGATGATTTTCCCATTTAAATCCTTCAAAACTCGAGAAAAAAAAACGAAAAAGTCTCTTAGAATTCCCATCATCGATGGTTATATCCCCATCAAAATCCATTAAACAAATCCCATTCATTCATCAATGGCTATACCTAGGAACTCCAAAAGGACATAATTTCAGCCTGAAGAGGAAAAACAAACTTTTGGGGTCTCAGACTGAAATTTCGGTCTGAGAGTGATCTTAGGCTATTTTCTGATTTTCAGGCTGATTTGTTTGAATCTCAACGTGAATTTGATAAGAAATCAGGTTCAAACCAGGGAAGAACTCAAGAACTACCTGGTCATCCCAATGCTTACCGTATCCTGTTCTCGTCCTGTAGAATTAGATCAAACAATAAGCTCAATAATTAAGAATCCAGAAAGTTACCAGACTGTGGCACGCTTGACGTGTATTGGTGGTAAAAGGATGTAAAAGGCATATTTTGCAAGCTTTGCACAGGTTCATGACGCATCTTGTTTCCACTATATTGGTTTTGGGACTCTGCGATTTTGATCTTGATTTGGAACTGCAAACCTGAATTTATGAAAAAATCGGGCTGAATTTGGTCAACGACCAAAACAAATCATGAAAAACTCGGGCAAAAAAACACACTAATCGGGCAAAAAATGCCCCAACTCAAAATGTTCAGATGTTTCATGTTTTTTTTGCAGTTCAAATCCTGATCTTTTTTTTTTGGAAATTCAAACCATGCTTGAATTAAGTAATATACCTATCACCATGTCACAGAATCATTTTTGAATATGAAGTTATAGTTTGGATGGAAACCAGTCAGATTTATTCAGTTATCAGCTAACCGGGCTGCTGCTTTGTGCTTCTGACATTGCTGATTTGTAGGAAGGTTGCATGACATTATGGTACAGTATGGTACAGTTTCTTCTGGGATTTCTCAAATATGCACCGCCTTATCCATGCCATTCAATATGTGACATTGATTTCAATACACTTGAGCCAGCATTTTTTGCGCAAAGTGCCTCGGGCTATTTTTTTAGCTCGGGCAAAAAAAATGGTTCAGGCTAAATATTCAGCCTGAATGCATTCAGACCATTATTATAGCCTGAGGATTTCGTAGGTATCCGATATCCCCATAAAATCCTATTCATTCATCGGGGGTTATACCCAGGTTATCCCCGGAAAATGCCACGGCCTCCACAGCATCATCGGCCCAGAGCAGCTCGGAGCCCAAAAGCAGCCCAGGGCCACGGCTGAGCGCCTGCCATGGCGGCTATGATCATGAAAAAACATAGGAATGATGGATGAATATGACTCTATATGACTATGAAAATACTATGATAGATCATTTTAGATCCCATATCTCATAGATTTCCATTAATCACCAGCAACATCACAATAAAAAGCCTTCGAAATGTCCATGAAAATCGAGTAATGTGGGTAAAACAATGTCACAAAGCACCCATGACTGGAAATGGTAAACATACCACCCATTTATGGTGACTTCGGGGATGTTTTATGATTGTTTTACCCACATTACTGCCACAGTACTAAGGGATGATGAATAATTTGATGCGATGTGAGACTGCTGAATCATGGGAATAGTCCATCTTTTTCAAGGGGTTGAGGCATGCTGGGCATGTTGAGACTTGGACCATGAGATTAGCCAATGTTTTCCACCAGTGACTAACCACTTCACAAGTCCCGGGGCCCAAATAATTCAAAAAAACAATCCCCAAAATATTGGATAACATGATCCCATATATATATAAATAATTAGTCATATTCACACTACTATTCACTTATATCCCCATAGTTTGATGGCTAAAAAACCCTGTAAAAACCATGAATTCTTCACCCCCGTGGGATCTCATCCAGCGCGTGTAGCTCCTCCACGCCTCTTCCAGGCCGTCGTCCCAGTCCAACTGCCGCACCTCTAGGCCGCGCAGCGCCGTGCCGCGGGACCTGCGAGGCTCGGGGTCCCGTGTAGGATCCACTGGGGGGAGTCTGGTGGGATCGATGGGGGATTCTATTCCTGATTACCCTCCGGTAATCAAACATGGCAATGGAAAATACACGATTTATAGGTGATTTTCATATTGAACCCTCCATTTCTAGTGGGTTTCCAAGTGCCACATTTGATTACCGGAGGGTAATCAGGAATAGACTTGGGATATCTTAAATGATATCAGCGGTGATGTAATAAATAATCTGTACTTATTGAATGCCAGTTCTGATTATTTAGAATCCATGGGGAAGACCTGGGATTTCATGGGGATATCAACCTGAAAATCCCATAGCTTCTTGGCTCCCTCTGTTCACCGGAAGGTAATGCTCATGACTCAGGATTTCCAGTCATAAGGAGTCAGTCAAGATTCTGATGGGATATATATATACTGGTTGGTGGTATACCTACCCCTCTGAAAAAATGAAAGTCAGTTGGGATGATGACATTCCCAATATATGGAAAAATAATGTTCCAAACCACCAACCAGTATATATATATATATTGAAAAAAAATATCACCGGAAAAATGATATCATGGCTTTGAGCGATTTCAACATCCAGGAATGCCCCCTGAACATTTTCCACCAGCAGCCAGTAAGTGGTTTGCAACTCGATATGTTTAGTTACTAATCCCATCCCATAATCTCAAACACCCCCAAGAAATCATCGTCATGGCTTTAGCAAGGGGATTTGCACATCTTGGAACCATCGAATGGGCACATTCTATGTTGCGGGGGATATGATTTCTAGATATTTTTAGACTTAGAGAATCCCCATTCATCATGATCATCCCTAATATAGACAGATTATATTATATGCGATCTTCAAGGATCCTTCAAAGATCGGACCCCAGCGCCGCCCAAAACGACGCCCGTTTTTTCGCTGCTCCGGCGTAGCATAGCTACGCCCGTCCGGCGCAGCCGTAGCCGTCCGGCGCTTCGCCGGTGTAGCTCGGGTCGCCACAGAGGATCTCCGGGGCGAAGTTCTTGCTGCCGCCCATGAAGTGGACGATCAACAACCCTGGCGTGGTGACTGGCCGCAAAAAAAAACGTGGTCCAACTGGTGGTCTAAGCAACCAAACATGGAGGTTGAGTGGAAATTGAAGCAAATCTGGAGGCTTAGCGAGAATTGGGAGCATCCAAACATGGGATGTGGTAAGCCCAATAAGAAACCATCCCCCAAATCACCATACATGGGCGCTATAAACCATCCCAAATGGTAGGTTTCTTATTGGGTTTCCCGCATTATCCCGCATTACTAGAAGTATCCGGCCAGCACCATCACGCCTAGACCTGGCCAGTCCACGTGACAATCTGCAACAGCATTCTCTGGATCCCCCGTGCCCCAAACCATCCCCAAGCTTCTGGGGATCTTTGGCAAACCTGGTGAAATTCATCCAAATAGACAAAAAATCGTCACATGAATCCTCATAAATCCTCAGCTCCACCGCTCCACCTTCCATCTTCCATCATCCCATTCGGCCAAGTGGCGCTCATCCGTCATGCGCAAGGCTTCCATGGAGGGGTCCGAAATCTTCTCCCAGCAATGCTTCAGGGTGCAGCCCCCACGGTTGTACACCTCGCGCCATATGCAGCAGTGATGGTGCTTAGGGAGATGTTAGCTCATCCCAACATCCAGTAGCTCGAATCAGTTTTACCAAATTCGGGGTGGGACCCCAAGTTCAACCGTGTTGGAGGAGATTTGCCGGAAGAAAAGTCCTGTTTTTTGGTAGAAACACAATGATCACAATGACTCAGTCGCCCATGCCCCATGCAATCCGAAGCCACAACAAACCCATTGCAAACGCAAAGTGAAACCGCAGCTACAAGTTCCCGCAGTCATGTCCTATCAATCAACTTCTCTGTCGTGTCTACAACCCCATGAGACTGTACAAGCAAGTATGTAGGTGATATCAATTTAGATGAATCACTGCTCCTTTTGATTCTTGATATGTCATATATGCACACCCCGTGCCATTCCTAAGGTATGAAAATCCAGTGGAATCATCATTTTGTTGAGTTGAAACCCACCAGGCCCTCGCAGCGCCACGGTACGATGCCGCTCTCGAAGGCCATATGGCCCTGCATGATCTTCCGACCATGGCCGTAGAAGAGGTCATTGAGGCAGATCCTCAGATGCCGGCCGTGGAGAAACAAGGGACCCGGGCCGTGGTTCACCATAGAACCCATGGAAATGCTAGGGAAATTCATGGCCATGTGATCACGTCTATACTCGTCTTTATTGAACAAACGGGGAGTTGAAAGTGGGAAAAGGTGTTTCAACGACAACTAAAAGATGGGAGATGAGCCAAAGAAAACTTGGGATTTGAACTGCTTTGGTCCCAATCCTTCACGGGAACTTCCACTGTCAGGTTAGATTCATGGTGGGTCCAATTTTGGCTAGGCCATTGCTGACACGGCATCACAGAGCTGCTTCTGAAACCAAAAGAAATAGGATGCCACAAAGTAGACATGGCTATATGAGCATATATAAGCTATATGTGTGGGTGGTTTAAAGCAGTATGTGAACAGGAAATTTCTCCATCTCCCAGTGTGCGCTAAGGAGCTGCTCGTTGCTGGTGCACATGACGCCGGTCTCGCCGATGCGCCACTTCTTGTGCATCTTGGGGCCCAGCTTGTGGGCATCGAAGGCATCCTGAAACCTCCGCGACTCGCAGCTGGTGGGCGTGGCGTCGTCGCTGAGTGTCAAATATGATGAAGGTTGAACAAAACCGAGGGGGATGTAGTCGGATGTAGTAGCCCAAGAAAACTTGAAAGACCACTTGATGCTGTTTAATTTCAGTAGCATCAAGAAATTCCAGAAATGAACGCGGTGAAATAAAACAACTTTAAAGAAGTCCCTGTGACTTGACGAAATAAGTCTCGGCTTCAACTGCAGCAACTGGGTCAAGCAGGCTGGGCAATCTGCCCAATTTATTTATTGAAAATTGTGATCAAGTCTACCTAATGACCACATGTGAACATATGATTGATGAAGCACACTTATCAATGATATCTACCTGATGAAGCCTGATGATTGGTTAGAAATGTTGGAACATGTTTTGCAAACTTTAATTAGTCACTGTGACAGCGTTACCTTGATCCGAGACACATGTCCTCTGACCATTTGGAGTTTCTGGCCATGATCACTCCGCCATTGATGCGGTTCTCGCCGTTCTTCAGCCAATCTTCATTGGTCAGGAAAACGTCGATGTTTTGATCATGCCTCGCTGCCCATTGACAGGTCTGGCGGTTCAACGGGCTGGGAAACCCCAACTTGACGTGTCCAACCCGCATTTTTCCACTGACCATTGGACGTTAATGGGAAGCCATGTAATTGGCATCCATGGACCCACGCCGATCCTTCAGAAACAGCTTGAAAATCGGACCCTCTTCGGTTGTCCTTTCCTTGCCTCCTACTTTGGGTTCCAGTTCCAAAAAAGAGTCATATACAGTACTGTGATATAAACATAGTCATAGATTACAGAGGTTAAGTCATAAATTATTTCTCCCAACCTAGCCATATATAATACCAATATTAGCATAAATTATATCCCAATATATGGTTAAGTATGGTTCCTCCCAGAAATTTTACAGCCGCTAACAACCCCTGGCCGAACTACAGCAAGTTCCGGTGAATCCATCCCCACCACATCTCCTAGGAACATCTGCTGCGCGATGCCACCAAGGATGTCCACGTGATGCCGCACCAGGGCTGCATCCGCATCCAGCATGATCATGTGCGTGAACTCTTGGGAATTCAGCAAGTAATCCTCAATTTGAAGTGCCAAAGAAATGTTTAAGAAACACAAGAAAGACAACCCTTGGATTCTTTCGGAACAACCATCCTTAAAGATGTTAATCCTCAAAAAGAGCTGATTCGTTGAACAAAAACACCATATCCCTGAAGATGTTTCACACCAATGTCTGGTCCCGGGTGTCCAAGACAAAATGTACCAAGACACCCTGGTCATTGATAAGACTCGAAATTTTTCTGGGCTCTGGTGGGGTGCTGCCAGCATGTCCAACTCCCCAACCCCGCATGACCAACCCCAACCATCACACACCATCACTGGAGTACTTGCCGTTCTCAAACCCAACCATCACAACTTAACGTAACTTAACCACCATCACTAGTTTTTATATCAATTAATTATCTCCAACTTTCAACCCAATCAACCACATCCAATAACCATCCACCAATCACCATGGTCACCATGTGGAATCTACTACCCCCAACCAGTACCACCAGCACCACCAGTACCACAGATCTCCATCATCCAGGCTCCACCATGAAAGGAAACTTCTCCCAGCAAAAGTTCTCGCGCTCCCAACGCTTGATGCACTCCTCGCGACCCTTGCCGCTCTTGTGGCACTGCTGCTGCTGCCACTCCGTCAACGCTAAGGTGCGCTTCCAGCGGAGAACCATGGCATGGCCGTGGGTCCTGGGAAATGCCGGGTGAAATCAGTCATCTAAAAATGGGAAGATCTACGGACCCAATGTGGTAAGCCCAAGGCCATCAATATCATAAACCATCTCCAATATTGCCTTAAATGGGCGGTATATCGGTGGTATATATATATATATATGCATTTAAATATATATATATATATATATAGTAAACCTTCCCAAATCTTAGGCTATGGCATATTGGGTGAATCCTACATTGATGACAATGATAATGTTCCGTTCCTCCTCCTTCAAGTTTGGAAGCCTGCCCCCAAATTCAAGCACAAACAGCCCCAATTCCGCCAAACAGCCATTCCATTCCCCCACCTGGCGTGGTGTCGGTTGGTCGCCAAAATGGACCGCAACCAACGCGGCCGATCGCTGCTGCCCATCTTGCCCCAGTAGCCACCAGCATCCATCAAGACCAACTGCATGATGAGCATCCCTCCATGTTGCTGTGGCCGAGCATCGATCACCAACTCATCTCTCCTGCAAGGTTAAGTGTGTTGCCATGGAAACAAAGAAAATTGTTATGCTAAAGCAATCTGAGCAATTCATTCCAAAGTTACCAGACTCGAATGCCACACTCTAGCGATCCAAGTGAAGTGAATGCAACTGGTTTGACACAACTGGCTTGACACTGGGGCCTTAGCCTGAACATGCATATATAAGATATTTTATCCCATGCTCATATTCCAAGCCAAGTGCCGGCCCTGCATCAAATCTCTCAAGGAAACTGAAACAAAAATCCCACCCAATCCGATTCCTCGAATTCAAAGGACCCCGAACCACACAGCATTTCCAAACATCAAACAAAAAATCCTTCCAACCTTCTCTACAAAAAAAACATGATCTTCAACCTTTTCTCAACTTTTCAAAATTCACAATCATCTTGGGGTCTACTACCATCCCCAATGGGATTCTCTTCTTTGGACTTTCTCCAAATTTCTCATTCCTCGCCAGCCATCCAGGTCGATGGTTCGCCAGCGGCAGCCCACTGGATCCCTCAGGCAGGCTGCGACCGCGGTCGCCGTCGATGGCGATGCTGTGACAAAGCGGCAGCAGGGCGAGGGCAAGGCACTTCATTGGGGCCCGGATCATCCCAGTGATGGGCACTGAAGATGAAGATATGTGGTTTTATGATGGGTTTATGACGTGTTATGGAAATAAATGCGATAATTAAGCAATTATATGAATCTACTTTATGTTGTCAAACCATTCAAGGCTAATATGGTTATAGCATGCTATAGCTATATAGGCTATATATGACATGTTGAAAAAATGCAGGAAAAATCCGGTTGTCAATTGATTATGACATAATCAGTCCATTAACCCAGTGATGAACTGGATAGAGAACCCCAGTTAGGGGGCTTTTTCACCCGATCAGTTACTGGGATGATCCTGCAAGGTACCCCTGAGATCTTCTCAGGGGCTGGAGCCGAAAATCAGCCAGGCCAGGTGAGGCCGCCCGCAGAGTCATAACCAAGGGCTGTTGAGGGGTAGATGTTTGAAAGAGCGATATTTTGTTTAGTAACTCCATGATTCTGGCACTCATTGACCGTGGTTAAATGTACACATCATGTGCGTCATCTTTCTCAAGGTTGCGGCCCCCCACGCCATACATGCAACAAATTATCAAATCTGAGACAATTGCAGATCCACTGTGATTTCATTGTGGATCTCAGGATCTCTTTGTTTTTCCAACCCGAGTGAAGCCCTGATTTCAACACAGCAACGCCTGGTCTCTTGCAGGCTTTCCCGCAGGGCCGCGCAAATCTCGGGCTCCAAATCCGTCACCTGACGGGGCCTGGACTCATAGAGCTCAGATTCAAAGAAGGAACCGCTGAAATGATCCCCCCAGCAACATCCAGTAACCATGTTCCTTAATGTCATGTTTCTCATAGTTTCCCAGAGGTTCCATAGTTTTGCGATAGTTCAGTGCAATAGGTATGATGGGATTTTCCCAGTTTTCATAGGTTCCCATCATTGATTCCCGTTCCGCAGATATGGAATGGGATTTCCACAAAATTTCCCCGGGATTTTCCCAAGTTATGAATAGTTATGATGGTTTATGATGGGCTTTAAAACTTGGGAAACTATAGATCATGTTCCCATCATAAACCATCATTTTCCCAGCATTTTCCCAACGGTCCCCAGCTCAACGTTTCCATCGTTTTCCCCAACCCCAACCCAGCACCCCCACCTCCCCAGCGCCACCCAAGGCTGCTGCGCCAATGCCCAGCAGCCCTCGCCCCGCGCCCAGCTCTAGCAGGTTGTGGCCACGGCACAGCGCGGGCATTCGCTGGAGGAACGCCAGGGTGGCCAGGGAACTACCAGAAACCTGCCAAGCTGCCAGGGTGGTGCCCCAGGTGATGTTTAAGACTTGTTTAAGTTGGCTTGTTTGTGGATTAAGAGCCAAGCATACGTACAAGAAGGATGATTGAAGCGTTCAAACGGGTTGACTGAAGCCCGAGCCCTAAGGAAACCACCGGCAGTTTTTCCCTTGAAACCATTTAGAGATTGGGCTATTGAGCGCCAGAAAACCAACCGAAACCATCGGATTTCAAAGGGACCGACCGCCTCTCCACCGAGCACGGGCATGGCTCTTTCAGGAGCCTTCAAACCTGGGGTGTGAAACCGAGCTTCAAACCGGTTTTGTTGATTTTTGTTCCATGAACATCTTACAATTCCAACTGGATTCCAACCTGTGCCATGCATTTATTTGGCAACAAAATAATGACCTGCCGGACTTGGTTTTCTTCGCAGAGTGTTTCAGCAACATCCGAAGCCGCTTTGCGGGGCCAGATTTGTGGTACCTAATTCCGGCAGTGCCTTAAAAACGGGCAGCCTTCCTCAACCAAGAGACAAATGGCAGTCCCCATGCCTTCTGGCACCACCGTCAGCAGCCGGCCCTCCTTGCGGATACATTGCTGCTACAACGGTGCAGTGCATGCAAAGGGGCCTCCGGTGTTGTGAAAGAGGTGCCGTTTCTGTGTCTGCGGATCAGCAACAGCGTGGGTTGCCGGTATCGCTCTTTCATGTCACACCCTACAGAAGCACTTTGAAACCAAACCTCAAAGACTCCTAATTAACGCTCCAGTCTCCTTGGGCAAAAAAAAAAGCAATCGAAATATGTGGACCCAAAGAGGTTTTGTCGATATCAACTCTTAGAATGGAGAGGTTGGCGATGAACACAGAATTATCAACCCCTACTGCTCCCACAAGGCCATCAAGTTTTCACCCACCACCAGGGTCATGTTGAACTTACCATATGCTCCTCCTGTTGCATCTCAAACGCTGTCACGGATTCCTCCAAAGAAACCTGGCGATCTGGAGACATGGAGCCAGCGGCCAGCACTCGGTGAGATAGTGCCGATCTTTCTGGGGCCAACAGTTATCAGTTATGGCCATTTATTAGCTATAACTGGTTGAAAATGGGATTATAAATTCTATAAATGGGGTTTTCTAAGTACTTATAACTGGTAAAGGGCCATAACTGAAGATCCTTCAAAGATCCGATAGTTTGGATTACCCAATCTTGACTAATCCCGAAATTCCTCCCGAATTTTGCATGAATTTCCACCATCTTCCACACCCAATCTGCCCAGAAGCTGTCACAACACGATGAAGGCGCTCCTGGCAAGCACAAATATCACACGACGCAGCCTCCATGGCGTCATCAGCTTTCAGGGCAGGGCCATGGAAACGTTCCTCCTTTTCTCAGCCTGTAGCATGTAGCATGTAGCCTGCAAATGAGTGGTGAAGAACTTGACTTTGGTTTCCAGTGTAGCCTGCACCTATCAATCATTACTTTGCCTTGGTTTGATGGAAAACCATCAAACACATGTTCCCCTACCATCAAATATCAAGGTGTTCATCCAATTCTGAGATTCAGCTTTTAACGCTAAGGGGCAGGTCGGCGATATTTGAGTTGTCAGCTGGTACATTTTAACAATACCTATACATCACCACTGTATCCGAGATCGCGGTAATCCAGCAATTTGCCTTAAAACACGTGGGATGGGGAACAATTGTTGATAGATGCGTGTGTGTGTGTGTTATCTATTTGTTACATGGTTCTACTTCAACATGACGCGTCCTCTGGCACCCCGACAACAACCCCTCATCAGTATACCAGCGCAGCGGATTTCAATCGAATGCGTGGACATGTCGCGCAGCGTGGCGCGGCTGTGCTATCTGACCACCTTGGACCTTGCCAAGTCCGGCTACCTTTCCTGACTGGTAGGTGAGCCACGAAACAAATAAATATAGAAACATATAGTTAATAGTTCACAGATGTGCATTGAATACCTGTAAACAAATTTCGAACAATTTCCCTCTCTATGTCCAGGTGGAAACGCAATGCAAGTTGGAACCATCAAACAATTTTGAAGTTGAAGTTTTAAGGGGTTAAGAAGAAATCACGCCGCCCAATGATTGAAGGTCCAAGTACTGGAATCGGTGCCATGACCTGGTTAGAATACACACAAGTTTATGTTTTGGTCTGAAACCAGTCAGTTTGGATAAATGAAACACTGAATATAATATATGGGTAATATATGGTGTCTTTGAACATGTTGTCCGTGGTATTACCCCCGAGAGGGTTATTTTTATAGTGATCACCATGAATTTTCGGGGCACCCGATTTTTCCGACCATGTGAACATAGGGATTTGACCTGGTTGGATGGCTTCACCGTTTGCTGGTTGACTCCGACATCTGACAACCGCTTGCACATCGAATGCTAGGCCAGCGCTCAGGATGCTTCGAAGGACTTGGAAGGGCAGGCGTTGTCAATGTTCTCCCACCAAGGGCCTCTGGTCATGTTGGTTCACCAAGGCTGCAACGCAAACCCTGTCAAACCTGAAATGCCAACAAAAACAACAATAACAAGACATTTTTCGTAAATAACCAAGATCGCCTTCATGTAGTTTTTAGCTGAAAGAAATTTGGATATTATCGTACATCCCACGAAAATTTGTCTAGAAACTTACTAACTCTGGAACTTTGAAGTGTTCCCTCTGCTACCAAGCGGCTGTCAGTGGTGATGCCCGAACAACTGGAGCCCGAATTTCCTCGGGCTCTGTGGTGAGGCTCTGCATCCCCCAGACCGGCGAAAGTCCAATATCCCTAGAGGTCTATAAATTATATAACTTATAATGATATAATATATATATATAATATTTATATATATATATATATTCATCCATTCATTCATTCATCCATTCATCCATTCATCCATTCATCCATTCATTCATTCATTTCCTTTCCTTTCCTTTCCTTTCATTTCATTTCATTTCATTTCATTCATTTCATTTATTTATTTATCTATTTCCTTATTTATTGATGTTTTTATTCATTTATTTTAATTAATTTGAAAAATAAACTAGCTAATTGAATTATTTATATAATCCGCCGACCCCTGCAGCCTTGGCCTAGGGGGGGCGGCGCCCGGGACGACCGCAGGTGCGCAACAAAACTGCCACCTATTTTTGGCATATTGGAGGACGCTGAAAAACTGTGCATGGTGGTCACCCCGACGGAAGTTTCTCTTGCAGGCACTGTCGGCTGATGCCACGTCTCGACATCCTGGCCTCAGGTCACCCAATCATGGCTCCGAGGGTGCCCCATGTAGCATGCCGCATGAACACCAGGAAGAAATGTGCCGGAATTTGTCGGGCGGAGTTTTTGAGTGCAAATGAGCACACAATGTTCCAATGGGGATAACCCCAGCCAAAGTCATCGAAACATGTGAAGAGCTCTGTGAAGAGCTCTGTGAAACCCCCAAGGATGCAGGAGCTTTATTCTGTATGGCCTGTATGGCTGCTTTTGGGTTGGATCGTGCCAAGTTGCCCGTGCATCGAGGAGTCATGTCAATTAAAGCTGGTGATGACTCGCTGGTTTTAACCAGATCACATAGGCAGCCATAATCAATCAAACCAAGGTGTTGGTCAATCCTCTCATGATGGATGAAGGTGGAGAAGGTCTAAAATAAATCGTCTGTAATTAAGCAATGAGTGATGCAGATCTGAGACCCATCACGTGGATGGGAATGTAATGGCTTGCGTACCAAACGGATGACAATCCTGGGAAACAGGGGCGGTCCGAGATACTGCAAGCAGGGCGGGTTTCAATTCAGCCAGCTACAGTACCAACCTCATGCGCCAACTAAGCACACCCCTTGTGCCAACTGACTTGTCAGCCTTTTGCAGTTCGCATTGAACTCCTCTTTTGTGACAACATAGAGGTTGTGTGCCGGCCGACGGCCGGTCGACTGTAGATAACAACAAGAAGAAGAACAAGAACAAGAGCAAAAAAAAAGAACAAGAACAAGAACAACAAGAAGAACAAGAACAAGAGCGGAATTGAGCGGTTCGGGAACTGCGAAGCTGCACAAAAGCTGAATTCTGGTACGCTTACACGTACATATGTCGTTTATCTTGATATATCATACATGATATCCATACATATATATATATATCCATATAGAATCACACACACACATATAAATCATATATCTATCCCGCTATTTCTCCATTACATCTCCACAATTTCCCACAAGTCCCCATAAAAGTCACCATCAATCACCTCACCATAATTAAGACACTACAGTGTCTACAGTTACAATCCCCATGAATTCCCCATTTTTCAGAGCGTATCCAACATTTCCATCGCTTGCCGTGGCTCCATAGGAGCCCGTGTACTTGCAGGGAACCACCGCAAGCTCGGGAAAGACCTCCGAGATCTTCCTCAGCGTGGTCAAAATGCTCAGCAGCAAACAGTGGAGGTTTAACATGGGGTAAACATACAGCAAAACTGTGGAAAACAAGCATATGGCTTCCCATCCGGAAAATGATCGTCAAATTGTTCCACATCTTTCTGTTCGTCTTACAGGAGAGTACTATCTGGTTATGACTAACATAGCCATGGAAAATCCCAACCATAAATGGAGGTTTATAGCTGGGAAAGTCATCTATAAATGGACCATTTTCCATAGCCATGTTAAATAGCCAGAGGGTAACTTTTTACAAGAAGCCTATATGGAACATCCACGATCACTGGAGGTGTTCGAGTTTCGCTGGGGCTCGGAAGCATCATGGAACTCAATGGCCATGTGAATTTGCACAAATGTGGCACATAGAGCAAGTTCTGATGACGCTTAAACCGGGAATGAATGACATATCCCATAGGATCCATGTATGCTATATACTGTAACATTTACCATCAATATACCCCAAATGTTAGCATATATACCAACACCATGGATCCTATGGGTACGTTGCCGTATGATTTTCCCCGAAGGTATGGGGATGGAAATGGCATTGTTCCAACAGGCCCTGTTTCTCTTCACCCTTCTTGAAGTTCTACTGCCAAATAGGAATGAACCCCAAACCACAATCAACAGCCAAATAGGACACACACACACACAAACAAACAAACTGGGGTAATGACAACCCTATTTCTGGTGGAGAATCACGTTCATCATGATGCAGCTGGACTAGATCTATCATTGGCAACCCTGCAATGCCTGCCGGCAACATCTTGGCAGAGCGTCTGCAAGATCTTCGTTCCCACCAGAGTGTTGCCTACCATCACATGTCGACGCGACAAAATTCGACAAAATTTGAACAGGAACGTTGTTGCGAAAAAAGAGTGTGAGGTTCTCGATTCCCGCCATATGGCAACATAGCCCATGACGGATCCATGGTGCTGGTATATATGCTAACATGACTGGGGTAAAAAATGTTGGGATCCATGGAGCACCATATATAGCAGCACCGTTAGGATCCTATAGGTGTGCGGCTTCACCCATGGTTTTATGGCCTGCCGGGGAAAAGTGCAGGCCATCAGACAGGAGTTCAGGCCAGTTGCTTTCCTCCTCGCTGATCAGGGCTGGCTGCCACTGATCGATCTCCATATGCCGAAATCCATTGAAAGCAATGGAAAACTGCAAAACGACATTCAAAGTAGCCCAACATAGCACACTTTAATACACTTTACCCTTCAAAAAATAGCCTGCGAAAATCATCCGCAAGATGTTGATTCAAAACACAAGTGGCGGACAAAATTACTCGCAATGGACATGGCCAAAGTGGGTGGTCCCCTATCGGTTGCGAAGGTTTTCACACCAATTTGAACATCCCAAGTCCACTCCCCATCCGTCCTGTAAGACCTTCCAAAGGTTCAAACAGGGCAGGGCCGTGTCAGCGGCCACGTGTTCCACGACATCAGCATACAGCCCAGCATTCTCCTTGGCGCGAAGGTGACAACAATCATCCGCTTGGGGAAATCAAACATGGCATTGAACATGTTCAACATGTATCAACGATATGTGGATGTCCGCTGGCTATAGATACCATAAATCAGATTCACCAAAAAAACAAAACTCTCCTTGATCTTCTTGTTGTCTGCCAAAGTTGGCATCATCAAAAGCACAACACCTCTTCGGTTTACTTTGGAATCTCCCAGAAACTTTTGACAAGGCAACCAAGGCTGAACAGGCTGAACCAAGTTGCATTGGTTCGCTCCAATCTTCCTGTTGCTTGCTCCCCGAAGCGCTCCTGAGAAAGCGCGACACCGCGTGGCGGCGCATGGCGGCGCATGGCGGTGCGTTTGGGAACCAATTGAGGTTATCTGCTGGTAATTTCAACAGGTTGCCAAAAAAAAAGAATAATTAGATATGGTTTACAAGGTTTATCAAGTGAAACATGGTGATTGTCCATAGCAAACTGTCGAATAACCAAAGGGTAGTTCTACCCACTGATAGATTCGATACATGAAATCTGTCAAATTCGAGGGACGACATATTTGGCCAATGACTTGATCCCAAGCTCATCCGGGCGCCTTCTGGAACTGCAAGCGCTGCGCATGGCAAACAGGTGGTGGAGCGATGAGTAAAATCTTGGCGTGCGGGGCTCGTTCTCCTCGGAAGGGATGCTTCGGGGTGGGGTGGACAAATCCTTCAAAAATCCAAGGTGGACCCTGGGTGAATGTTGACCCCGGTTGAATTCTGGGGACCCCCCTTTTTAGTAGTGAAATTCATTCGTCCAATGTTTGCGATGTTTGGGGCCTGCATTATTCCAAATGGTGTCTATGTAATTTTCACACCAGTACAATAGATAGACTCAGATAGACTTCCCACTCTACATCTGTAATGCTGTGAACCCCATAGACCTCACAGTAACTAACCATCTGGGCGTCATGTTGCATCATCCCAGTCGCAAGGGTATGCCCACTGTCATCAACCACAAATTGGGGATTCTTGAACTTGTTCAGTATGCCATATGATTCCATGTGCCAACCATTCGAGGGTGTCTATGAGCCCATCTAGGCATACTTATATACTATTATATATATATATATATTATATCCCAACTGCTATGTTTATCAGCTTCATTAGTCATCGTTCGGCCAATGTCAACCACAATTTTGGAATATCTGTCATTGATTAGCATTTCCACACCCATAGGATCCATGTATGCTATATGCTAACATTTGGGGTACTGTATATTGATGGTGAATGTTTCCATATATAGCATACATGGATCCTATGGGATATTAAATTTCACGAGCTCCTGGGATTTTGTGATTTTTAGGGAATATTGGATATCAAGGTCAAGATGCAATATGTGGTGCAGTGTACGCGCGCAAGGGTGGCACCAAAAAACTTAAGCGTCATGGTTTGCACGGGTTTGCACTGGATCAGCCTTCCATAAATGGAATTGGTCCAATTAATCGTTCAGAAAAAATGAAACGGTCGGAAACGGTCGGAAACAGTCGGAAACGGTCGGAAACGGTCGGAAACATGATCAGGCCAAAACTTGTCCAACCCGCATTTTTTTTTAATAAGCATTTCCGCGCAATGCCGTTTTTTTTTTTGAAGGTCCAAAGGTGTCCAAGGGGAAACGGTTGGAAACAGTCGGAGATCGCACCTTCGCTCGGCAAAAAAGACATGTTTTTACACAATTTTCAAACATTTTTCATGAAGATATGCTACAAAACAACTATTTTTTTGCCGAGCGAAGGTGCGATCTCCGACTGTTTCCAACCGTTTCCCCTTGGACACCTTTGGACCTTCAAAAAAAAAACGGCATTGCGCGGAAATGCTTATTTTAAAAAAAATGCGGGTTGGACAAGTTTTGGACTGATCATGTTTCCGACCGTTTCCGACCCTTTCATTTTTTCTGAACGATTAATTGGACCAATTCCATTTATGGAAGGCTGATCCAGTGCAAACCCGTGCAAACCATGACGCTTAAGTTTTTTGGTGCCACCCTTGTGCGCGTACACTGCACCACATATTGCATCTTGACCTTGATATCCAATATTCCCTAAAAATCACAAAATCCCAGGAGCTCGTGAAATTTAATACTATGGGACATGGTCCCCATAAAGAAATCCCGTTATATCCCCAATTAATTGATCCACTCACATGGCCCATAATTATCAAACGGCTTGTCAAGCCAATTGCAAAATACCGCTCTCCCATCCCATTCGACTGGTTAGTAAATATATTCCGGTTATATGGCTCAGAAAATAGTCCCCAGCCAGTCTAACCCCCTATACCTGAAGTATTAACCCATCAACAGAGCTATTCTCACTGGGTAATTAATTCTGATGGCTTAACCCATATTGATCCATATTAACCAGTATTAACCCATCAATGTCCATCAGTTCTGATGGTTTAACACCCATCCTTAAAAACCCCTGGCTCGTCCATGGCGCCCGAGCGCGCGGCGCGGCTCGTGCCGAGTCGTCCCTTCGAGTCGTCCGAGCGGCGAGTGATGACCACGATCTCCCGCAGGTTGGATTTATACTCCTCGAGGGGCACCTGGGACACATTTTCAACCTGCCAGGTGGGCTAAAAACGTTCTTTTTTTAAGCGGACCAGCACGGCACAACGGGGGAAGATTCTGAACCCTTTCTTATGTTTTCCACATCTGCGTGGAAATGATACGTGTCATAGATATACATGTAATATAATAATATGATAGTCGTATCTATACCCATCTTATTTTGCGCGTATATTTTTCAGAAGGGGTAGGCCGGGTAGGGGTCCATGTTTTGCAACCCGAAAATTCGTTTTGTAATTCTGATTCTCCGTTCACTTTTTGTGTTTGGCAGGGATCTGATATGCTTCCCAATAAATGGATCCGGTAGCCCCGATGGTTGAATCGTAGAATGAACTCTAAGATCCTAGATGTTTTTCTAAGAATCCAATGTCTTGAAAGCAAAGAATCTTGGCTCAGCATCATGATTCGGGACACATGAACTACTGAATTGCCCTCTGGTTCTTTCAAACATAGCTATGGACAATGACTCCTTTCTAGATCTCTCTCCATCGCCGTTTCCAGGAGTCCGGTCGTACGGCAAAAATTCGGGAAAGTTCCACTCCCAGCCATTCCATGGTTTCACTTGTTATTTTTCCCGGTTTTTTCCCGTTGTTTTTTTCGTTGACGGTTTGACGCCAGGCGACATGTTGAGCCGGGTTCTGATCCTCTAAGGACGCATCATTGGCCCCCAGGAAAATGGTCACCAGTCGGGTGGTGTCATCGGGACCAGCATCTGCCATGATACCTGGATCGATGATGAACAATGATAAAAAATAGTGGAAATCCTACGGTTGGTGGTGCCCCCCGTTATAAATTAAATGGGTTATAAGCCCACTAGGTTAAGCCCATTATATCACCGATAAACCATAGTTATTGGAGTTATAATGGAAAAATAGTGGATTAGTCGGGGTAAATCATAATATTTAACTAACCTGAATAAGGCCATTTGGGGATGATTTCCCTTATTAACCATGATTCCAGGCTTCGGGAGAACAGTGAGGTTGTTATAATTTACCCAGATTAGTTCAAAACCAATGATTTCCTCAATGACCTACTTAAATATTCTACATTCATGGTGATTTTTCATGGAATTTCTATGGCATCTTTTTGGAGGGCAATTGTCGATATGATCGTACCATTTCTAGACACCTCCATGGATAAACCATTGTCACAGGCAGCATCCTGACGATAGAAAAGGACTTGCTTCTACATCAACATTTCTTAAAATTTGAAATGCCAGCAGTAAAGGCATAACATAGTAAACAAATAGTAAAGATACAGTAAACAAATAGTAAACAAGTAAACATATATATATATACAGTATATAAAAAACATATCTTAAACATATGGTAACATCCTGCGAATCTTTTGATCTTCAAATCTTAAGCCTTTCTGCATCCCGCAGCCACTGGCGGCGCCTCCTCCATGTCTCAACATCTCTAGGCACCAGCGGCTGGTATAACCTGCCGCTTAAGCAAGCCCAAAAAAGATAGAAGTTAGAGTCAAATCCTACAAAAACCAAAAAATGAATTGAAGCTGTTCCAGATTTTTTTTGGTGGGTTACTGTATGTTACTGTCAAGATCTGTCAAGTGGCAGAAATTCGAAAACTAACGCTTGTAGGCTGAAGATGTATAAGTATTCACCCTTCCGATACATGTGGATTTCCAGTAAGCTCTTCATAACTACGTCTTGGTTTAGCGGAAATTGGCATGGGATTTATCTAACTGCGATTTAACCATGAAACTATGCTTCATGTGGTAGATCCAATGCCAAATATTTTTACAAATCATTTCTGGGAATAAATTGGGATGGTTTATGGTATTGGTTTTACCATATTCAATCACATCATTCAGCACAAAGACTTTTGGAGAACCATCTCCCATCGCATGCTTATCCAGGAGAAGTGGGTGGATGATGATCTGGATGGAAATGGGCTACCGTCATCAAAATTGAAGGCCCAAAGGCAACCCAAACAAATCTGCTCTTTTTAGAGGTATTGTCAGGTACTGTGAGTCTTTTTGTAAGCCATCCCATCTACAATTCCAGCAGGTAATTCCCATGGATCAAACCAAGTTTTTCCTGCAGAATTCAGTCAACAGATCAACCATTTTGACCCAAACTTGGTGTGTCTGAAAAATGGGAGTAACCCAAGTCATGGCCATGATGTTATGCCAGGGTTTTTGGTTTTCTCTATCAGTCTGTGGGTACCATGAAAAATCACACTATTGGGTACTGAATAATGACCGTATCGCTGATAAGACACAATTCTCTCTAGACCATGAAATTTCGTTGGTCGTCTAATCATGTCAAGACCAAACCAAGTGGCCACTCTCTATCTCTCTCTCTCTCTCTCTCTCCGTGGCCACTCTATCATCTGGCGTGAATTGTTTATCAACAATGATCAGGGCAAAGCAACAATAAAAACATCGATGCACCCGATGCAGCGTCAAGTTTTAAGACCAACCCAAGTTTCTAAACCATAGGATCCATGTATGGTATATATGGTAACATTTACCATCAACATACCCCAAATGTTAGCATATATACCAGCACCATGGATCCTATGGGTAAACATGTCTAAATCATGAAAACTCCCGTGGCTTTTCCCATGGCTTTCCCATCATTTAGCGCTTGGTTTCGACCCGAGCGGCCGCTATATCCGCGGTTCAGCACATCGGCACGGCGCTGGTACGCATCCGCGATGGCAGCACCCCAGCCCTGAGGGGCGAAGGACCTCAGCGAGAAGGAAAGCCCGAATCCACGGTTGAACATTTGCTAATTGGGTGTAAATATGGTAAGTTACCCGTGGGATTTCTCTCTAGCTTATTTATGATAGCTAATAGCCAAGTATAGCTAAGTTGATTTGGAATTTGGTGAATTCTATATGGTCTTATGGGGGGTATAAAAATAGTTCATGGGGTTTATAGGACAACTTACTAGGTGGACAACTTAGAACTGGGAGGGTCCTTGCAAGTAAAAAATCACCAAGAAATAGTAAATAGCTTGGATGGTGGGACCCGTTCTTCAACCAATAAAGCACCGACCATTTTTTGGCAGTAAAAACAAAAAACGGCCACACATACCATCAACATCACGAGGAATCCAAAGATTTCAACAGTTTCTTAGCTGAATGTGAGCAAACATGAGGAAACATGTCACAAAACATAGACACATCAACGCTCATGGGGCATGGGGTGCACATTAGCGATTTTTCACCAAAAGCCATGGCTGCATCACATTGGCCATAGCCAATAGACATCACCAAAGACCAGCGTCGCATCCAAATCACCACAGCGATTTCGACCGGAGTAGGTTAGGATCCAGCCCCAACTGTTAATTCACCCGCGAGACTTAAACACATGATAGAACCCTTCAGCCCGAAGTAGGATGTGCAACCACTGCAACCACCACATTTTCTTCGTCCATATCGGTCCATATCTGATCCTCACGGAAAACTTGCAATACATCAAAAAACCGTACTTGACACACACACACATATATATATATGTTTACCTATGTTGCGTACACAACTCGCATAAAAGAACATCATCAGTGGCAAACCTGCTCACACAAATCCCACCATTTGACGTACCCATGCCATCGGGCTATTAAATATACCCATGTTTAAACATATCCATGGGGTACATTGAACATACTCCATATTAAATCATATCAATAATACTCGCCTATGATACACAACCAAATAACATCTTGTTGATATTTGTTGATTATAAATCCTCGGGTGTTCTATTACAGTAATCCAATTGCACATCCCATTGAATGCCCCATAAACGCCCGGTTGCTGCAATGTATCCCACTATATTCTGCTTTCTACATATCCCAAGCTATATCCTTAAAATATACCCGAATAAACCAGGTAAATATCACCATCTTCAAATGTCATCTATACATCTATAGGTCCATTTTATACATACATATATATATATACATACATATATATATATACATATATATATACATATATATATATACATATATATATGCGCGTGTCGCCATCTTTTAAACACCACCAGGTTTCCCCAGGGCAAGGGGCTGCTGCGTCAGCGAGTCGCCAAAGAGCACGATGCGGTCCCGGTGCGCGGAGCCCGTTTTGATCTTGGACGTGCTACCGCCCATGGCTGACCTGGTGCAAAAGGAGCTGATGGGTTATTAAATGACTATGGGCCTATGGTTACAAGGCTATGAACTGGTTATTACAGGACTATGGTGACTATGGGATAAAAAAAACTAACTATAGGGTTATAGCTAGGGTCTGAGAACTGATTAACATTGATTAAGCCGCGGGTTAGCTCACCCATCAATGGGATAACCCACCCACAGTTGGTTCGTGGGATGATCCTCCAAGAATCCAGATGGTTTCATGCCCAATAGGGGAACATATTACTTGTTTTATCATGATATCCAGTAACATCCAGTAAACATTGGATAATTACTTGATAATCATGGCTAATGAGGCTTTGCTGGGATAACCATGGGATAATATCTATGTAATCCAGTGGATATTACTTGGATAGAAACAATTATGGGATCATGGGATACTGGAATTCTATGGAATTCCATTCATCCATCCCACCAACCATGTCCGGGGGGTTTTCATCAACCCAATCATCAACCCCAATTACTGGGTGTCCTCAATGACTTGCCACCATTTTTTTCCTGCAAAAAGAAGACTCCAGTGGGACTTGTTTCAGAATAAACCTCTGGAAGTAAGCAGTATGCACCATCGACCTAGGAACTGGAAAATATGATTGTTTTTTAAAACAATCAATTGATTGTGTCCAAAATTAAAGTTCGTAAAAAGGAACAACATACAAACAGAGATGCTGAACTATTTTTTTGCAACCAAAAACCCATATGTAAAACGTCACATTGAAATGCATTGAAAGCTTCTCCTCTCAACGAGTGCCCAATGCCGATGAGTCATACAGTACCTATTATTTTGTGCAGCTGGATTAGCTTGTAAGTCCCATTCTCAACCCGAATTGGTTTGTAAACATATGTGTTGGTGGATTCGTGGTTCCATGTGGCGGATCACTAAGAAGAGAGCGTAGGGATGATGCTCTCAAGCCGCTATCAGATTAGCAAAGCGGGATTATGTTATCATGGGCCCCTATGACGTCTAAGAAGACCATGTTCTATCATGTTCTATCCAACAAAACCCTAACCTGAAATCTTCTACAAGGTGAAGTGCCGATGGCCAAGTTGACGCACATTTGTCTTGGTGACCTGTTGGGTTGATTAGGAGGATGTAACTACGTACCGTATAGTTTCATGGCTTTAATATACAACAAGCCAGCTGGGCCTCACCTTGTCACCATGTTAATGTGTTTATGGATCCCTATGATCGCACCTGCGTATCGCTTCCCGCGCGGGTCCCACGGTCAGTTCTGAGCCAGAACCAGGGGCAACAATGGGTTGGTGGATGCGCCCCACCCTGATGAGATTATGTTTGTCAATGTCGGCCATCATCCCATATTAACGGATGGAAGCTATAATAACATAATATGGCTAACCGCCAACACCAGCTAACATGACAGTTTGGTTTCAAGTAGCAACGAAAATGGTGGTGAAACATGGCAATAGCCATTTTAGAGGAGGCTCCCAAGACAATAGAAGAGTGATCCCTCTGATGACACCTCCTTTTCCATTTTCCGTGGGACCCATGGAGATTCAACCGGCAGATGCAATCAATACATTTCATATCATTTCATGATGTTAAACATTAGTATCTCCGAGATTTCCCCACAAGACTAGCTTGTTTTTTCTCACATCTCCGCGCGCCGACATGATCCGACACGGCTGTGACACGGCTGTGCCACTGTGCCGCTGATCAGGCGGGAGTCGATCCAATGAAACACCGTCCCTGCTCTGGAAGAACATGGCCCTGGTTGGTGGCATACCTACCCCTCTGAAAAATATGAGTTTTTCGGTTGGGATTATTAATCCAAATATATGGTTAAAACATGTTAAACATGAAATTCAATTGAAATTCATTTTCCAAACCACCAACCAGCAACTCTTCGCTTCATCATCATCCAAATTTGGACTTGCGCAGCACTTTGAAGGCTTCTTTCTTGAATGGGATCCATGTTTCCTCCGAGTGGCGGAAGAACTCGGCCCACTTCTTCCAATCCAACTTGGGATGAGCTCCGATTTCAGAGAGCAGCCAAGAAGAAAAAGTATCGGTGCCCAACGTTCCCCAGGTGGCGGATTGCCGTTTCATTTCTGTTTCATGGGAAGAAACCTGAAAAATCCTCTCCTTGAAGTTTCCAGGCCGCCTTTCTGGCATCGATTGCAAACATCGAGCCACCTCCATGACTCCGAAGAAAAGTGGCCCACGTCTTCAACTCCTCTAAGCCGGGGCGGCTTCTTTGAAGAACCTGAGATCGTCCAAAAATATCCAAAAATGCATGGGATGCGGGCGTCCTCCCATGGTTATCCGGTTTATCCATGTTTGGAGACTGGGGATGGAAGAAACAAAGGCCATGACTGAAGGAACATGTTGGTGCGTTTGAAAATAAGGGCATCCCAAAGAATATCATCTTCATTTGCCCCATCAAAACACACACACACATATATATATATATACATATATCATGCCAAACTTTGCTGCCAAACTAACAATGGGCTAATTCTTCCCCATGTTGCTCGTCCAAATCATCCTATGGACATCCAAACTCCCACGAGCAACGTTCATGGCAAAGCTCTTGGCATCTCAGTGCGGCATGGAGCCACCTGCGTTGGTCTCAAAGAAGTTGGTCCACTGCTGTAACTCCTCAGGGTCCACTGCTGCACGATTTCGCTCAGCCAGGACGCCAACAAAGAGGAAGAACAGGGAGGGACGGCGAGGCGCATGGTCGGGGACAGGTTGGAAGTATCAAGCAACGGAGCTCTACTTTTTTAATGGAGCTGAAAATAGCTGAAAATAGCTGAACAGAGGTGAACACATGTGAACACAGCTTAAGGGTGACTTGACTTGGTGCAAGGATGCATCAAGGGAAGACATGCACACATGCCCACGTAGCGCACGGAAATCTCATTTGGGATAGCAAGCGTTATTGAACATAATTGTGGTGATATGTTTTCAAAGAAAATATGCTTCTTCCATGTCCAAGTATCATTAAGTATCCGTATCCATCTATCTCAGGGCCCCGAGGATTGCCACTGGAACTCCCCAATAATACACCCAGAAACTAAACGTGCTTGTCGACCCAGGCCCAAGCCATGACACAACATAAGTCCCCCATGTGAAGAGTGGCTCGCACCTCCCAAACTTCAAAGGTGGCAATGAAACATCTCCCATTTTTCGTTGAGTTTCCCCTTAAAAGCTTCATTCCGACGGGATGTCCCAGCTTGTCGTGTTTGATGACACCGGAGGGGAACCCTGCGCCATCTTGCAGCCTTTTTGTTGCCAGCGCGCAGCCGTGTTGGCTGCCATTCACACTGCCATGGTGGCACCTTCCTTATGGTGGACGATTGTATGTGGCGTTTCCTCAGTGGGTTTCGGTGGGGGAACTCCATCTTGAGGTAGGGCCAAATTTGTGAATTACATCGTGATTGGACATGACTACCAATAACACTTGACGTTCAAACAAAAGTCTTGCCCTACTTGCAGCATTATCAAATAATTAATCATCATATATTTTTGTGTGTTTGCGTGTGGAAGTTTTATACATTGCAAGCACCGTTTTTTCAAATCACCCAGATTGCCTTTTAATTGACCGACCGTCTATCATGCAATCAATTCCACCAACTGCCCGAAGTTATGCGCAGGATGTTCATCCAAACATGCACAGTCTGATTGTCCCAAACAATGCAAATTCGAATCTTGGAAAATCTTCCACACCATTCTTGTTTCGAGATTCCCTCGGGAATCCCAGAAATTCAATGTAGACACTAATCCGCATTGTATTCATGGTACAGTAAATCCCAGCCCGGAGTCAATCATGTACAACAATCTATGAGGCTTTGTCGGCCATCAGTTGGCCGTTGGCCCATCCCTGAGTCCAATTGTTCCTATTTGGTTCTGCTGTTTAAACCCTGCATCACGCCAAAACATTCCACGCTTCGGACATATTGGCAGCACAATTTCGTATTAGAACCCTAACGCACTATTTACTTACTAGTCTCATGTATCGCGTACATATACGTATGTATATATATATATATTATATTATGTATTAAATATTATATATTGTAAATTGTATATTGTATATTATATATTATATATTATATATTATATATTATCAATTAAATATTACATATAATACATTATAAATTATATATTAAATATTATATTTAATATATTATATATTGTATTATATTAAGTTATATTTTATTAAATTATATTATAGTATATTATATTATATGTTTTTAGATATTAGATATTATATTATGTTATATTATATATTATTAGATATAATATATATTATCTATTTAATATTATGTTATATTATGTTAAATTATATTATATATCATCTTATGTTATATTATATTATGTTATATTATTTTGTATAATATATTATATTATATTATATTTTGTTATGTTATATACTATACTATAACATATATATATACAGTATACACATTGTATACATTAGAGAATTTCCCATGGTATATGGTTATTATATATCCCCATGATATTTCCCATTAATTATTCCCCATTGTACACACATGTACCCACCTCTCCAAGCATCATGCGCTTCCGCCGCCGCATGCTGCGCCGACTTCTGATGCCGCAGCTTGGGCTTCGGCTGCGCCGCCGAAAGCGGCGCCGACTTCGGAGCGCCCGCAGCTGGGGAGGTTCCCTTGGAAGGGACGGGTTTGGTGGCGGCTTTCCTCAGCGATGGCCGTTTTGTGGCCGTTTGAAGTTGTGAAAACATGCGAGAGCCACTGGGGAATAGAACATAAAATTGATATGTGTATTTATATATACATATCATATATATATATATATATATTATATGTATATATATATATGGTATACCAGATTATACATGCCTTGGCCATGGAGTGATTGAAGTATAGGCTGAATGTTTACCAACTTGAGAAGCTATGTTTCCCTAATTTCCCATGATGTTCCCATGATCTATCATGATATTCCACCACCGCTAGTACCAGATACTTATCCCATGCTATCCCACCATATCATGGTCACCAGCCCAGCGGCTGGACGTAGCCGTGCTGCTTCAGAAAGTCCAACATCGGTACGAGACCAGATTTGCTCCTGACGCAGAGCTGGCCAGAAGATGAAAGCTCCTCAGCCGGCCAAAATGACCACCGTCTGTGGCGTTTGGCTGGCAAAATATGTTATCATGTTTCACTGGATTGGTTTAAGGGAAAAACTACAGGAAACCATGGTTTTTACCATCAAATATAGGGCTTTCCTGTAAATTTTCCCATCATCCAATTCTATGAATGTTATATTACCATGATGAGCATTTTATGATTCAATTATGATGAGTATTCAATATGTGATCATCGCTATCCTGAGGTTGGGAAACTCTGACTGTAGCTCCAACTGTGAGGGCTTTCTGAGTAAGCCTTGCCAACTACGAACAACCACTCATAGCTGCATGAACAATCACATCTATTGAATAATTAGGCAGGGTGGCCTTTAAGGGGAGCGGGCTCAATCCGTGAACCCCTATGAATGATTTGATTTTGGTAAATGTCAAAAGTACCATTGAACTATTGAACCATTGGATTCTGTTATATATATACCAATGGTTCAATAGTTCAATGGTTCAACTATCAACTAGTGACAGTGAACTATTGAACTATCAAACTCTTTCAGAATGCTTCTCTGAGAACTGCACCTGGATTGCGGTGAGATCCCTTGCCATCCCCAGTGCTCTCCACGTTTTTTTTCCCGTGAGATCCCTTGCATTCTACTAATCTGGTCGGGGTCCTGATGCATCCCACGTTTCCAAGGTTAAAGAATTGGCCCTATGGTTTGTCAAATGCATCAGGTTTGAAAATTCTGGCTTACCTATGGTTTAAGAAAAACCCATCTGGATTCAAAGGGCAGAATTGGGCCTATGGTTTGTCAACCCAGGATTGCGTTTGCGCAATGAAATTTTCCGCCCTTTCCCCGAAACGTTGGGGCGGTTATTCCCAGCGACTAGTCTCCATTTGGCTGATCATCACTGAGCCGCTTTCAACGGCCATTGCCGGGCAAAGCCAATCCCCTTTCGAAAATCAGTTTCCCTATCAACACCCATAGGATCCATGTATGCCATATATATATATGGTAACATTTACCATCAATATACCCCAGTCATGTTAGCATATATACCAAGCACCATGGATCCTATGGGACATGGGGTGAAAAAAAACGGTGGAAGTGGCCAAGGAACACAGAAGACAGTGAGCTGATTCGCCACCAGGTGGCTGCTATGGCTGAGCCGAGTGATGGGTGGAATCATCTCCTTAGCGGCGCGATAGGTGAATCGATCGGTGAAACAACTTCGATGATTTTGATAGGGGCTTCATCGAATGATAGGTGAGTTGAAGTTTTGTTTATAGATTGATTGCATTCATGATGGATGTATCTTTAGATATCGTTAGATACTGTAGTGTGATAGGGATGCTGGGGGTACAAAGACATTTATATCTGCGCTGCCCCGTAAAAGATGAGAATGCAGTAACCTTTAGGACTTTAGGGCTGAAATTCCAGAAGTCCCAGGTCAGACCGAGAATGTCTGAGTTGAGGTCATGAGTTCACGGACTTCCCGCTTGGAACTAAAGTATCTAGAAAAATATCTAAAGATATATGATATATATGAATCATGAATGCAATCAATCTAAACATATACTATAGAACCGACCTACTTTTTTGCCCATTCCGTTGATGTCGGGGTCATCTAATAAGCCTTTTTTCCTGGTCCATGTGGATTCACAATGGCTCACCGTGTGAATACCATGCCATGGCTACAGATTTTGTACTTCAATATCTAAAGAATATAAAATACATATACAATAAACATATACATATACATATATATATATATTACCTATAATATCTTATAACGTCCGTTAATCTCGTTTAATATCTTATAATATCTGTATACCAAGATATATATATATATTATGTATTATATTATATATTTCCTACGGGGTTTCTAGCTGATTCCCCCTGTTTTACCTTGGACCCCTCCCAGCTCCGAACCGAGCTGCACCATGGCGGCGCAGCTCCATGGTGAATTGGCTGATGGCATGGTCCACATCACTCAGGTGCACTGGGCCGTGTTCCCGCATCACCTGGCGATGGGGAGGATAGACCTGAAGTAAACCATGGCTTTAAGCCATGGCTTTGGAAAAGCTATGGAAGAATGGAAGATGGAATTCCGTGATAAATGGATGTAGTGAGATATTATTGGGATATAAATCCAACTTTGTGATAGAACTGGGATATTTTTTTAATTGGGATATACAGTATATGATATAACTATACCTGGGGGGTAAATCTTGGTAATCTTGGAATTAACAATGGATTTTAGGAACATTTCATGGGCATATCACTAGGATATGACTTGGATCAAATTGGATTTTGATGATTTTGACCTGTCCATTGTACTCTAAAGGAGTGGCTTCCTAGAGCTGTCGGAGAGTTTCTCTCCTTGGCGATGGGATCGAGCTGGGATGAGACCAATGAAGGAGCGGGTGGAGCTTCTTATTGGGGTTGGCATTGCGGCAACACTGGATGGAAATCTTGTTGCAATTGAGAGACTCTTTTCACATTGATCATTATATGGAAGTGATTATTCTTGATGGAAGCTTCTTGGCTCATAATTGATCAACATGATCAACATCTATGTTGACACTATGATTAAAACATATTGTATAAAACAAATAAATCCCCAAGAATCCAGCAGGAAATCAAGAAGATTCAACAAAATCAGCAGTAAAACTTATCGAAAAATCCACTCTCTCTCATTTTTCACAGGTCTTTGATTTTCCATCGCTCGCCTTGGCTGCTTCCTTCACACAGGCTGTCAGCGCCCGCAACTGTTCCTGGGACCTCTTGGCATCCTCCTGAAGACCGGGCTCTCCATCAATGGGAATTTCAGGATCCAATTGATGGAGGTACGTTAGTACAATATCTTTGCCAATATTTTGTGGGGATATTCCCTTACATAGGCCTGAAAAATAGGATATTTTGTGATATTTTCTAGGTACCTGAAATATCCTGAAATGGCCATTGATCTTTTATAGAATTAGGTAGAACTATGGTCCGAACATTTGACCAAAATCTAGGACTTCTCCCATGCCATTCCCATGGCGCCCAGCTTGGCATCTCCTCGAAATATTGGTAGCTGGCGGCCTCATCGGCTAAGGAACTTTGCTTGCCGATCTGGTCCTTAAGCTTTGCCTGGTCTAAGGCAACTCTCAAATGTCGAAGGAAGGCCGGAGTTGGGTGCAAAGAGAAAATACGGTGGTTCATTTTTTGATAAAACATGGGGTGTGTCTACGGAATATTTGAAATGCAAGCCAATGCACGATATTGAGCATGTTCATTTGTTTGGTAAAGTTTTTGAGCCACGCATTCCAGAACTCTGCTTCCAATGTCACTTGATCATTACAAGTAGGGATGGCAATGCTTGGCTAAGCTGAATTTCTGCTGAAACAAATTCAGCATCAATGGTCGTGCATACAGCTTTCATTCATCATTTTCCTTGCAAAACCATGCCCGTTCAAACTTTTCCCACATCTATAGTAACTGGAGGACGCCTCTTCTTCACATGGGGGATTTCCAGTTGCCACGTGTCAGACTCAGTCGCGTGCCTGCAAAGACCGTTGCTCTTCCATATGTCCTTGGTCTCTTCAGGCCACTGCTGAAACAATCACAGGGCTGGTTGGAAAATTGAAACCCCGGTGTTGGCTGTCGGCCAAAAAACTATGCTTAACAAAGCAGGCCGGGGGAAAACCCAAGGGAAACAAAAGAGAAAGGCCCCGGCCCCTGGCTACACTCAAACCCGGTAGGCGATTTCGTGCAACAACATTATGCTTATTATATTAGTGTCTGATATCTGGCGGTAAAATCATTCTGATAAAACATAAATCAATAATCATATACCAAAAATCTGCACTCGCCCTTCCATTAAAAGTGGATTTCAATAGATTCCATACCCTTATCATCAACACCAACATTTAGGTAAATGATAAAAATTATTAAGGCATGTGGATTCCAAAGCGGATTCCCTAACATTCTTCCAGAAAAAAGTGTCCCTTCTTCATCTCTTCCGCAGTGTGCTCGCCCATGCGCGCCGCCGCCACGCACAAACGCTCCTCCATGACCAGGGCCTGCGCACATAGGTCTCAGTTGGTTGGTGGTTTGACCGAATCGTATGGCACTTGGAAGCAGCATCAGCATCAGCATCAGCATCATCATCATCATTATCATCATTATCATCCTCATTCTCATCCTCATCCTAAGCAAGGAAAACAACTGAAGCATCTCTCCGAACACACACACACAGGAGGATTCCAACTGTCAAGTAACCCAGCCCCAGCCCTGTATTTCTTCAGCCTTAAGGTGCTCCTTGCGACGTGCGATTTCATCTTCGTGATACTTGCCTCAGCTCTGTAGGACCGTTAAACTTCCATTGCTTGGCGGCAAAAGGAGCGGCAAACTTCCTACTACTATACAGAAAGTCGCCTGAAATGGCCATTGATTTAATCACATACCATTCTTGTTCATTTCTTCAAATTTCAACCATCATCCATGTTGAAATATATCATTTTTTTTATTTATCAAGTTTGACCCCAAAAAATTGGTTTCTGGTCACTCTGAAGAAAGGGGCACTTTGAACCGAAACAACACATCAAAACCATGCCCCACAACAAAAAATTCTAGGAAAAATCGTTGATACATAGTTACCGGATCATCCTGGAATGATCCCAGTCATTTGAGGATTGAGAATGGTGAAGTCATTTTTGTTGTGGGCTCCTTACATGATGGGTTTCTCTGGAAGGGTACCTTGGGCTACCCGGCTACCCTAAATCCATTTCTTCATGTTTTTACCTATTGGAATGGACATAAGATGCGGTATACATTGGTATACCACACCACAGCCAGATAACCTTGAGTTGGTTATCTACAAACCATATCCATCGAATATATAAGTATCCATAAGGGATCCCCAAAAATGAATTGCTTGTGAATCGGCCGAGGAACATCTCGTTTGAACAACATTCGGTCCCAGGCACACTTCTCCTCCATGCGAAGGAGGTAGGTCTGCAGCGTGCCCATTTCTTCATGAAACACCTGCACTGTGCGAAGGAAAGCTATCGCTGACAGTGCATCCTGTTCTTAAATTCCAACTGGTTGGTGGTATACGTACCCCTCTGAAACATATGAAAGTCAGTTGGGATTATTATTCCCAATATATGGGAAAATAAAAAATGTTCCAAACCACCAACCAGCCAATGTTTGCTCAGAAGAGTGACTATACCTTATGGCTCGAAACTATTATTTCTGAAAGTCTTAAACCCCAGTATATATCAGTATATTAGTTGCCAACTATACTTTCCAATTCTCGCCTTATCTTCACATTTTTCTCTAACCTACGATAATTTAACATACAGGTATGGAAAATCATTGTTTTAGCAGGCAAACCCTCACAAATGATCTACAAATAAACCACTTTGATTTACCAGATGGTAAACATGTTGCTTTTCATGATTTCTCTCACTTCTCCATCATTTTCCCCATGTTTTCCATCATTTTACCCAGGATTTCTATACTGTTCCTATGAATTTCGTTCGAAAAAAACCTGTGCCAAACGTCCCTGGCCTCGATTTGTCGCTGCATCTCGCGGCGTTGCCGGAGCATGGCGGCATCCTGCTGTTCCTGTTCGATCTGGGCCTGCACCTGGAGACAAAACGAAGGCGTCGCCGTTGCTTGGTGAAAATCAAAGTGAGGCACTGAAAAAACACGTGCACACATATGTACATATATATATATATAGAAGCAGAGATCTTGATCTATATCTATTTGTTTATATTTGTTTATTCATCCATTTATTAAACTATGTATGTATACGTATGGTTTTAAATAATGTATTTATCATTGTTTATCCAATTATTATGCAATACATATTATATATATATATATGTACACACACGCAAAAGTATCTGTTATGTATATAGACTTGTATATATGCATTTAAAAAAAAAAAGACATGTTCACAAGATCTACTTGACCAAGTATTGGCTACATACATGTCTAAAACAGGTGCAAACTAGGCATGTTTGCAATGAACACAGTCGAATACGCATGGAATGAATCCAAGACAAAACACCAACCACAGCACAATCCTCGATATAACCAACATACTATTCTATGTGGTCAAAAACTGATTTCAATTGCACAAGACTTTGATCAACCAATCACAAAGTATAATGAAATAACTATATGACCAACCGACAAAATCTAAACAAAACCTGGTTTTCGAATGCTTTAGATACACACCGAATATTCCTCATCGTTCTTGGCAAATACATCCATGGGGATAAGTTGCGGGCTGTACCCTGCACGGTTCACTGGGGATTCATCATATCGATGTGGTTGCCCATGGCGAAGATCCCAAAGGACTACAACTTGGCGAACTGGTATAGATGGCCTATGAAAACATCGGTAAATTTAATCTACCATTAAGCATCATGATCTTCCATGGCAAACTGTTAAATTGCCAGAGGGTAAATCCCATCTTATCTCGATATATCTATATATATATATATACAGATATAAAATTATATCCCCATATCCCCATGATATTCTTTCCATGTTTAAATAATAACTAATATAACTAATATCTATTCCCAATATCAACATCATTCCCCAGTCGCATCTCCCTCAGTTTCAGGGCCTGGTGGCGCCAGTGATCAATGGACATGTGCCGATGTAACAGGTGGCTGTTTTCCTGTAACTTGCTGACCTCATCTTTATGCTCCTGGAGCAACATCGAAGGACACCAATGACACCCGGACAAGATCTGACAAGCCCAAATTTCCCTGACATCGCCCTAGGGCCTCGAGAAAAAAGGAAGATTTAAAAAAAACATCAGCATCACACCACCCACCAATCCCCACCACCATCCCTTAAAACTCATAGAAAAAAACATCACAAAACATCACCAGAATCAGAAGACCATCCCCCAACATACCCCCCAAACCATCCCATGACCCGTCCTTGTGCTGTTCCAACAAGGCCTTGTGTTCCCGCTCCTTCGCCTTCACCGCCGTGGCCCCGTGCTGGCAGGCCTCGCTGAGCGTCTTCAGCTCCTCGTCCTTTTCGACCAGGTCCGTCTGCACGGCCACAAGGCGTTTCTTCAACGAGGCCACCTAGGCGGATGTGGCCTGGTACGGTTGCCTGGTATGGCTATGATGCTATGGGTTAGGGGGGGATGGGATGGGATGAGTTGTTTCGGGTCTTGGTTTTTTGGGGGGTTTTGAAGGATAGCTTCGATGGGTGAAACATGGATCATAGGGATCATTTCAGCAGGTCTGCGTGAAATGTGTAGATCCAACACATAATTACTGAGAGGACAATGGGGCTGTTCTGGCTTTGATTCCGAATTTTTGTTGGATGGACAAAATGGGGATGATGGTATTCAATGGGTTGGAATGAGTAGTTGACATGAAACATGTTTAAACATGACGATTCCAATCCCTTTGCTTAGTGGATTAAACATAGATATATCATATATCATAGATGATCTTCATGGATATTTGAGGTGAATTTGCCACTCTATCACTCCCAAGCCATATGACAGGAGAATGGGGATGCCGCACCTGCAGGTCAATGTGCTTGGCCTCCGCCTGTAGCACTGCCTCCGCCCGAGTCTCATCTTCCAAGGAGAAAAACAACATATTCTGAATGGTTGACCAAAAAAACATAGATTCTATAATTCCATCCTCATCTCAACCATGGTGAATTCTATGGTTGGTGAGGGGAATATAGCTTAATATAACTTCCTACCTCCAAACACCCACCTTTTTTTTGGGGTGGCCGATTTTTTCCAAAATAATCCGTGTTTTTTCTCGGCAAGGCATTTGGAGCTGGGAAATTACGGGCAAATTATGGGAAATTAGGGGTAAAATTTGGAAAGCCATGTTTTTTCAAAAGACAAGTGTTTTTCTTGGAATCTTCAAAAAACTGGTGTTAACCATCCCCATTAAATGGGTGGGATTAAAACCATCCCCCAATGGTAGATTTAATAGCACTTGGTTTCCCACATTAGTTCCATCCCAACCTCAGCAACGCCCAGTTTCCGAGATTTTGCTGATAAACTTCAGTTTCCTGGGCATTTTTGATTGAATTAGGTCCATAAGACACTTACCAGCCACGAATGTAACATCAAACTTGAAACTCCAAATCTTTCAGATATCAACTCCAAATTAAGGATTTCCCCGTGTTTTTTGCTATATTTTGACCACACAAAACCATGCCCCCGTGGCTCCCCCGTGGCTCCGGGTAGAAGCGCCTGTTGTTTCCCCGTCTTGGCTTCCGCCTTTGCGCTCAACGTGCCAACCTCCTGACTCTTGGCGTTCAGTTGGCTCTCCGCATCCTGCGACTGGCGGATGTCGCGGATGTCGCGGATGGGATGGACGCCTACCAAAAACATGGTTTACCATAACTATATATAAAATTAAATAAATAATAAATATATATATATATATATATTTAATCACTATATATAGTGATTGTCATATCACTAAAATCATCATATCAATTTACCATGTGACGAATATGTCAAGAACATGTCATGAAGTATGTGAAGGCAATGTTTGTTTGTTTGTTTTCTGGTAAAATGGACCATTTGCATGTTTTAGTGAAATGAACCTACATTTCGATATTGTTCTCTTCCCATGACGCAAAGTTGATCGCAACCTTGGCCAAGTCGCCGTCCTGGATTTGATTCTCGAAGTGGAAAATCTCCTCTTTTCGCGACTCCAACTCCTGGCCGAAAAAATCTTCGGACGAATCATCAGCAGCAAACCTGGACTTGACATGCCCGGCTCCAAAAGAACATGGCCGTAGGACAAATGGAAAGAAGCAGAGCATACCAAAGCACACTTTCAAGGATAAGGTGAAGAAAGGAAAGTGACCTTAAAACTGGATGCGCAGGGAAAAAAGGATGTTCTAAAAACTGAATCTCTGCAAGAACTGTTTCCTCGTGCAAAAAACAGCAGGTGCACTGCTGAAACCCAACATATCCCAACATGGAACCTCTCAAACTGAGGTTAGAACATGGCTTCCCCCAATCTCATCAAAATCACCACTTCAACATTTTTACAAATCATTTTATTCAATGCCAATCCTATGTCTCATCCTTTTTCCCCATATGTTCACTAGGAAAACTCTATAGAAATCCCAAGAAATTTCCACACCCGCCGATCATCGCCGCCTTGCGCAGCACTCTTAGCTCCACTTCTCGTGCCGCCATCTCCCGTTCCAGTGCATCGTTTCCATCGGGACCCGTCAGCTCCGGCCAGTCCTGGAACGTGGGCAGCGGGGGATCTTGCAACCAAACATGGCATACCAACACTTTACCGACAAAAGGCCCTGAAATTTATATGTCAACTGGGCTGAGTTTGACTATTCTCAATTACCATCCGCTCCAATGTGTAGAACCACTGCACCTGCCTCCCATGGCCCCCCCCCTAAACTCCTCGTGCTGCAAGGGCTCCGTCTTCCCCCTCCGCACCGCCTGGTCCACTTCTTTCGCCAGCGTCGTCGACGCTGGCCGCCCCGGCTGCGTCTGCGCCGCGGCAGTGGCATAGGAGGCGCTGGCAGGAGAGAGGCTGCCCCGGTCGCCCACGTGACGTGGGGAGGAGAGGCTCCTGAAGTGGCGGTGGTCCGTGACTTGGAACTTTTAAGGATATTTTGAAATTAAATGAAGATGGAAAAACAAGTGACATTCAGTGCTATCTTTGGGTCAAAGTTGAGAACCATAAAAACCATCACATTGTTTTTTGCTCAGTGAAGTCAGTCATGTGGGGTCAGTCATGTGGTCAAAATTGGTCAAACATCACTTCCCGCGATTCCATGCGTCCTGATGCTATTCTTACGGCTCAGGTGCTGCTCATGCAGCTTCTGCAGCAAATCCTGGCAGCTGAATCAACGGCCCTGGTGAACTGGTCATGGGCTCAAACTACCTGTGTGTTGATAGTCTGTTGTTTGCTTGGTGACATTCTGTTTTTTTGGAAGACCCAGGTGGAACATCTACAGCAGGAGAACCTGTTTACATCTTTCTACTGAGAATTGCTGTATCGCTGTGGGATGTGCTGTTGCCGCGCTACAGGAAAAGAACTATAAGAAAAAAGTATGACCTTGTGATTTCGGTGGGATGTTGGTGATGCTATTGATGGTCCCGTGGCACTTGGGGTCACCATCGTTCATCTCAGCTCGTAGAACTGCCAGAGACTCCTTCAGCCTTCTGACTGCGCGTTCTGCTCCACCGTTGGATTGGTGCTGTTGGGGGCGTGCACGACGCACCATGAATGTGTACTTCTCTGAACTTGTCCCTACTAATTCTGAAACCGCTCTTTCTGCATCGGTGTGCAACACAACTGAACTAGTGGAAGATGCTAGTACAAGACATGGCATGGCGGCATGACATTCTTGGCCCGGCGCCACCATCATGATCTCATCCCATTATCCTGCCTGGCTACCGTTTTTGGGAGGTGCATCATGTACTTACATGTCTAATATATAGATATGTACATATACTTATTTATTTAATTTATATACCTCTCTCTCTCTCTCGGTTATTAAAGAAATGCATATACATGCACACACACATATACATATAAATATAAAATCATAAATAACTATATATATATATATAAATATATAAATGCATATATACTTATATATTTTTATATATACTTATATATTTTTATATATACTTATATATATATATATATACTTATATATATATATATACATGCATATTATGTTCATTCAGCCATCGAAATTGCTCCAAAACACCATTTCAGTCCCTCGCCATTCACCATTCGTCGAAGTTTTACACGCATAACTCCAATGTGTTTCCAGCGTCCGGGCCTTGTCATGATGATCCAACTCCGGATGCGGCTCATGTCTTCGTTTCTCCAGTGGCAGCTGTGGCGCTGGACTACCAGCGGGCCCTGGGTAGGCTGCCTGCGAAGACGGTGGCGCTGGAGATTGTGATGGATGCTGTGGATGCTGCTGTTGCATCTGATGTGGATGCTGCTGGAAATGTTGCTGCTGTGACATGTGCTGCTGCTGTTGCAAGTGCTGCGGATGCGGTTGATGCAGATTTTGCGGATGTTGTGGATACTGTGCTTGTTGAGGGTGCTGTGCAGGTTGAGGGTGCTGTGGATGTTGAGGGTGCTGTGGATGTTGAGGGTGCTGTGGATGTTGAGGGTGCTGTGGATGTTGAGGGTGCTGTGGATGTTGAGGGTGCTGTGGATGTTGAGGTTGCTGTGCATGTTGAACATGCTGTGGATGTTGAGGGTGCTGGTTCTGATGCTGAAAATGTTGCTGATGCTGAGGCTGTTGCATCTGCTGTGGATGGTGCATCTGTTGCACATGTGGCGTCGCTACATGTGGCAACTGCTGCGGCTGCGCTGCGAACTGCCGCTGCGGGGTCGGGGCATGCGTCGCTACCGCGTGGTGACCGCCGTGGAACTCCAGGCTGCGACCGCGGTCCAAATGCTGCAGCAATTGGTCCTGGGTTGAACCGTTGAACCCAGGGGTCACTGGAGGGATGAAAATCTCAGGAACTTCCCACATGAATTATCCCATGAATCCCACAACACCCTGGTGTTCATGGGATTTGTTTTTGGTGCGACATATTTGATTTTAAGTCAATACATATGAAGGTACGAAGAAGATTATTACAAGGTGAGACCCTCTAGTTATAAGTTGAATTATAAGCCCTAAGATATAGTTCATATCCCCCCAATCAATATACCGTAGTTATGTATGCCAACAAAGCGCTCTGGTCAATGGGGGCCTCACCTTGAGATTTGGATTGTGAACACCTCAGGTTTGGATTAATCATGTAATCCTTATCAAACCCACTGCGATATCATCCAACTGGCAACTGGCAAGAGACAAGAATACAATACCCATTTACCAAACTTAGGATTTATAAATATCATTTATCCTTAACAGGGATTACTATTTCCTTGAACTGAAAGAAAATACTGGTGACATCTGCAACGTGAGGCCCCCAAGATATCTAAGTTGGTTTATAACTCCAATAACTGTGGTTTCTGGTACTTATAACTATAGTTCCTGGGGCTTATAAACCAACATACAACTGGGGGGCCTCACATTGTGGGAATATATGGGGATAGTATCCTTACCACTGACATCCACTGACCCTCCAAGTTTCTGCTGGCATCCGCTGCCCCTGGGGCCCCTGGGGCGCCCTCGGCTCGACGGGTGGCCCCTCAGGCAGCGATTTGCAGGGCCGCAGCACAGGGGCAGCGGCTGCCGCGGCCAGGGGAGTGCCCGGTAAGGACTGGGCCAACATGGCGCCGGGATCTTTGCCCTGGCCGTGGGGAAAATGCGTGGGGAAAATGCGTGGGGAAAATGCTTTGGGAATTCATTGATTCTAAGTATGTCCAAGTAGATTGAGTGAAAAATATATGGAACTATGGGAAAAATAGGAAAAATGGGAAAAATGGGAAAATGGGAAAACAGATTGGGCTTGGTTGAGATTTGGCTGTGAAAGTTTGAGAACGTACAGTGGTAGATCTTGCTGAATGATGGTTTTGGGGACTAAATTGGACCCACAGTCTCTTTTTCTTTGCAGAAAGGTCAGAAGCATTGGTGCAGGATAGTATCTCTCATGTTCCAAAAGACCATTTCAATCTAGAGTCTATTCTGTATGCTGATAAGCAATCTTGCCACTTGAGAAGTTTTTCACCTTCCTCTTTGCTCCAGCTATCTGGGCCAAATCCTGCGACATGGTCCTGTCACCGCAGATTTGGTGAGTTGCTATAGCTGCAGTACCAAAATAGAGCTTCGCCCAAACATCTGTGGATCAGAGGAAACTATTTCCGCATGGGGTCTGAAAGAAGGGGTCCGTACGCCACCATGGGTTTCAATACTACAAGGGTCATCCATGATTGGATGCAACTGGCTACCGCCATGACTTCGGAAAGCGAGCCGAGCCGAGGTTTCGGACTGCGGTTATGCAAGAAGTCATCAAAGATCCCCAATTCTGTAGAAACCTTCGGGGGCTTGGCCGGTGGGACGTGGTCGGTGAAAAGAACACACCATGGTGGAAGGACAAAATTGTCTTGGTACTGTATCATCTGCCAATCAAACTTGGTAATGGAAACACACACACACATTCCTACACATGTCTTTTTTCAAATATGGGATTTTCCCTCACCTGGCTTGTGAGATGGAGGGGTCTCATATCTCCAAGCTCAAACCGATGCCAAGCCGTAAAACAAAGACCGTCAATCTGCGACATGCAGATTCAACCATGAGACCTACCCTCTGGTAAAATTACTATTTTTGAGTATAGGGAAATATGGTTGATGTTCCACAGCAAACTGTTAGTTTACCCGAGGCTACAGAGTTGGGCTACTGTTAGAATCCGACCCAAAAGATTGGGTTTCATCAACGCCTTACACGAGACGGTCATAATCTCAGATATGCATCCCAGTATGAGAATCATATACGTACCCCAACAGCATTTGTTTTATGATTCTCTTAGTGGATACACATGTTTTTACTTTTTTTTCAAATGATGAGAACTTAAAAAAATGGTTTTTGCATCCCAGGATGAACATTTTCTGGTCGGTGGTTGAGCCACCCCTCTGAAAAATATGAGTTCGTCAATGGGAAGGATGGCATCCCATATATAAATACATACCAGCAGTACCCGCACGAGGCGGGGCGGAAGTTGCCTTAAAGATATATATAAGACCTTTCTCATCTATAGAACTTGCATGCGCCGTGCGCCAGCCAAGCCCGTGCGTGCGTGCACTCTGCGAAAGTGGTGTCCTGTTTCACATGTCACATGTGAAGCTCCACTTCGCCCTTCCCACTTCTCACTGCAGTCTTCACACTCCACACTGCACACTTCACACTTCGCACTCCACACTTCTCACTTCACACTGCACTCTTCCCAATCCACACTTCACACTTCACTGCACGCTTCCCACTGCACACTCCACACTTCACACTTCACACTCCACACTTCACACTTCACACTCCACACTTCACACTGCACTCTTCACGCCCCACACTTCACACTGCACTCTTCACACTCCACACTTCATCTCATCTGAGCTCTTCTCACCTTATCCCAGCTCATCTCTTCTCATCTCATCTCTTCTCATATGTCACCTAAGCTTTCATGAATCACTTCCCAGTACTACTACCAAGGAACTTGCATGCGCCGTGCGCCAGCCAGGCCCGTGCGTGCGTGCTTTGTGCGAAGCTGTTGCAGTGTTGCTGTCCAAGAACATGACCTGCGCGCGACCCCGGTAGAATGCAAACACTTTCCTCACACTTCACATTGCACCAAAATTGAGAAAATCTGCTGACAAATCACTTTCGCAGCCTTGATGCAGCCATTCCAATACGATTTACGATCTTCAGCTGCAAAAGACAATAGTATTACGCATGCAGCCGCTGCACCAAGCAACCTTGACGCAGCCACTACAATGCGATCTGCAGAGACTGAGTTGCAAAACACAATAGAACTACGTGCAATGGCGTCGGAAATTGCAGCTCCAAAACCGGATCTCGACGCCAAAGCGACAAAAAGACGATTTTGAAGCACTTTTTAAAAGGAATTTTAAAAGGAAAATTATTAGCGCCAAAACTGAGAAAATCTGCTGACAAATCACTTTCGCAGCCTTGATGCAGCCGTTCCAATACGATTTACGATCTTCAGCTGCAAAAGACAATAGTATTACGCATGCAGCCGCTGCACCAAGCAACCTTGACGCAGCCACTACGTTGCGATCTGCAGAGACTGAGTTGCAAAACACAATAGAGCTACGCGCAACGGTGTCGAAAATTGCAGCTCCAAAACCGGATCTCGACGCCAAAGCGACAAAAAGACGATTTTGAAGCATTTTTTAAAAGGATTTTTAGAAGGAAAATTATTAGCGCCAAAATTGAGAAAATCTGCTGACAAATCACTATTGCAGCGTGGATGCAGCCATTCCAATACGATTTACGATCTTCAGCTGCAAAAGACAATTGTATTACGCATGCAGCCGCAGCACCGAGCAACCTTGACGCAGCCACTACAATGCGTTTCGCAGCATCCCGTAGCAAACCTGCACCTATCTACGGAAGTGGCAACACCAAATGACAACAATCATGCAGCCATTCCAATGCGATCTGCCACCACAGCTTCAAGAAGCGCATAGAACTACGCACACAGGAACAACCACTCGTTGCAAAACACATAGGAGGAACAATTCGCGACAAAAACGACCCCAGCCGCAACCGCCGCACAGACGAGGTACCTTTCATCGCCGGCTGCAGCCACTTTACACGGAAAAACACAAGGTTTCGTGCTCCGGCTTCCTCCCCACAACATAGCCCATGCAACATTCATGCAGCCACTACAATGCGTTTCGCAGCATCCCGTAGCAAATCTGCACCTATCTACGGACGTGGCAACACCAAATGACAACAATCATGCAGCCATTCCAATGCGATCTGCCACCACAGCTTCAAGAAACGCATAGAACTACGCACACAGGAACAACCACTCGTTGCAAAACACATAGGAGGAACAATTCGCGACAGAAAAGACCGCAGCCGCACCCGCCGCACACACGAGGTACCTTTCATCGCCGGCTGCAGCCACTTTACACGGAAAAACACAAGGTTTCGTGCTCCGGCTTCCTCCCCAAAACATAGCCCATGCAACATTCATGCAGCCATTACAATGCGTTTCACAGCATCTCGTCGCAAACCTGCACCTATCTACGCACATGGCAACATCAGATGACGACAATCAAGCAGCCATTCCAATGCAATCTGCAACCAGAGATTCAAAAACCGCATAGAACTACGCACACAGACACAACCACTCGTTGCAAAACACATAGGAGGAACAATTCGCGCATGAAACGACCGCAGCCGCACCCGCCGCCCACACGAGGTACCTTTCATCGCCGGCTGCAGCCACTTTACACGGAAAAACACAAGGTTTCGTGCTCCAGCTTCCTCCCCAAAACATAGCCCATGCAACATTCATGCAGCCATTACACTGCGTTTCGCAGCATCCCGTAGCAAACCTGCACCTATCTACGGACGTAGCAACACCAAATGACAACAATCATGCAGCCATTCCAATGCGATCTGCCACCACAGCTTCCAGAAACGCATAGAACTACGCACACAGGAACAACCACTCGTTGCAAAACACATAGGAGGAACAATTCGCGCACAAAACGACCCCAGCCGCAACCGCCGCACAGACGAGGTAGCTTTCATCGCCGGCTGCAGCCACTTTACACGGAAAAACACAAGGTTTCGTGCTCCGGCTTCCTCCCCACAACACACGGCATGCAACATTCATGCAGCCACTACACTGCGTTTCGCAGCATCCCGTAGCATACCTGCACCTATCTACGGACGTGGCAACACCAAATGACAACAATCATGCAGCCATTCCAATGCGATCTGCCACCACAGCTTCAAGAAGCGCATAGAACTACGCACACAGGAACACCCACTCGTTGCAAAACACATAGGAGGAACAATTCGCGACAGAAACGACCCCAGCCGCAACCGCCGCACAGACGAGGTACCTTTCATCGCCGGCTGCAGCCACTTTACTCGGAAAAACGCAAGGTTTCGTGCTCCGGCTTCCTCATCTTCCTCCCCAACTCACCCCTTCCCTTCCTCACCACTTCCCATCGTCACCACTTCCCATCGTCACCACCTCCCTTCGTCACCACTTCCCTTCCTCACTACTTCCCTTCCTCACCACTTCCCATCGTCCCCACCTCCCTTCCTCACCATTCCCCTTCATCATCACTTCCCTTCGTCACCACTTCCCTTCGTCACCACTTCCCTTCGTCACCGCTTCCCTTCGTCACCACTTCCCTTCTCCACCACTTCCCTTCGTCACCACTTCCCTTCGTCACCACTTCCCTTCTCACCACTTCCCTTCGTCACCACTTCCCTTCTTCACCACTTCCCTTCGTCACGACTTCCCTTCTTCACCACTTCCCTTCCTCACCACTTCCCTTCGTCACCACTCCCCTTCATCATCACTTCCCTTCTTCACCACTTCCCTTCGTCACCACTTTCCTTCTCCACCACTTCCCTTCCTCGCCACGTCCCTTCGTCACCACTCCCCTTCATCATCACTTCCCTTCTTCACCGCTTCCCTTCGTCACCACTTCCCTTCCTCACCACTTCCCTTCCTCACCACTTCCCATCGTAACCACATCCCTTCGTCACCACCCTGTGTCATAGCTTCTTATTCTTTTGTTATGTATTGTCATGTGATCTACCACCCTTCATCATAGTCAATTTCATCGCTTCTTTTTCTTTTGTTATGAATTGTTAGATTATGTTTTGTTATGTGATCTACCACCCTTCATCATAGTCAATTTCATAGCTTCTTATTCTTTTGTTATGTATTGTTGGATTATGTTTTGTTATGTGATCTACCACCCTTCATCATAGTCAATTTCATCGCTTCTTATTCTTTTGCTATGAATTGTTAGATTATGTGTTGTTACATGATGTACCACCCTTCATCAGAGTCAATTTCATAGCTTCTTATTCTTTTGTTATGTATTGTTGGATTATGTATTGTCACATGACCTACCACCCTTCATCATAGTCAATTTCATAGCTTCTTATTCTTTTGTTATGTATTGTTAGATCACGTACCACCCTTCATCATAGTCAATTTCATCAAGTAAAAGTCATTCGTAACTCGGAAGTATTGCTTCCCAACTTCCTTTGATTATATAAAAATATGGAAAAATGTTTGAAACCACCGTAACCAGATTTTTTTTACATCATTCAACTGGGCCAACCACGGTTTCTCCAAGGTTTTTGGCTCCCGTGATTTTGACCACATCCCACCTGCAACTTGGACAACTTGGCGCGGTCCTCACGGTCATTACCTTGGCCCGTTAAGGGTGGCTCATCCCCATTAGAATATTCATACATAAATCAGCTATAAAAACACATTCAATCATATATATATATATATATGTGTGTCATAGAAAATCCCCATTAAATCCCATGCATATCTTTGTTGGTGAAACCCACATCTTCTATCATTTTCCTACTGGGGTTTCGTTTGGGGAGCCAGGGAGCCTTCGTATCGAAAACCCAAACGATCAACGCCAGGCGATCCGGACCCCGCCCAAAGCGGCGGCGACCGCGCCGGCGGCGAGAGTGGGAGCTCTCCTGTTTTTCGGCAGGGTGGGCGGCCATTGGGAGACGGCCTGGTATAATGCTGATGCCCAAATATGCCCAAATATCATAACATAGCTATATAGGCAAAATCAAGAAAAACCATCATTTTTGAGATTCCGTGTTCAGTTTGGAGGGGAACATCATATGACGGGAAATCAATTTTTGGATGCCAGTACTGTAGGACTGTAGGATGTTGACTAGCAGTGTTGACCTAGGGTTGGATGTGAACAGCGACCAGGATGCTCATTTCGCATTTCAGTAGGGAGTCAACTCGGACTGAGCTAGTCCTTGGCATAACCATCCAATAATCTATATTTAGGGATGGTTAAAACTTATATCCATGTAACTTAACTACAACTGATACTATGATGTTGCTTCCTAATTCATCTGGAAGCTTCTGCTTCCAGGCCACCTCTCCCAAAGGATCTTGTTTTTGTTCCTTCCTGCATAGCAAGGACGAAGCCAGCCCGCCCACAGTGGCTTTGCCACCGGGGTGTGGCACAGATCACCAGTTAGACTAAACGTTTGTTACGCTTTGAGGTGGATGTGTCCAACCCTAGATATACCCTGCACTTACCCGAAAAAACATGAAACAGCAGGATTCTTTGTATCAGTGGCCATTTCAGGAACCTGAAGTGGAGGTACCCACCATATATAAGGCCTATTTTTCAGGCTTAAATTTCAGGGAATATCCCCACAAAATATAGCCAAACATATGGTACAGTATTCTATTTCTGTTGCTAGGAGCGTTGCGCTCAGCGTTTGCTCAGTGAGCTGCTCCTTTGGAAAACATGATGGAACAAGGGGTCCGCCAAGCTGCTTTTTTTTGGATGTTCTTCTATTGGAGGTTCCGTAAAAACAAACAGCTTCAACACATAAATGACACATGTCAAGAGCGTACGGCTATGATATTATCTGGTTGGTGGTTGAGCCCTACCCATCTGAAAAATGATGGAGTTCGTTAGTTGGGATGATGACATTCCCAATATGATTGAAAAATATAAAAGGTTCCAAACCACCAACCAGTGATATATATATATATGTGGATGATTATGGATGGATGATTATGGATGTATATGGGATATTCGGGTAATGATGCCACCATTCTTTCGCAAAAAACAACAAGAAGTATGCAGCCAGTGTCTTTTTGCATCAACTGGTGATCTGATCTAAAAATCATTTCGTGATCGCCGAGTCACTTGGTTTTCCCAGGGTCTCTGGATTGACATCAATTTGACTCAGGACCTCTGCATGTTTCGCTCGGTCAAGGGGATACCTGCCGGTGGCCATCCCGAGGTCTTCCGAAAGGGCTGAAAATGGGTCCCCTGATACCAAAGCTACAAGTTCCCCTCTGGTAATTCAACATAGCTATTGAAAATGGGCATAGAAATAGTTGATTTATCCACTCAAACATGGTGATTTTCCACAGCTATGTTAGTTTACCAAAGATTCGACTTGCTGTTAAGGGATCTGGTTTCTAAGAAACGAACTGGTAATTCTGCAGGTAATTGTTGAAACATCCAAATTGATCCTAAGTTGTTGTTTCTTTTTGCTGATCTTCACGACCGGAGGAACCAAAAAAGAACACTCCAGATGTTTTCCCAACAGGCCATCGTGACCCAACACCCCAAAATCATGGCAATGGATGACAAGAAACCTCAATGGTCACAAACACCCTGTTCAACTTAAAAAAACAAACAACAACTGAAAACCATGATATCACATGTTCATACATGTTCCATTTATATTGTTTTTCTTCCCGAAACTGAATTTTCAGGGTCAGATCGTTGAGGGATACTCCAGTTCCAGTTCACCGCCCGATGCTCTGCCGATGCTGTGCACGTCCCAGAGGCAGAACGAAGACCACCAGGGCGGAAAATCCCCCCAGAACCGCCGGGACCAAGCCGTAGAAGATGCGAATCGCTAGCTTTGCCGATGGCCCTTGGGGTTCGCCTGCCTGAAGAGTGGATCCACATGATGGTTTCATACAAAAATAATAGAGCTAGGTATGGGGCACCAGTTTTTTTTGGTGTGTGGTTTGAGGAAAGAATCATGAAAATCAAGAATCCAATATAATAACATAGTTGTTTGGAAGATCTGATCTTGAACATAGTAAAGTTGTCACCAGCCTGTGGTATATCCCGGGCACATTTAGAAAAGGAGACCGGGGAGAACGGGTTGACCACCCGTGCCGGCAATGCCTGGTAGCCCGAAAGGTCGATGACCGTAAAGCCCAGAGAGATCAAGGCGCTCGCAGCCAACTTGCTGGAGATGTCCTGAGCGCATCCAATACATGTGGTGGCGTCGCAGGTTCCATGTATACCTACAATGTGAGGCCCCCCAGTTATAAGTTGGTTTATAAGCACCAGTAACTATAGTTATAAGTACCATAAACCATAGTTATTGGAGGGCTATAATCGCACATCCTTTGGCAAACGTGCACATCACTTTACCAAAATCGGAGCATTGGTTCATGGGAAATGGACCGGAAAGCCTCATACTTTACTTAGCCCGAAATAGGTTAGGACTTGAAGTTGAAACATGTCTGGTGCCAAGCTGCAAAGACAGCCACCAACTTTCCTGCAAGGGAGGCAGCTTCATGGTAAACAATGATCTGTTATATCCAATGTGCTGGTATCCTGGATAATTATGTTGGTAAATTATCATTTTCAAATCAACATAATCATTATGTTGGTATAATGTTGGTAAAACATCATTATTGATATTCATATTGACTCCCAACACAGTTTAGCACTCCTACAATATCAATATCATATGCATGAATATATCGTGCTAAAATGCACCATCTCAAAGAAATCATCTGATGGCGGGCCAGCATCATGTTGCCCAAGTGATAAAAACTGGCCCAACCATTGGACGCAACATGTAGCTAAGACCAACTGCATAAATTTAATGGAACTTGGGACAAGAGAAATCCTTCATCAAAATGGAAGTAAAAACTTGGGAAAAAAACTCAGAAATCCATGGGAGAGAAATCCAATACCACTTCATAAAACTTGGAAAATGGAATCCTTCAACAAAATGGTGCGGTGGAAGGGGGCTTTTGCACATCATGTCAAACTAGAATTAAGAAACTCCAGTCGAAACCAAGACCTTTCTCAAAACAGTGGCAAAGACCAATTCCAAACATGGGGGGGCGTTCTAGGCGTTCTATTTCAAAAAAAACAAATCATAGATAAAACACCCAAGGGTTCACAAATCATACATCTTAAAAAACTTGGTGTGTACTATTTAATATATATATATATAGTTTCTGGTTGAAATTTACTAATTCACTCACCTGAACAAAACTGTTATCATACGGACATTTGGGTATTTTTCCCAGATATACACCATCATTGCAGTGACGTCACGACGTGAGGTCATTATAATTCATCCAGATCATTAGTTGGTTTCACCAATAATGGAATAGTAATGGCATCATAATGGCTGTACAAAAAGGATCAAATGGGATAATCATAGGATAAAGTTATTAGGTTCAAATCCTATAAAAAGGATAAAATCCTATAACAAATCCTATGATACACCTAGGAATCCTATAAAATCCTATGATTTCCGCTAGGTTCAAATCAACGTCCCACAACGCCCCAGCGTCCCGGTAGCTTGGGCGCTTGGCACCTTCGTCCTTTCGTCCACTTTGCAGCTGCAAGAGATCCGACACATCGCCCAACATGGAGGAGCGAATCACTGGGACACCACCGAAACTGATCCCTGGGAGAGTTGCCACGTTGAACAGCTATAGCTGACAGCTGTTTGTTTGGATGTTTCGATGAGAAAAATGATGTAACATTCTTTGACAGCTGGATGCTGTTTGGATTTGTTTCGATGACGGATTATATATATATAAATATGGACATGTTTTCGATGATGATACCATTGTTTCTGAGATGTTTTGGCAATGGGAAGACCCTTGCCAAACCTGGAATATCATCTTAAAAGAATAAGGGTTGAGTTACTGAACACTGCTGATGGGCGTGTCCCAAACTCATCCCATCAACTGCTGCATCTAAGCGTACCTGGAGCACCCTAAAGAGAATAATTATTCTTTGGCAGCATAATTATTAATAAAGTATGTTTTTGAGAATAATTATTCTCCTATACGATAAAACCCGTTCAAGCATTGGAGCACCTCTTTGGGTTACTATTTTGAAGCCCCCAAAACAGCAACTATTTCTTCGGATTTTGAGCTTCTATGCGGCTAAACCTTATGGCACTGTTCAGAACCGTTCAGGGCCATTAAAGACCGTAATGTGTACGTTGTTTCCCATTCAAAACCGTTCTCCGAAATCCAAACCGTTCGGATTACGTTCAAAGTACGTTCAAATTACGTTCAAATTACGTTCGATTACGTTCAAGTTGCGCAAAAATTACGTAAAAAAATACGTAAAAAATAGGGTTCCAAAACAGCACTTTTTATGCAGCTATTTCTGGTGATTTCATACAAATAAAAAGGGTTTTATGAACCATATATGCAAAAGGCACCAGATACGTTAAAAACCGTTCGAGGTCGATAAAAACCGTTCTGGTAGAATAAAAAGTCAAAAAAAGACAAAAGATTAATAAAAGTCTTTTTGTTGAATAATTATTCTCTTTAGGGTGCTCCAGGTAGGCAAATATGAAAACAACATACTTGTATATCATGGGTATACATTGGATCTGTATCATGGGTTATAACGGATTGTATATCATTGTATATCTATAATCATGGTATACCAATGGCATATTCAACTACCACTATATCTTATAATATATATATATATATATACCAAGCATTGGATGGTATGGAATAAAACCCCCCAGCCCAACCGCCCCAAGCCCGTTGCGTTCGGTGCCTGCCACGATGATACATCCCGAGTACACGGCCACAGACCCCCTTCCGAACCCGATGAAGGCCACCAGCAAGGCAAACGCCCTCGGTACGGCCGGCCGAAATCGCGACAGGTTGACCCACATAGCTCGGTCAATTCTATTGGTTGATTAGGGGAATCTCACTATCACTACAAAGTGGGGCCCCCTAGATAGCTAAGTTGGTTTATAACTCCAATAACTATGGTTTATGATACTTATAACTATAGTTACTGGGGTTTAAAAACCAATTTATAACTGGGGGGCCCCACATTGTAGTATTCATGGGTTTATAAACGTATAACTGGGGGGCCTCAGGCCTCAACTTGTAATTAGGCAGTAATTATACAGCCATTCTTTAAAAAAAGGACAATACATCTAATGGATAAAAATGGATGAACAGCAAAATTACAGTTGCTAATATGAATGTTATGGGCAAATCTACGTGCACATATAGGTGCATATCTACATCTATTGTAGCAGTATAATCAGAACGAACTAGTTAGCTCTCTTGGGCCACATCTCTCGCCATCTATTTGACTGGGTTGAATGACTCTGTAGAACTGACTGGAATCATTGATCAAATCTACCCTTTAAAATAGTCACACCCTGTCTTGGTTGATTTTCCTTTGGGAAACCCAGTGGAGGATTCTGATCACGGTTTTTGACTTGATGATTGTACCGGGTGAAAACCGGTGCTGCTATGACTGAAAATAGTGAACCACCACCAAAAGGTGATCTGGTGTGATCTTGGTTTGGCTTCCCTGCATGTGGTACCTCTGGTTATTTAACATAGCCATGGTATAGATGGCTCATTTGTAGAAGATTTTCCCATTAAAACCTCCATTTATAAGGGCTTTTCCATGGCTATGTTAAATAACCAGATGGTAAACCCAATCATAGACTTCCAATTTTGGTGACATTGGGGATGGTTTATGGCATTGGCTTTATAATTACAGTCAACTAGTGGGCTTACAATTTATGAGTATGTTCCATGATATTCCCATGATGCTTCCACAATATTCCCATGCATATCATGTTGGTCATCTTTGGTAGTTAAACTTCCTCTTATTTCCAAAATAGCTACTATAAAACCATACAGGCTATATTGCATAAACAGCTTATATACACGAACACATCAAAAACACAATAACCATATTAGATATTAAGCATCTTAAACATACTGTGGATGGTTGCGAAATCCTGCACCACCAAAAGGATGGTTATCCACCCTATAAATATAATGGGATATTTACCATCTATCAACTGGTGCAGGATTTCGTAACCATCCACAGTATCATCCATATCAACATATGGGTTTTGTAATGTAATCAAATATGATAAAACATGTTTGTGGTATTATATGATGATAAAAACAATAAATATCATATCCCCAACTGGCCTCATTTCAAGCATTTCACCCACCGAAACCCGTCCAAGCTGCTGAATCAGCGTGGCCAAGACCAAGCCGCGTCGCTTGTCGAAGCGTTGCGAGAGCAAGGCCCAGAAAGGAACGCCCAGGGCACCAATCAAGATGTATAAACCCAGGAGCCTAGGAGATCTCATGGGAGATCAACTGAAATATGGAGAAACCATGCTGGATATCATGGTGATAATCAGCTGCAAAATATGGAAATTGAGATCTCACCAGCCATTTTTTTGGCTGGTTGTAACTGCAACAAAAAAGGAAAACTGTGGATATAGGGATATATTTTAAGACATCGGTTGGCCTCTTTGTCTGTGGCCATGTCAGGGCTATTTCTAACATATAAAGTGCTATTTCTAAAATATATAGGGCTATTTCTAAAATATCTAAATCTATTTGTAAAAAAACACATTGGTTCTAGAATCAAGAAAGTGTAGTTTTATGTGGCCACTTGCACATCACAACAACTTCAAGATTGCAAATCCACCATTGTTGTTTTTAATGTCTTGGTTTCGGGAAAATATGGTGACAAAACCGCTTTCCAAGAACCATGTGTGTTGCAAACGAAGTTTGGGATTTTTTGGTGGATGTCGCTCGGAACCGCAGCAGTTCCAAAGATCAAAAAACTGAACCGTGCATATCAATAGCAATGGGTGCAATGAGCAAGGAAGAGCCTCCAAAGAAGCGTTGCTCCGAACTTTGTGGAAGTTGTTGTTTTGTTTTTTTGTTTTGTTTTCGAATTTCGTGTCTGTGGTTCTCCGTGGCAGGCGCCGCCAAAATATATGAGCATATGTGATTCTGTGTGTGGCAGGTGTGGCAAGAATATATGTGAAGTGTTGCGTGCTTGTGGGCGTGGCAGGTGTGGCCAAAATATGTGTTAAAAAAATTACTGTTGGTGCGCGCGCGTGGCAGGTGTGGCAAGAACAATGTTTGTGTGGCAGGTCTGGCGATAAGGCATGGTGTCTCTGTGAGTGTACTTGTGGCAGGTGCAGTGATAACAATATGAGTGTATGTAAGTATGCAAACTGAGGCCGTCGTGTGGAAGGCCCTCCACAGCCACCTAAGACACAGCCACCATGGCACGTTTTCGCACTAGAGTTGGAGGATTTTGGGCCACCACTGCAGCCCGCGTCTTGTCTCGGAAACGCTGTGCAAAAAAAATGCGTTTGTGTTTTGTGTTTTGCGTGATAAGGTATCCCAATGACCCGGTGAAACGCCACGCGCATGAGCTGTTCCAATGCAGAGTGAACAGGCTCCTGTATTGCACAATGGGCCATAAGCTTACAAAAAGGAGCATGGCTGTGTTTTGGAGATCTGGGATGTTTTTGACACTTGATCAAAAATCTAACAAAGATCTGCATGAGCTCATTGAGCTTCTGATTGAAAAGCGGGTCTTGTTCACAAACACAGACTTGAAGACTCAGTGCTGGCCACTCTGAATATGGATGGATCGGTGAGAACATGCGTGATGACAGGTGTGCTGAGAAAAAATTGCGTGTGGTTCGAATTAAAGAACAAAAATACTTGGATGCAATCCAAAAAAAGGAAAGCAAACAAATTTCAAGTGTGTGATCAAATTCGCAAAGATTGATCTGGAGTGGATCGAGTTGGAAACAGCAAGGACAATTTGGCATTAAACCATAAGATCAAGCATCGTACTCCAGCAAACCTGCAATCTGAGAATCAAATATCAGTCCCAAAGATATCCATAGATCCTGGAGGATCCTGGGGTATATAGAATTTCAAATTACAGTCATATCATATTTAGATAGATAATTGTGTCCATTCACTGCTTGCAACTCATTCTCGTTTTCTCACGCAATTGCTTGGTGGTTGATGATCTGACGTTCAGGCGTGCTCTTTGAAATGTGTCGATCAGGATTGTGTGATGATGTTTTTTCTTAAGTTCCTATGTTTCTGAATACGGGGTTAAAATGCAGTGGCAGACGGGTTTTGTATTCCGTACCTTCCTTTCCTTTACTTATTGTTACTTTCTCTTAATGAGCTATGGGCTATGGCCCCCTAAGATTGGATATGTACTGTACTGTATTTTTTCTTGTTTTCACCTGGCATGGCATGCCCATCCACTTGTGTGCGCATAGCATAGGACCATGTAGTTGGACACCGACTGCTGCACGGCCGTGGCAGGAAGTGGTTTTTCTTGTACTTTTTCAATGCATTTCAAGGGTTGGGGTGGGGTGGGGCATGTTAACGTTCCTTGTAAGTGGCAAGCAACGCAACTGAAGGGTTGGGTTGGGGTGGGGTGGGGTGGGGCATGCATTAACGTTCATGTGAACTTGCGGAGAAAGAAAATGCTTCTCTGTGGCTGCCGGTAGGTGAATATATGCACGGTTGGCCTGGGGTGGGGTGGGGCATGTATTAACGTTCATGTGAACTTGCGGAGGACGGACATGCTTCTCTGTGGCTACTGTACGTTCTCTGGAACCTTCCATGCATGCGTCATGCTACGCTACTGCAAGTTCTCTGGAACTTTCCACTCATACATACGGTATATACGTCATGCCACGCTATTGAGAGTTCTCTGGGACCTTCCATGCATACGTCATGCTACGCGACTGCAAGTTCGCTTGAACTTTCGACACATGCGTCATGCCACGCTAGTGTACGTTCTCTGGAACCTTCCATGCATACGTCATGCTACGCGACTGTAAGTTCTCTCGAACTTTCCACTCATGCGTCATGCTACGCTGTTGTAAGTTCTCTGGAACTTTCCACTCATGCGTCATGCCACGCTATTGTAAGTTCTCTGGAACTTTCCACTAATACGTCATGCTACGTTACTGTAAGTTCTCTTTTACCTTCCACTCACACGTCGTGCCACGCTATTGTAAGTTCTCTGGAACCTTCCATGCATGTGCATGCTACGCTGCTGTATCGGGATTAAGAACATGTAGTTGTGATTGCACATGAAGTGGATGCTACGGGTGGGTATACCGACGTTAACCAGATATCTTAGCTGCAGCTGCTGGCGATCTATATGATGTTGACGATCTATATGGTGTTGAGGATGCTGATGATGATGATGGTGATGATGATGATGATGTGATGATGTGATGATGATGATGATGATGGTCATGATCATGATCATGATCATGATCATGATGATGATGATGATGATGCTCATTATGATGATGACAGTGCAAATAAAACAAGTAGTTTTCTGAAACGACGATGATGCATTTTCACATGCTGGATGTGCAAAAATATTGTTTCGCTATAGCGGCGTGCTTATTTTCTATTCACACCATGGACATTTTTACCACGGCCGCGAAACAATCGTAAACCATGTAGTTGCCAGTGTCATTGCCAGCCAGCAACAAAGATCCATGACCCAGCTATCATTTGTTGTGAGGCACCAGTCAAAAGGTCAGCCTTTCTTGTTCAGTTCATGTGACCTTTTTGGATGATGACATATTGGGCACATGACCACATGGCCCTGGATTGCTCATTAACCCTTTAGTTGGTTCTTATGATGGGGCTTTTCTTGGGCTGTCCCAAGTCCGTCGTTGGGCCGTTGGGTCTTCCGTGAGGCCGTAAAAGAAAAAAAGAAACAAAACTAATTCTAAATCAATCCAGGACTATTTCTAAATCAGTCTAGGACTATTTCTAAAATCAAACCAGTACAATGCTGTTTCTAAATCAGAGCAGGAAGATTTCTCAACCATTAGCCAGCCAGACCATTCCCAAAGCCCAACCAGCCAGGATGCCGCACGTCGAGCTGAAATTGTGAGCTTGGCGAAGAAGATAAAACGGGATTTGAGGATGGGGAAGGCAAATGGGCCAATGGTTTTTTCAAAGCACCATGACTTGTCTGGCCTCGGCCTCAATGGCCGAGAGATTGAAGCGTTGGATCTGAACCATGCTTCACTTGAAGTGGCTTGGTTCAACCGTCTTCTTGGCAGCGGTTGTCAGTTGACTTTGTCAATTATTGTTATTGATCAATCATTGAGCCATTGATGATGAATTATTTATGTTTGTGGTTCTCATATGTTTAAACTATATTTTTATATATTATATTTTATGTTTTTGATGCATTTTTTTATGTAGGCACTTTGGGACGTGCGAGAAGCCGCTCTAAACCATTGAGAGCCGTTTCAAAGACATCTGCGAGGAATGGCTCTGAACCGCTCTGAATCGTTTAGTTCTTTCTCTCATTGCCCAAACACGGTTCCAAAATCCATGAAATTTAGAAACCGCTCTAAACCGCTCTAAACCGCTCTGGACTAATTGGGAAAAATGGCAGGCGATAACTAGAAATAGAACTAAACCGTTTAGAGCCGCTTGGCGCTATTTCTTACTTGATTTTATACAAAGCTCTGAACCGCTTAGAGCAGTTTAGCGCTATTTCTAAAACAACCTCCCATAGATAGCTCTGAACCGTTCAGGGCCGCTTCTCACTACCTCACATCACATATCATATCATCATATCAGAGCATTGTATATAACATACATTAATCATAACATGTTCTTTATCATGTAATACTGTAATAGTAATAGCAATAGTAATGGCAATAGTAATGGCAATAGTAATAGTAATAGTCATAATTTCATAAGATACCATAACATAAGATGACTTCGAACAAGAGAGCATAGCATAACATACTTTAACAAATCATCATTTACAAAGAATCCAGTTGTGGGCCTTGACAACGCATGTTTCCGAGATGTTTCAGTGAACTTTTGATTCAGCAATCACCAGCTCCCAAGGAGCAATGAAACAGTGGCACTGCTGTTATCATTTTGATCATCGAAATGAGTATCACCAGGTTCATCCTGTTCATCATCACTGCCGCCACCATCATCATCATCATCATCCATCATGGTGTAGTTTAAACAAACCGCTTGCTTAGGTGTCTGTTGGCGACCCTATCACGAAGCAGTGCTTTACTGATGTGGCGCGTCAGTCACTCAGAGGATTGCGGGCAGGCACAATGCGCGTGTTAGGGTTTGTTTTGGCCGAGCGCGCTGAGCGCGTGCTAGGGTTTGTTTTGGCCGAGCGCGCTGAGCGCGTGTTAGGGTTTGTGGAAAGGCAAAACAGGTGTAAAGCAATATTATGTTCTGAACTTCAAAGCATCTCTGCAATACTTTCCTTTTGCAAAGTAAATGTTTCAGGTTTTGGTTTTAAGCTGTATGGACGAGCGCGCCGAGCGCGCTGAGCGCACCGAGCGCGCCGAGCGCGCGTTAGGGTTTGTAGAAAGCAGGAGGCAGAGACAAGTTTGGATGTTGCAATGATCCTTTGAAGTTAAGACACTAACACGCACGCTCGGCGCCCTCAGCACGCTCGGCGCGCTCGGCGCGCTCGTGGACGAGCGCGCCGAGCGCGCCGAGCGCGTGTTGGAATTTGTGAAATGCACAAGACCAACAGCAAGTCACATTCTGACCTTCAAAGGATCTCTGGAACATTCTGCTTATGCAGAATATGCAAAAGCAAGCTTAGGGTTTGGGGTTTAGGGTTTGTGGTCGAGCGCGCCGAGCGCGCGTTAGGGTTTCTGAAAAAGTAAAAAGCCAAAAGCAAGCTTGATTTTTAAAGGATCTTTGCAACACTCTAGTTATGTAAAATATGCAAAAAGCAAGCTTTGCAACACTCTAGTTATGTAAAATATGCAACAAGAAAGCTTAGGGTTTTGGGGTTAGGGTTTGTGGACGAGCGCGTTGAGCGCGTGTTAGGGATGTTATAAGGTTTGTTTTGGCCGAGCACGCTGAGCGCGTGCTAGGGTTTGTTTTGGCCGAGCGCGCTGAGCGCGTGTTAGGGTTTGTGGAAAAGCAAAACAGGTGTAAAGCAATATTATGTCCTGACCTTCAAAGCATCTCTGCAATACTTTCCTTTTGCTCAGTAAATGTTTCAGGTTTTGGTTTTAAGCTGTATGGACGAGCGCGCCGAGCGCGCGTTAGGGTTTGTAGAAAAAGCATGAGGCAGAGACAAGTTTGGATGTTGCAATGATCCTTTGAAGTTAAGACTTGCTTTTGGGCTTGTTTGCTTTTCGTGAAACACTAACACGCGCTTGGCGCGCTCGGCGCGCTCGTGGCAGTTTGAGTTTTGTGGACGAGCGCGCCGAGCGCGTGTTGGAATTTGTGAAAAGCACAAGATCTGATGGTTTGATGCGACCGTGGTGATATGATATCACTTTTGCGCGACATCACAGTATGGGTGCATCACTTCATGTTTTCATTTGCATACCATCACATACAACACGCCCCATTTGACATTTGTATACATTGTGGACCACGTTCTGGTGGCATGTCAGCTCACCCAGGCTTCTATGCCACAGCTGTCAAGTACATGGCCGGCTTTGGCATGGGGAAGCAGGATCTTCCAAAGCTCTTGGCTGGGAAGGTGGATGAGTGGCTTCAAAAAGCCTCCAAAGATGAGAAGACGGAGAAACCTGTGGCTGCCAAAAAGCGGAAGACTGAGAAAAAAGAGAAAAAAGATGGTCAGGCCAACAGAGCCAAAAAATGGGGTGTGTAGATGTAGGGTGGAGGCGGAGACCACCATGAATTGATTGGGAAATAATTTCAGCCATCTTCAATTTGAATTTCTGAAAATCAGTTAGGGAAATGACTCCTTTCTAAAGATCCCGTAAATTCGATATGGTGGGCTCATTTTGGCTTCTTGCCACAGTGTGAACACTGTGGGATTTACCATGCGCAGTTGGGCAAAAAAAAGGCCGCAGCCTGATGTGATCATATCTCAGTGTGTAGGGAATCTCATTTAGTGATATAAAGTTATATAAGTCATAGTAGGGTATATATATATACATATTTTAGGAATGGTCCTGAACACATTTAGAAATAGTCCTTGAAGTTTTAGAAGCAGTTCTGCCAAATTGACAGAAATACCATTTCAAGAGGCCAAGGGACCTCTTAAGATATATTGTATACTTGATATCTAATGTGCCAAAATGGTGGATATGGCTGAAATGAGTGATATAACTATGATGTAAGAATGTCACGGCCAAAATGATGAGCATGAAAAACGTTGGTTTATATTTATGTGATAAACACAGTTATTTTTGTTTTTGTTTTGTCGGCTGAAATGCATATATATAGATATATATAGATTGATAGATGTGATTCGATTATACATGGCTTCAAATCCAGGTTATGATGTAGAAACACGTGGGAGGGATAATATACAAATATCCACCAAACATGTGACAAATGTGAACGCCAAAACATAGTAATGTCATGTTATGTCGCAATAGGAAAAAAAAGGTTCACAAATTCCGTTGGTGGGGGGATGTTGCCTATTGAGATGTATGGCTACCATAAAATGGAAACAATGACATGACCAATTCGAACAAGGACTTTGTGTGTAGATCCCAGTAACGTGCAATGTTCTACATGTGGTCCCATTGAAACATCATGCAGCTATTTTGGCATCTTTTCTTTTAATAACACAAGCTAAAGTGATAAGGAATGATGAGAAAAATCCCCAGCAAGAAGGATGTTCTCACCCAAGTGGGTGGCCACCAGAAATCCGTTCTTGGAAAGTCAGATGAAGATCGGATTCCTGAACCAAAAACGTGGAAAAAACAACAAAATTAAACAATATTCAATAGTTCCAAATAGTGAATTTTCATCTATTTAAATCTATTTGGACCTGGACCATGAACCTTCCAATGTATCTAAAAGCTAATCATCTAATCTTCATCAATCATACATAGCCTCAACAAGGAGGATACTCCACGGTGTCATTTGGAAATGGGCATCGCCATCACAGCAGATTGTCTGAGCTGCAAGGATACGCCATCCTCGTCTTCCAGGACATATTTCACAAAGAAGGGATACAGCAAAGCGTTGCCTCAGCTCGTGGAATTTCGGGCGGAATTTCCGTGCATTCTCTGATTTTTGACTGAGGTAGGTTTGCCTAGAAGGATAGCATTAGTGGGAAGGGAATAGCTGGATGGCAGCTGCCATCTGGAAACTGTGCCTTGAATCACTTTAATTTTTGTTGATCCTTTCAACCAGTCACATCTCGGACCCACTTCGGACTTGCTCCCAACTCAGACTCGGGTGTTTTTTTGGATAGGGCCTTCGAGGAATCGAAGTCCCCCAGGGGTCACTGGTCTGCGTCAGCAACACATATTTAAATATGTTTTGTGCAAATGTAACGTAAAGGCCCTGCAAAATGTTCCCCTCATCCAATTCTTGGAAGTTTATGATGCATCCCATGATCCAACACCCATACCGCTGTGAAGGATCCCGCCACCGGTGGCGGATTCTTGAAAGTTGAATAATGCATAATTCCATAATTATGTTCATTCCCCAGGTTTAGTAGGTTCTTTTGTGATTGTTTTTGATGGATCGCCTCTCTAGCTTCATTTTTCAACGTCCGCAAAGCCGAATGGCTGGTGGTTGCCATGGTCATCAACACCGTCGCCAACCACAAGCTCCATGCTGCGCGGACCTGCGGCAGCCGCCAGAGAAAATCCAGCGCAGAACTGGAGGGCGCCGCGGCGCTAGACATGTCGCTGCCGTCGGGTAAAGCACCTGAGGGCGATGATGGTGGTTACTGGTGATTACTGGTCAGCTCCAAGGGGGACATAAAACAAGGAAGATCTTTTGGGAAGGGCGGCTGTTTCAACAAAATCATTTGCCAGCGGAAGGGTGGTTACTGGCATGGATGAAGTATGAGTACATGATTGGTTTGGGATTTGAACAACAAGATGCAGATTTCATCAATCAAACACATGGCTTTGTCTATGAATTGGGGCGCCCGCTGCCGAGCATCAAAAACACAACGTGCCGTTCACTGCGATGAGCACAGCCCAGAAGACCGCAAGCAGCGTAAGGCGAGTAAACTCCTGCAGGTCACATCGAATCAAGAGAAACTGAAACCCCATGGAAATTGGATTGGAAACTGACGGGTACCCTCTGGTAAACTAACATAGCTATGGAAAATCACCATTTTATAGCTAAATCAACTATCAATATCTATCAATGGGCCATTTTCAACAGCTATGTTAGTCATTACCAGAGGGTAATGATGTTCTTTTCCACATCGGAATTGGCAAAAATCTCCGCGCATCGTTTGGGGACGGTGTCAAGTGAGATCGCAACGAGAGGTTTCAGTTGAGGTTTCTACAAGTTTCCCATGTCTATGACTCTATGATGGGATTGCGTTGGAGGTTTCCACAAGATAACAAGAAATCATGACTGGATGAGCCAAGACAATCATTGGGATCTCTCTCTCTCTCTCTCTATCATCTTCGGCAACCATTGGGACATATTGGATATTATGACATGGTTTAAGCTGGTGCAATCAATGGATGTCCTTTCATGTCATCAAAGTTGATCTAAAGCCGCTCTACCCTCTGGTAATTTAACAGTTTGCTATTGAACATGGTGATTTATAGTGGATTTACCATTGAAAATGGTGATTTTTCATAGTTATGTAAACGTTTACCGGATGGTATAAAAATGCTCCACAGTGACCTCCACCCACCCGCTGGTCATTGGTGAAGCTGTCGATGGAGAGAGGCAGGATCGCTGCCGCCAAACTGCCCAAAACCCACCTCAAATGGCCAGGGACGTCACTGCAATGAGACCAGAAGCATTGCAAAAGTGATTGTTGAGCCACCCAACAGTGAGCTAAAACATCCTTAAAACAAGATGTGAGACATATACTGCTGAAACAGGCTGAAGCAATTGATGGGGTGTTGAGGGTGTTAAAACGCTCTCGCTCTCGCTCTCTCTCTCTCTCTCTCCCTCGCCATCAGCCCTCCTTGCCCGAGCTCTGCTGGGGACGAGATGGGGTCTCCTATTTTTCTCAACATATTGTAACATTTGTTGCTTTTGACACTCGAAAGGCATCCCCATGTCTCCCAGGCTTCTCACCCCCCCATCAACACCAGAAGCCACCATTCAAATCGAGGACCCAACCTCCAACCCAGTCCTGACTCTAGAACCCCCAACGGCCCCAACCTTTTCATATGCGGAACCTCGGCGAATCTAGGAGGAACGGTCCCAAAAATTGCGGATGTGCTGCGCGGAGTTTCCCGGTCGTTCGACCGGTTGCGAAGCAGCTTGTTGCGAACGTGCCACGAAAGAATTAACAGCAGAGGGAGCTGCACACCCGATCACATGGATTAAGAATTTCAATGGAGTTGACCAAAAACAGGGGACAAACCACAAACCACCAAAATGGTATGTTCATGTTGGCCCAATTGAGGAGGAAACCATTTGTTGGGGGGCGAAAGGTTCGCACCTATCAACTGTTTCTTGAGAGATGTTCAGAGGATCCTTCCAAACACAATCGACTACAGCAACCAACTGAAATATATCTGGTGGTTCAACATATCCCAAACATGTCCAGCTGTTTGTGAAGGAACACCTCAAACATGTTCTTGGTAACCGCCAACCAAAAATCAAAGATGTTTGTAAGAAAAAAATCACCATAGCCTGTCATGAGATTCCAGCTATCTGCAAGGCAGTGCAGCTCAATTTCTGATTCACAGCGCTGGGGCAAGTCATGGATAAGTGGCACCCAACTTGGAGGAACAGTCCATGCATCATGATCACTATATGATGTTCCCATGAACACCTTTAATTTATGAGGATTTCTCAGCTAGAAACGTTGGAATAACGGAATTTTATGATTTTTATTTCCAACAAGTCTGGTTGTGACATGTGCTCCTTCTGGCGACCATCCCATTAAGTAAATCACTAAAAATAACACGTGCTGGTTAGCAGCCGTGGTTTGTTCACAGTTCTCCCACGTAGGGTGCCACTCAGCTTTTGCTTGGGTATATCAGTATATCACATATATAAATGGAGTTTTTTGTGGATTAATATGATAAATCAATGGATCAATGCTAGGGAGTTCCTACGTTTTTTGGGCAAAACAATGGCGTTTTCAACCATCCCCAAGTGCTTCCAATTTATGGCATTGCCCCAGCCGAATCGGCTTCACTAACAGCTGGATTTCGACCTTCCAACGGCGCAAAAACCGCGGTGCTCCCAAAAGAAACCGCCGGCCCGGCCGTCCTTCAGCGAAGATAGCTTTGGAAAACCTATGGTTTGGATAAGAAAAGGATCTATACATGGTGGGATTAACACAGCTATGTTGGTTTCACCGTTTAGGTTATCTATACAATTGTATATATGGAATATTCATGAATATTCTGGATGAGTTTCAGTTCGGAAAAGCTGAAGGCTTGATCAAAGAAGCTCGAAACGCAAAATAATAGGAGTGAAACCACGACACTAGTTGGAAAGCGGACGGTGCAAAATCATCTTTGTGCCTTAAATCGTTCAAAGATCTTTGACAATTCAAAAACAACCACCCAGATTGTTTTATCCCTTGTTGGCGTCAATTTTCAAGTTGTACCCTGCAGTTTTCTTTTGACAATGGCAACCCCCGAAACGATTCTTTAGGCAGATTTTGCTGTCGGAGAGGTGGCGTCTGCATTGCAAGCTTTGCTCACGAGCGGTCAAAATGGTCAGTCAAGGATGCATAACGGTATACGCCCAACATCTCCATCCCCATCCCACTTACCAAGTGTGAACTCATTAAGCGGCCTAGTGCTCAGGGTTTCTTGCACTCTGCTCTGATAAAAACCTATTGACAAACCATGACATCTAAACCAATCTGTGACAATGTGGTTTGCCATTTGCCACCGTGTGCTTTCCAAGTGGTGTGTGCCATCTGTCTCCAGAAATCCTCTGGAAATATTAATTTAGTTGCCACTGCCACGGTGCCGAGAATTTGGCTGCTATCACACGCGCCATCGCTTAGGCCATCGGCCATCATGGGCTCCGGAGGGTTCCAAGTGGTGCTTCAACACTAAACTCTGCAACTTGGAACTGCCATATCCATGAATTAAATCAACATCTGGAATGGACTGCAATTTTGGGTCATATTATGTCATATTACAGTACTTCAATGTACTTCTTTTGGGGGACAAAAACCACCTTGCAGTACCCATAGGATCCATGGTGCTGGTATATATGCTAACATGACTGGGGTATATTGGTGGGATCCATGTTACCCTCTGGTAATTTAACATAGCTATTGAACATCACCATTTTTAATGGGAAAATCCACTATTAATGGTCATTTTCAATAGCTACGTTAAATTACCAAAGGGTACCACATATAATAGCAGCACCATGGATCCCTGTTGGGGTAGGAGTCATCTTGAGCCCTGCCATCTCGCCGTATGGCCCCTATGGATCCCATCTCGCGCGCTGAGCTTTTCGCTCGGCCTCACTGTGTCAAGCTGTGAGCTGCCTGGTCACCTGCGGAACCCGAATCCACCTTACAAATGGTGATTTAATGATGATTTTATGGTGATTCTACTATAAAACCATAGGAAAACGGTGATTTAACCACTATAAATGATGATTTAATGGTGATTGAATGGTGATTTAATGGTGATTTAATGGTTTAACAATGGGTTAACAATGGTGAATAATGGGATGATATGGGATTTATCCTCTGGTGACTAACATTTTGCTATTGAAAATGCTCCCCTTGAGTTCGTTGATTTACCTATTCAAAATGCTGTTCCATAGCAGTTGACCAGAGGAATAATCTGTTGGTTGAACCGCCAATGCCAAGAGTGACAGAATCTAGGGTCAGCATAGTCAGCATCCAAGTTTTTGGAAGGGAACGTAACAAATGTCATCTTCCGGGGCTCATTTATCCTTGCTAGGCTCGGGAGCGGCTCCAAGTTTCCATTTTTTTTCTTCTTGGTTTGTTTAAATCACCAAATGGTGATTTTATGGTGATACTCTCCTATAAAACCATAGGAAAATGGTGATTTAACCATAATTATCCCAAATCATTCATATATAGTGGCTAAATGGTTAAATATAGTGATTCATATGGTGATTCCATTATAAAATCGTGGATTATCCCAAATCATCCATAGCCGCGCCTGCCAAGCCGAGGCAAAGGCAGGTGAGCGCCACCACCACGGCTGTCTCGAGGAGCCAATAGAGTTGCCTGCAAACAAAATGGGGTTAGAAACACCTACCCTCTGGTCATTTAACGTAGCTATGGAAAATCACCATGCTATTAATGGGAAAATCCACTATACATGGTCATTTTCACTAGCTATGTTAAATTACCAGGGGGTACAAGTTGCCTAGTACAAGGTGATTTCATGGTGATTTATGGCTGATTTTTGGCAAAAAATCAAGATAAATACACCTACCAGGTGATTTCGTGGCTGATTTATGGCATGAATGATTTGAATCGGACAAAATTAAGGAATACAATCATCATCCGAAGGGAGATGTAACCAAGGTAGCTAAGTTGACGCACTTGTTTGGCTATAGTTTATGGCAGTTTATGGGCTACATAGCTATAGTATGCTATAGTTAATGGATGTCAATGGGCTTCAAAAAAAAAACAACAAACATCATTGGTCCAAAAATGGAGGCACCAACTCCGGTGGATTGACATCATCATCATCATCATCATCACCAGCATCATCATCATCATCCTATTCGAATTATATCCTTGCTATATCACATTATACCACCATTTTTGTTGGTAAAATCACACTCCGGTGAATTGCCATCATCCTTCATGATATGTCACATGATAGAAACATCACTGGTGGCCACCACCAGTTCCACGTTTTCCTCCCAACTCCGACCTGGGCCAGGTCAACCAGTTGGGGACGCCTTTCTCGGAGTCACTTTTCCTGGGCAAATGTGGCTGCCTGGTAAATGTTCGCACATACCAACTGGTAAATGGATGTACCGTCTGGTTATGACTAACATAGCCATGGTATAGATGGCCCATAGAAGTAGATGATTTTCCCAGCAGAACCTCCATTTATGAGGGATTTTCCATGGCTATGTTAAATAACTAGATGGTAACTGGTAAATGATGGCATTTATGACATATATGACATTGACATATGAATACATATGAATACATATGATACTTAACTTGATTATTTGATTATAGAATGATCAAACTATTCGATGTTCAAAAAATCATCATAGGCCAGCCAGCCGATCTATCATATTATAAGGATCCTCAGTCATCATTCAGGGCCCATGCTGACCACGCTCTCGGCACCAAGCGGCAAGGAGTCGGCACGATACCACATGAGCATCGAATGGCCGTAGTACATCGCTGTGAGACAACCCATCCTGGTTGATGGGTGAGATCCCCGGGAGATATTTTCTAATTCGTGAAGAAATTGCTCGGGGTGTTTTTACAAGGGAAAACTACAACTAGAAGACCAACTGGTTGGTGGTATACCTACCCCTCTGAAAAATATGAAAGTCAGTTGAGTCAGTTGGGATGATTATTCCCAATATGGAAAAATAGAAACTGTTCCAGACCACCAAACAGTAAATGTCGGCTTGTAATGAGGACGACTGTGATTGGTGGGATGCCATGTGTTGAACAAACTCCTCTTTGGCTGAACGCCCCAGGAACCCTTGGCCTATGTGAAGGTGAATTTAACCTGACCAGGGGATCGTACTACTGTTGAATTGTTGCCAGAGCTATGTCAACATTAATCAGTACTATCGTTGTCATTATTGTTGCCAGAACAGTTACCATTCCTATTCTTACGATACTAGCAATATTTATCGTAATTCATATCATATCTCTCTCCCCTCTCTCTCTCCCTCTCTCCACCCACACCATTATTACACTGATTAAACTGATTATGATTATCATCACTATCATCACTATCATCACTATCATCACTATCATCACTATCATCACTATCATTACTATCATCACTATCATTACTATCATCACTATCATCATCATTTTTCCCATCGTATTCTTCTATGTTTCCCACATAAAGCTAGTCCCAAAACTTTGCCGTGCGGCTGAGCAGGACTTAAGGTGGGCCCTGTCAGCCCTGGGCTCTGCATTTCGGTCTCGCTGATGGCCACAGAGATGCAGGCGAGCACGGCACACCAACGGTAGCTGAGAAAACTCATGATCCTCGGGGCTTAAACAATGTGAGGCCCCCAAGATAGCTAAGTTGGTGAACATAACTCCAATAACTATGGTTTATGGTACTTATAACGAACTAGTTACTGGGGCTTATAAACCAACTTATAACTGGGGGGCCTCACATTGTAGTGATACTGATAGGAAAAGGATGATGATAGTGATAGTGATGATATCTAACTAGCTTAACTGCTTTAACTATCTAGTGATCACGTTCTTAATGTTTTTTCCCCCTAGTCAAGCTTAAGAACCATAGTCTTATAGTTTTACCCATTGAGAATCCTGAGAAAGCTTATGAAAAACGGCTATAACTATGGTTCTCATTGGGTAAAGCTATGGGATTATAATGGAAAATGACCTATACATGGAGGTTTTTCAATGGGAAAATCGTCTATTCATGACTATAGTCCTTTTTTGGATTCTAAGCTCCATCAGGAACAGCTCCAGCCACTTGATGGGAACCAATTCCCCCAACACACATTTTGAGAGGTCAATCATACTGGTTATTTAACATAGCCATGGAAAATCACATTTTTTAATAGGTAAACCATCTATAAATGGGCCATTTCCCATGGCTATGTTAAATAGCCAGATGGTAAATCATACTGGTATACTTGGCAATTTTCCTATAGCAATGTGAAATTACTATAGACATTATATGCAACAATAGACATGGACCATACAAATGAGCGATACTCTCCAATCGAGGCTGGTCAATGGTATGGGGCATCCACTTTTCTTTGGTTTCTGGCCACAACTCTCACATGGTTGGATCACTTTGGGGAACATTCTTTTGGGGAACATTCTTTTGGTCTGAACTTGAACAGGTCTGAAGTTAGGACCAAATATGATACATGATACAAAGGTCCAGGGGAGGACCCCCAGTTATGTTAGTTGGTTTTAACTACCCTATAGTAGCCTATGGATACTAGAGTTATATTGTATAATGTCCCCAGTAAACCCAACAGTTAATCATATCAGTCAATGATCCTGATACTCAGTTCCAGTGACAAAGCCAGCATACTCAACAACTTTATAGAGACGAAGGACATTTCCGATGGGATCATATATTTTTACATCCCAAATCCGAAAATTATCCATTACATCCATTTAGAATGATCCAAATTTCCATCACTTATCCATTCATCATCCATTTCATCATCATAATGAAATAATTCATCTGGTTGGTGGTATACCTACCGCTCTGAAAAATATGAGTTCGTCAGTTAGGGTTATTATTCCCAATATGATGGGATAAATAAAACTCATGTTCCAAACCACCAACCAGATATATATATATATATACATAACCTGGTGAATAACCCATATAGTTAACTGTTTACTTGGTTAATAACCATCATATCACAATTAGATATCATTAGTTGGTAATCAGCTAAGCCATAGTTATTCCAAATTCCATTTCATCATCATAATGAAATCATAATTAATTTATTTATTTATATGTTCCATGGGATGTTCACGAAACAATTCATTTAGCATGATCCAAATTACAGTTATGGCACTTTTATTAGTTATATAAATGGGATAAATTCTATAAATGGGGTTATAAGTAACATATTATAACTGTAAATGGGGTTAAAGTACTTATAACATAATATAACATTTAACATTATTAGTTATATAAATGGGGTTTTGTTAATACTTCTAACTGGTAAAGGACCATAACTGTCATGGGATTTTCATCATCCATCCCATTCCACCGAGCCATGGCGAGCCCAGAGACCAATCAAGGCCAACTTTGGCCAAGCCCTGGGCCCAAGTGATCTGCAGCCCATTCCTGGCAATCACTGGATGACTCGGGACTTATAAACCTTATAATGAGCATATATATATAACATATATTATTACATATCTATATATATATATATATATTGTTATATATCTAGTATTCTATTATATATAATATTCCCACATGGACAGAATCGCAGGGTTAGGAAAGAGTTGTACTCCAACCCGAATGGCCTGGTCTCTGTGTTGGTTGTGGGGTAGGCTCGGCTGGTTGATGGAAGATTGTCGGGGCGCCCACGAATTACCCCCATTCAACCAATTCGTTTTTTCACCAGCAGCATGCATCATTTTTCAGCGGATCTTCGAATTTGTTGGTTAGTCATGTTTGGCCACATTAAAAGGTCTCAAAATCGATATCATTATTTTATATTGGTTAGTTAGAATCCTTCTGTGTGTTGGTGATAGTTAGTGAAAATCCACAATGTCAATTGTTTAGTTGCACGAGTCATCGCCACTCGATCAGCGCATCTGGGCAATCTATACACCAACTGAGCTCTTTCCTTAACATCCACCAAGCCGAGACACAAGACCCAGAAGCCCACGAAGGCCAAGGCAAAGCCCAAGGCCATCAACATCTGCGCTGGAGCATGAAAAACTCGCAACAACTGAAACGTTGCAAGGATCGCCACCGCCGCAACATCCTGGGCGTGAAGATTCGTCGGTGATGGTGATGACTTCCAACTTGTGGAATTGGACAACATCCTTTTTTCGGACATGGGTATCGCTGTTATGGGACATGTAAAGGGAGATGTAAAACACATAATGAATCAATATGAATCATATATATATATATATATATATTTGAGATATAAGCAACCGGTAACCATATGATATACATAGCTGTGGAACATCCAACCTTTAAAGATCATTGCCCGGTGAGACCGTGGCGGCTCCATTTCCAAGCCGAGGTTATCCCAGGCTGAAAACTCACCAAATAGCTGGGGATATTACTCAGCATTGGATGGCGGTTGTCCCCACTCCGCGCCCTGATTCAAATTGGTAATTGATCTTTTAGAATCATCTAGACGTAGATATATAAGTGTTGGTTACCCATACATTAATCTATATACATACATATATACAGTATATGTATATAGTTTCAATGTGAAATCAGCCCAGCATCTAACCACATTTTCCAGGTATAGCGCGTGCCGTCCAAATAGAAGTTGAAGGCAGCCAGGCTAAGGAACACCTGGGCCATCAGCCGACTTCAGACTACTCTCATCAGGCCACCATGTTTTTTCCAATGCACCAAGCGTTTCTCTGAACATGAGGTATATAAATATATGACAATTATTTCATGAAAATGCCATTTAAATAGGGATGATGATGATGATGACGATGATGAAGCAAGGGATTTTTGAGATGTTTTTCCCCAACATTCACCAAGTTACGGTGCTCACAGTGCTGAGGATCAAGAGCACACCATGGTCCGCTGAAAATCTCCAACTCCAAAAAATCGGCACCATGAACCACAAAATGATGGCTGCACAGACCTCGAAATGCGGTTGGGCCGCTGGCAAAGTCATAAGCCACCCATGTTTCCATGGTTGCCAACCATAAAAATTGTAAAACAGGGGATCGTTTACTATTGCTTTACTAACAGTACTATGGCAGTGACCTTGCTGCAAACGTTTGCATCGATGAGGAAATTCATGCATCATGAATGTAGATCCTTTTCCGAACGGGGAAGCGTGGTTGTTTTCCCCCAGGGTGGATCATCATCCAAGATTTTTCGGGGATGACTCAAACATCCTGGAAACAACTAGAAACTACATGTGCTACTCAAATTGCGTGGTGATTTTCTGCGCTTTTCTGGGAAGTGTTAGAGTCCTAGCAGAAATAGATCATCCTGCCACATGCCGGAAACATTTCCATCATAGAAGTCATTTGAAGATTCGAAACATATCCCATAGGATCCATGTATGCTATATATGATATATGGTAACATTTACATACATTTACCATCAATATACCCTCAATGTTAGCATATATACCAGCACCATGGATCCTATGGGTATTGAAGATGCAAGGGATCCAATCGAATCTCAGTGGATCACACCTGTGAAATCACGGGGTTCATACCTGCGACCTTCCCCCCATCCAACCAAGCAGCTACCCGATCCCTTGGAGAGTATCGATTCAAGTCCTGGTCAAAGTCCCTGGCTCCCTCCGACATCTTGTCTTTCAACTCCAAGAGGGGATCGCAAACGTTGCTGTCGTGGCGGTTTTCGCGGTTTTCGACACCGCTGTTGGCGAGGTTCTCCTCGGGCTGAAACTTTTGCACCATTGCTCCGAGGCTCGAATGAACTGCAGCCAAATCTTGCGAAGCAAGGGCATGGGCTGAAAGTGTACAAACAAAATTCATCGACTTTCCCTATCTGAAGGCGCGTTGCCGGTTTTGCCTGTTTTTGTCGCTTTGCAAAGATAATGATAAAGGATTCCCTTGGTTTTGCCTGCTCTTGTGCGCATGGCATTTTGGATGCACATCTTATATGTGCACTTTTTTGTGTAGCATATCAATCCTGAACTAGATTATATAGTTAGAAACCACGAAACCACCAGAATACAGGAACCACCAAAGGATGAAAACGTGACTTACTACTACAGTCACTACTTCAGTGGGATGCATGTAGGATGCTAATTATGTCTATCTGTCTATGCCTTTTATTCTTTGGGAGGTCTTGCAGAATAATCATGCTAAAATTGAAGGTTCCCTTGCGTGGTTGTGGTTTGTTTGGACCTGATGAATCGCCCCAGGCACATGAGCTCTCTCAAAGATACCTTGGAGCAGCGGTGCAAGTAAGGATGCTACAGGATGGGTGAATGGGGCATGTTTTTTTAATGGTTGCCACTGTTTCTTTTTTGTTCATCGTATTTAAATATAAACTTCATATGGATTCATATGTGGAAACTATGTGGTTTATTATTGGTCTATCCTGGGATGGGGATGATGCTTGAAATGCGCGGAACCATGATGAGAGAGCAACCATGTGTTGATGAACGGCACGGTCAATGAAGAACCATGAATTTCTATCTGTGAAAACTTTGCCGCTGAAACTCTATCATTTAGTTAATTTGGTTTTAAAGTGGTGGAGGCATGGGCACAAGCATGAAACTCTGGAATTACGGGGGTACGATGAGAGGCGTTTCAACCCTCTCTCTTCCAGACTCACTGCATTAGCCCACCGTGCATTCCGCTCGGTTTTTCGGCAAGGTACAACGTGCACTGTATCCAAACCCCTCGCATAAAAAAAAAAACATGACAAACATACAACAAGCTGATAGACCCCGCCAAACCCCAACCTCTTTCACCGTGTTTAAAACCATATCAAACCCACTTATATATATATATATATGTTAGGTTTTTTTGATTTCAATGTCAATATCCACTTCTATATCCATCTCCATAGATTCACCATGTTTTAACCACCGAAACACAATTATCTCCCCATCCATCCGTTGCACGTCACCAGGCGCGTCTTCTCGTGGTACTCGTGGCTCAGTTCGATGCCCCAAGCGAGCCACGGCACCCGTGCCACGGTGAGGCAGAGCTGCGTGAGCAGTGCCCAACAGGTGGCCCAGGCCAGGGCTGAAGGCCAAGCTCCTGGGAGAACCATGGAGAACCAACTGGGGAACTGGGAAATAAGTGGTTTATACAACTCATTGTGTGGTTTTTGTAAGTACTTATAACTTAGAACCATTTATAGAAGGTGTATACAACTTATGTATGTTTTTCGTACTTATAGTCAGTTTTTGTTCGTGCATCATTGTTTTTTTCCAAAAACGTCACGAAGCACGCTCACGGAGTTCCTAATGTGGTAAACCCTGGCTGCCCTACCTGTACAATTTGGGGATGGTTGAGAAAACCAGTAATGAAAATGGTGATATTGAGGATGGTTTAAAAATTGGTTTACCACATGAACTGAGTTACTATATGTTTTTTGAATATTAAACTGATGACACATACATACATACATGACATTACATGACATGACATGACATGACATACATACATACATAACAACAGGAAAAATTAGATTGAGAAAATCTACAGGCATGGCCTATCAATGTATTGGTTTTGTTGGGAAAACTGGAACCGGAAAGGCCCATTGGCAAGTAAGCCCCCGTTCACTCTCCCTCTCCGTCGCCATCCCAAGGGGTCAAGCGGAGCTGAAGGCGAGCAGGTGCCCCCCATTCACTGGATTATCCCTTGTATAAATGGATGAACTAACTATGGTGGTTAACCACTTCCTAAGTGGGATGATCCTCCAGCCAAAGGAATATGTTCATTTAGATTGGATGGATATATGGATATCTGTATCTCTTATGGTATGTCTATGAAAACTTTTTCCGGAAATTGGGATTTAGAGGGTGTATATATATATATACACATACAGAACAGGGGATCAGGAGAGTGCGCTTTTTGCACTCTTCTTTACACATTCTCTGTTTTGGCATATGCATTGACTGGCAAGAAAAAACAAATAACAAGACTCAACTCTCTGCATCCTTCCCTTGGGGCGTGCAAAACTAAAAAACAAAAGAAAAAAACAAGAAAACTAACCCTATGTCACAGGCACTCAGAGTGATGATTAATTATTGTATTTTTGCTGCTGCTGGATTACATCGGTTTTATTTTGGAGGAAGTCCGTTTCCTCAATTTTTAAAATTTCAATTATCATATACACAGGCACATTTTAATGTAGATGTTGTATGTCATACCGAATTACAAACTGATGTTATCAATACAACAAATGCTACTAATGTTGGTTTAGTCTTCAAAAGAAATGACGTTAGTATATTTAAACTGAATACAAGTTCATCCACAGGGTTGGCTAGTTGTACTGATACCACATCATTTCAGATGAACTGTTTGTATGAATTTTAGTTTTGATTGTTGCGACCCTTACTGGATGAAATTCTGCAATTCGACTTAGGAGGAGGTCTTGACAAGAAGTCTCTGCGTATAGATGAAATGAGATCTCGAAGCAGTATGGCTTAAAAAAACGCACTCTCACAGTCCCCCGCTCTCTCTCTCTCTCTATATATATATATGTAATTATAAAAAAAAAAATATATATATCAGTGGATCCATAGGTAGCATATCCATGAGCCAATGAATAGATGATATATCATATATTTGAATGGATTTAAAACATCCCATGGTCCCCACAAGCTGGGATAGCCCCCGCAATTGTTTAACTAATTACAAGTGTTTCAATTGTTTCTAAATTTGTTTCAATTGTGCTAAAATTGTTTCAGTTGTTTTTAAACTGTTTCAATTGTTTTTGACATTGTTGCAATTGTTTCTAAAATTGTTTCAATTGTTTTTAAATTGTTTCAATTGTTTCAAGAATTGTTTCAATGGTCGCTAAAATTGCTTCAATTGTTTCAAAAAATGTCGCAATTGTTTCAAAACATGTTTTTAAACTTGTTTTAATTGTTATTGAAATGTTTCAATTGTTTTTTTTTCAATTGTTTCACCTGTTCTGAAATTGCTTTTAAAAGTTTCAACTGTTCTTTCAATCATTCATATTCTTTTAGACTTGTCAACCGTTATTTTTCGAAATTGTTTGGTTGTTTCTTTTAACCTGTGAAATTCTGCAAAGCCGCCTCCGGTCTCATTGGTTTCTTACCCCTTCCATATTTCAATGCCCTACTAGTTTGGGACTACTTGGGGCATGTCATGGCTGAAGATCCAAAAAGCAGACATCGGTTCGAGCAAACTTGGTCCGGCAATATTTTTTCCAACACAAATGCGAAGATTGGCCCCGAAGCAACTAATACTGGTCCGAAGCAATTGCTATTGGCAACTATATAAGGTATAGGAATAGGTCAGAAACTCATCCGATTTTTGTCAACAGGAAGGATTCATCTTGTTGGCGAATGAATCTGTCTCGTCTATCATGGTAAACACAAGGTCAACTGTGGCTGCTTACTATTCCAATGGGTTCTTTCTTCTGCTTGCCATGTTTTGCATCGGGTTTCGTTTGTTTTCCTACTGTTCCTGTTCATGGTCGTAAACTTTAACATGGTTTTTCCTTTTGAATCTTGCCATTTTTAACAACCCGTAGATTTCTACGGCAAAATGCAGCGGATTCCAAGTAGAGATGCAGCTGGATTCCGTGTTGGGGGAGACCAACTAGCAGTGGTAGATATGTTTTTTTGAAAGTATAGATCTAAGAATGTGTCAAAAACATGACAATGTGAAACAATATTTCAAACAGTTGTTTCAATTTCAAACACGTGTTGAACCAATATAATGCATATTTCTGAAAAACTGGCTCAATTTAAAGGAATTGTTTTAACAATAAGCGGAACATATTTCTGAAAGTCTGTTTAAATTGAAAAGAATTGTTGAAAACAATATAAAGACTATTTCAGAAAACATGTTTAAAATTAAAACGATTGTTGAACCAATAAAAATAATATTTCCAAAAATCATTAAAATTAAAACGCTTGTTGAAACAATAAAAAGAACGTTTCTGAAAAATAAAACTGTTGCAGAAACAATAGAACACAGAAGGTTTAAAATCCATTCAATCATATATCATCTAATTTAAGACATGAAAACCCACTGTTGAAATGGGAAATGAATATGTTATGCACATGTATGTATGTATATAAATATACATTGGATCATCAAAAATACTCTGATAGCCATTCACGGCTGGCATAGATGTTTACTAATGGGTGATTAAACAGTGATTGAAAACAAACCATGGATATGCCATGGATACTGATTGTTGGGGTACGCTGGATCTCATTGACCAGTTTGTACTATTACACCATGCATTGACCAGAGATGTGTGAAGTCAAACTGGACGAGAATAAGGGATTTGATCCAAAACGAAAAGGATGGATGAAACAAACTATGGATCTGCAAGCAGCAAAGAATAGGTTGAGAACAAGACTTGAATGAAAGCAGCATCAATGTAAGTTCAGAACAAGGGGAAAGCAGCATCAATGAAGCTTAAAATATAAAGTATCAGGGTCAAAGCAAATCATGTGGTTGACACAATCTACATATTTTCCGGGAAAAATGTTTCAACACAAATTCAATCACACCCTGGAAATCGGGGGAAAACAACAAAAAATCGCGCTATCCCAGTGCTTCCCATCTGCCAGCTCCTGTCTGCGGGGGTGTGAAGAGTGCAATGAAGCAGCCAGCCAGGAGCCAAGATCCACTCAGCATGAACGGCCTCGGGAGGGCCCTGTGGAATTTTTTGGTGCTGCCATGATTTTCCATCCACAAAAATAGCTATAAATGGGTGGTCATGAGTCATGGGTGGTCAAAAAATAAAAAATAAAAATAAAACATCACATCCCCATTTTTTGGGAGTTGTGCATATTCTTGGGTTGTCCACAGTATTGCTTGACATATGACGTGAAAAGAGTTTGTGTCTTCCCTTTCTCTCTGATTGAACCATCAAGTCCTCCATACCCCTCTCCATTAAAACCACTCAACCTCCCCAAAAATCAAACCTGGCCTTGCAGGAACATCCTCCCTTTAGTTCAGATGGGGACTTCCCAGTTTCCCACGATGTAAAACCTCAATTTATGTACATACAATGTGAGGCCCCCAAGATAGCTAAGTTGGTTTATAACTCCAATAACTATGGTTTATGGTACTTATAACTATAGTTACTGGGGCTTCTAAAGCAACTTATAACTGGGGGGCCTCACATTGTAGGATTTTCATGGGAGTTTCCATCAAATGGTAAACTTAAACAACCAACCATCCAAAGGAAACATCATACCGCGATGGCCGTGGCACCTTCTTCTGCCACTGACAAACTTGAGCCGATCCTCGGGAAACAGTTGACCCTCCGCTAATTTAGAGTTTGAACTTTGAACATGGCCCTTTCTTGAAAAACGATTTACCTACTAAAAATTGTGATTTTCCATAGTTATGTTACGTTAGCTGACAGAAGGGTATGGATTTCTTAGGTTGATTTGAATGACGTCATGGGTTCTACAATGGATGTGCCAACCAATTATGACCAACGTTGGTGATATGGTCATCCGACTATCAATGCGATTCCTCAGAAAATGACCATCCCCTTGCGTGGCGATGGTAAACATGCCCCTATTAGCTATGCCTTGACGACGGCTCACATGCTGATGAATATCACCAACTGGGTGGATGGTTCGTTTTTGGTTCGGCAATATTCCCTAGATCCTAGTATTCCCATGTCATTATCATGTCATTAGCATGTCATTGAAATATGATGGAATTTGCCCAAAACCAACTTGGTTATGCAATCATATTAAAACAAAAAACACAAGGACTGTGGGGTTCTGTGCCCAACCTTTGACAAGGACTGCATGATTCTGCATGATGGCATAGCATCATCATATCTTGAAAGGTGATATGGTGCTGCCCCAGCCAAGCATGACCATTGTCAATGTTCCTCTGAAACTGCTCCTTGCCACATTTAACATGAGTTCTCTTTGAATTTTTGTCGGCCCTCCTCAGAACCATCTCCACTCCTGCAAGAAAGAAATGCCAATCAATCAATGCGCCCTAGAAAAAGCCACCTGGAATTTGAACCATTGCATCATGTGGCATCAGCACAGGCTCAAACCCAAAGAATCGACGCTGCAATAGATCGAATGTAGCTGGCGATGCAAAACGGCCCTATTCAGCAGTAAAATCATGTAGCTGACCCCCTTTTTTCGGGTTCCATGCAATTAAATTCATAGGCCCCATTAAAAAGGTGGTCCTTTTTCCTTATGAACTATAAGAATCTACAAGATATAACCCCCATACACCCTGGACTTATAAACCAACATAGCTAACGAACTTGGTCACCACCTTGTTTAAAATCCAGCGTCAAAAGATTTGAAATAACAACCCTAAATATCTAGGCCCTAAATAAACTTTACACTAACTATATACGACACACACACACATATATATATATTTATAATATTATAATATCAAGGGGTGTCCCCAGATATCCTCATTGTGGAACTTAGAAACCAACTCAAGCATCATAAATAAACATAAACAAAATATATAAAGTATCAAAAATTGATAGATAGATAAATTACTTTACTTCGTGTGATCCCCACCATGACATTTATACATTTTCTTACTGGCAAATCTTCTGGCATTCTATCTGACATATCTTCTGACATTCTATTTGGCATTCTATCTGGCATATCTTCTGGCATATGATCTGGCATATCTTCTGGCATATCTTCTGGCATTCTATCTGGCAAATCTTCTGGCATTCTATCTGGCATATCTCCTGGCACTCTATCTGACAATTTCTCTGGCATTCTATCTGGCATATCTTCTGGCATATATTCTGACATATCTTCTGGCATTCTATCTGACATATCTCTGGCATTATTCTGACATATCTTCTGGCATATCTTCTGGCATATCTTCTGGCATATCTTCTGACCTATCTATATGGATATCTTCTGCATATTTCTGGCATTCTATCTGGCAATCTTCTTTGGCATTTCTACTGGCATTCTATTGGCATATCTTGGAATTATCTGGCATTCTATCTGGCATATCTTCTGGCATATCTTCTGGCATATGTCTGACATTCTTTCTGACATTTTTTCTAACTTTCTTCTGCACATTCTTTGTCCCATCCATATCTTCCTACATGAGGTCCGGCAGGGAACACTTGGCGTGGATACTCGCGGTTGAGGTCCGGCAGGGAACACTGGGCGTGGATGGTCGTGGTTGAGGTCCGGCAGGGAACACTGGGCGTGGATGGTCGTGGTTGAGGTCCGGCAGGGAACACTGGGCGTGGGTGGTCGTGGTTGAGGTCCGGCAGAGAACACTGTGGATCGCGGGTCGCAGTTGAGCAAGGACGACGAGGACGACGAGGACGACGAGGACGACGAGGACGACGAGGAGGACGAGGAGGAGGAGGAGAGGAGGAGGAGGAGGAGGCAACTGACATAAAATCTAACAACCCTCATCTGGCAGGTGGGGAATAAAAATATATAAATATAATCACCATGTTCCATCATTTTTGACCCTCAAATAAATCACGTTAAGTCCCAACTTGTCCATCAATTTGAAGGTTAAATCCCAATTTCCATCATTTTATCAGTGTGAAAATCCCAGTGAATCACCAGAAATCAGCTGTACATCCCAGTGTGACCGCCATCTTTTGCTCCCAGTGGCTGAGACGTGTCCCAACACCGGATCCGTCACGGCATCAAAGATCTGCACCGCCGAAGTCACATGGCCGATGGCGCTCAAGGGGACACCCAGGTGATCAGCGTAGAGCGAAGGAAGAAACAAACTGATCATCACCTCAGTCGGATTAGCATGGGATGGTCATAGAAAATTCATCAGGCTATTGCAAGAAGTTTTTCTATGCTTGGAAATTTTGATCACCGAGTTTTATTATGTTTTATTGCAGTCGCTAATGTAGTTCATGTTTCAAACGGGGATGCGGATTTTGCACGAACAGCTAACCGATCTAACTGGGACCTCACCTCTGAGGGGATGGGATAGCCATGAAAATTATCAAAAAATCTTGGGAGGTCTTGGGAGTTCGTAGATGTTTGTATGACTTAATACGATTTCATCTAACACGATAAGGGTTACCAATTAAAAAACATAAGTAGATGGTATAAACTTATAAACCATCCCCAAAAGGTTGTTTATGGATGTTCGTGGCATTGGGTTTGCCACATGACTGATTTTATGGTTGACAAGTTGAAACTCTTGTCGCTGAAAGTGGGAGAATGGGGCAAGTTTACACTGCTGACAAGGGTGAAACATGGTAAAGCCTCCTCATCATTCTGACCGTCGCGATCAATGTGAAGAGTCTGCTCTGGATGTCTTGAATTCAGCGCTATTGTTAGATCCTGATTGAAAAAATGGCAGCTTCAACTTGCCCAAAAATTCTCCACATATTCTCCATAAACACCTGGAAAGATCGTTTTCTGAGAGCCATGGCCCCAGGTGGCGCCGCAGGATCCGACCGATCCAACCGATCCAAGGAATCCAAGGAATCCAAGCGACGGTGACAGCACCAAAGCCAAAGCCCGGCAAGCCATATACCACGCATTGGGTCCATGTTACCATCGCATCCCTTGCCGTCTAGGGACACCAAGAATAGGCTGGATTTGTGGATTGCCTGGAAAGGACTGTCATGAACACTATGTGAGCGACAGAGGTGATTTGAGGTTGCAAAAAATAGGCAAAGACTACCTCAAGACTATCTGGGGCTAAAGCAGAACATGATGCATGCGAAGACAAATATAGATAGATAGATTAGATTAGATTAGATTAGATTAGGTTAGGTTAGATTAGAGTAGATTAAGACTTAGATTAGATTAGATTAGATAGAAAGAAAGAAAGATAGATAGATAGAAAACATAGAAGGATAGATAGAAAAAAAAATCATGAAACACCACAAAATGAATGCAGATCATTTTCCTACAGAAACCAGGGGTTTTCTGCATCTTTCTGTCAGTTTATGTTAGTTTAACCGAGGGTATCCATCCATCGGATGGAAGATTTCACCTAGAGCTGTCTGAGTTCCATTGTGCTGGGCCCTGATGTCAAAAATGAGAGGCGCGCGGCAGGGTTTCCATTACATAAACATGCCCCATATCACTCCCAAATAAATGAAGTAAATGTGCATTTATATATATATATATACTGTATATATATATATATATCATATAGTCAAGGAATGCACTTAGCGTAGGTGCTGAAAATTCTATGGTCTCCGAAGGATTATGATCCACAAATTGTGGGGTTTCCAGCTGCATCTACCCACATTGCCAAACTCGGAGTTGCTAAAATAAGATCCAAATTCTCCAAATAGCGGATAAGGCTTCATGAGAAAATATAAGAAAATGTAAGAAAATGCACAAACCACAAAACAACATCTTAATAAGGACATCCAAATTTAGCGTGGGATAACAACCAAATAACCCAATCAAGTACCCAATCCTGGACCAACAAACGACCGGACTGCTCCTCGAAGTCAAGCCAATCATCCTGCTGGTGAATGTCTCTTTGAGGAACATCAACAAAAACATGGCACGGCCATCCTGGAATTTAAAAATCAAAAAGGCATCCTACCAGTCCTATCATCAACAAAAAGGGCATGACTTCTCTCTTTAGGCACTCCCAGCCTTCTGGTCTTATCTGGCCTTCATGAAACAATGCCCCTTTTTGCATGTTTTTGAAATACATCTGATTCTCATCACTCTTCCAGGATCATGCAAGAGAACATCCCCAAATAACATTGGAACATCATTAAAAAAAAATACTTTACTTCGTGTGATCCCCACCATGACATTTATACATTTTCTTACTGGCAAATCTTCTGGCATTCTATCTGACATATCTTCTGACATTCTATTTGGTATTCTATCTGGCATATGATCTGGCATAGCTTCTGGCATTCTATCTGG